TATTACAAATTAAAAGTGGGTGGGGTGGAGAAGGGGGAGCCCCTTGCCCTCACGTACATCCACCCCGTTTACTTTTGGAGCGGAGTTTAATAAATAATACTCCATCCATCCCATATTTATATATCTATTTATTTTTTACACGGAGTTTTAGAATTATTAATATTATATTGAAATAAAGTATAAATAAAAGTAAAAAGACTAACCTTATTAGTATTGTATTTTATAAAAGTAATGACATTTGTGTAATATATGGTAAATTGAAAGCGTATATGTAATATTAGGTAGATAGTACAATTCCTAAAAAAGAAAATTGATACTTTGTTATGGGACAGACCAAAATGAAAAAATTAATAGATTGTTAAGGGGTAGAAGGAGTAGTATTTTAATTATAGTGGATAAACAAAAGTAGTGTAATGATATTTTTGTCCTTACTTTTTGGTATATAAGTAATAATATAATGTAAAGTAAAAATATTTGTGAAAAAAAATGGAGTATGTAATAAAATTGTTACTTTGTAATTGAACGTCTAGAAATAAAAATATGTATATTTTTTTACTGGACGGGGAGACTATTATTTTTATTTAATTAATAATATTAATAGTTTTAAAATAAATTTAATATATATGATTAAAAAAATTAGAATATGTATTTAAATATTAGAAAATTTATATGGCAAAAAATATATATATAGTATGAATATCAATTTTTTATAGAGAATAATTTTTATTTTTTTTTATAATAAAAGATGTAGAATTTTAAATATAAATAAAAATATTTATTTTGAAGAGATATATAAAAATAAAATAATTTTGAGTTAATCATATCTTATTTATTTATTATATTAAATATTATTTAGTTAATTATATTGATTTATATATGTTAAATATATATTCTAATTTAATAAATTTTATCAAAAAATTGAATGATGTATATTTTGGAAGGAGTATGACAATACTTCAATTTTAGTCCATTTTTGGATCAATACGAAAATTAAATAATTTAAATATTTTTTAAAAAACTATAAAATAAATGAGAATATTTGTGAAAATTAGAAAAAAATAAGGAAATGTGATGTAAATATATAATAATAATAATGTTTATTATAAATAAATATTGAATACAAATTAATAGTTAAATATTGACATTTTAACGTTATCAAAATTAATAATACTTTTTTCGTTTCATAACAAATTATTCATTTTTTCATTTTAGTTTGTCTCATAATAAATTATTTATTTCATTTTTTTTAGTAATTGTACTGTTTACTTACCATTACAAATATCCTTACAACTTATAATATATTGCACAAATGTCATTATCTTTATATCACACAATACTAATAAAGTTATTTTAGTCATTATACTTTATTCCTACTACATCCCAATATAATACTAATATTTCTAAAATTACGTGTAAAAAAAAAATAAATACATAGTTATAAGACGAAGAGAATAAAATAAAAATGACGGACATACTAAAAATAATAAAAATAAATTTAACGAACATAAAAAATATATAGAAATAAAATAGATAATACATATTATATACTCTCATTGTTCCGGATAAATTGTCAACATACGAGAAATTAGTTAAATAAAATAAATAATTAATAAAAATATTAATAAAAATAAGTATTATATAATATAAATAATTATATATTAAGATAAATAAATATTTTAATTAATATTAAAAAGTTATAAATTATAAAATTTAAATTGTGGTTAAAATGTATAATTATTTTTAAAATTGAAAAAATACAAATTATTTAGAAAAATAAAAAAAAAAAATAAACATTTTATGTGGAATTGAAGGAGCATGATAGCATGAACTTAATGCAAATTTTAATAAATATAATACTTATATTAAACGATTATGATATAAAATAAAAATAATTTTAAGAAATACTTTAGTTAACAATGTAAAAGAAATTTTTTAATAAAATAAGTATGCAAATATTCATGCCCTATTTATAAATAAGTATAATATTCCTCCGTCTCATTGTGTCATATTTGTTGTATATACGAAAGTTTAAAGTTGAAGAGGAATATAATTAGTAAGTAATTAAAAATATATTAGTAAAATTAATTATATTATAATAAAAAAAATATAGATTAAAATTAAAATAACTAATTAATTTAATAAAAATAAAAAATAAAAAATTCTAAAATTTAAAATACTTTTTCAAAAATAAAAAGTTACCTAATATATAGAATAAACGAAAATATAAAGAATTGTGACATGATATGTAAAACAAAGAGAGTATTGAATAATACTAATTATAATATAAATTAAAAATATGTAAAATCTTATTTCATAAATAAATAAATAATATTTTTTATGAATAAAAAAATGTATAAAATTTGTGGACTGTGACAGCAATAGTATACTCCCTTAGTTCTACTAGGCTTTAGTTGTGTTGGGTATATATAGGTAAACAATTCATTTTATTTTTATAAATGTATTAGTATAAAAAATAGTGATAATTAGTTAATAATAATAAAAGAAAAAATATTTTTACGGTGATATAATTTATATATTATGTATTTGAGATCAATCATCGTTACTCCATTCTGACATTTTTTGGATTTTTCTGATTTTTTAATTTTTTTGGTTTACAGTTTTTTTATCATGATAATACTAATTATATCTTCGTTGACAGATAAAGTGTATTTTTTTATAATTATTTCATTTATCTGTGTTGATTTTAGTGTCAATCATCAAATAAGGTGAGTATTTTTTTTATAAATAAATAATTATAATTTTTCTTTAATAATTTATCTTGCACATCATTGTGTCTATATATATACTGACATGAAGTATCAAGGTTGTTATGGAGAAAATTTAGATATATTTATATATATTTTTAGATAGTTTTAGTAATTTTTTAGGAAGATAATGCATATGTATTAATTAAAAATTTTGAATTACTTATTTTTTTCTAATAAGTAAATATATATTTCTTATATATTTATATTTATATAAATGAAAAAATAATGCCAAAAAATTATTTAACTGCATTTATTGACCGAGCGTTCACATTCATTGTTGCAAGATCAGATGTTCTATCTCCGATGTTTCAAGTTATGACCGTAGATTGGTGTGAAAAATATTCACATATTTTGAAAGACCTTCACAATTTTAACTATTTTTTTCTATTTTTTTTGGAATTATAAATTTTTTTCCGTAATTTATAAAATAACTTTTACTTAAATGTTATGATTTATATTATATTAGATTCCATCTACAATATAAAATAACTTTTACTTAAATGTTTTGAGGGGGTGTAAAATATTAGAAATTTAATTAAATTAATTTATATTTATCAAATGTATTTAAGAATGATAAATTTACTAAAAATAAAAAAATGTCACAAAAAAGGACAATGAATCATATATGGGGGACGAATGATTGATTTGTATTTAATATGTAAATTTATTGTTAATTTTTATTTATCAAGTATATCATATTCAATTAATATATATTTGAATAAATTTTAAAAAAATTTAATTAATTTTCAAAATTCTAAATGGTTTGATTTATTTTTTTAATATAATATTTTTATTTATAAGTTAATGTCTAATTTAATTTTAAAAAATAAGTTTGAATAATTATAGTTGATATTTCAGTGACTATAAATACTAATGATTAAATTACATTATTTTTTGCTTATTTATTAAATTGATAATAAGAAATTAAGATAAATTATTCTATATTATTTTTTTATAAAAAAATTAAAAATTAGTTTTTAAAACAAATTATCTATTTTACTTTAGTAGTTGTTCCAATTTGTATAAATAATTTAATTATGTCATATATTTTTTATGTAATAATTATACTAAAAATTGTTACATAATTATTGTACAATATATACTAATTTTATAATTATTTTTTTCAATTTATAATTTTAAATTTATTTTAATTTTTTATATGAATGTTAAATTTTTCGTATTATTGGATGAATTGGCCATATTGATGTTCAAAATATCTGAAGTGAAACTAATTTGACAAAGATTGTATGTTTATATAACTATAAATAGGCCGCAATTTTTTAGTTATTTTATATATAATCTTTAGTGTAGATATAAGACTAATTAGACAATAAAAGACGATACCGTAATTATGAATTTAAAATTGTCACACAAATAATTTTAATTTATCTTTCGATGTCAACTATTCTATTAAAAAATTTACAAAATAAGACATATTTTACACGTGTAAATATACATGTATATTATTTCATTGTTAATTATTTTAGCATACTAATATATTTTTTAAATATATAACAGGAAATGATATATAATTAGTACGAGAGTTTATTAACATATTTATAGATTGTGTTTATATATGTATACTACTAATTATATCTTCATTAATACGATAAGAAAGAATTCTGTCACATGGTAAATTTAGTATGAATTGTTGAAGGCTTAAAAATATTTGTATCATTTTATAAAATATTTGTCAATATAATTAATTATTTGTTTAATATTACTTTATCAATTTATATGAACAATGCATCAATTTATACAAATGATACTATTATTTAAAAAAAAAAAAACGAAAAATGGTACTATTAGTTAAGTAAAAATGAAGGATCTGTTTTTTTACTGCAATTTTTTCAAATTTTATTATTTTGACTATTGTATTTTTTTTAAAAAAAATTATATTTTTTTTTTTCGAAACATCCCATCAAACATTATTTTTATATGAAATTCAAACCTAATTTTTTGCCAAACTCATCAAAATAAACACACCCAAAATACTATTATTTAACTTAAAATTTAAACCTCCATTCTGTCAATTAACACACCCTTCAAATAAATCAGTATTAACTTGAAATTTTTCAAAAAATTATTGGAAATTAAACATCAAAATACACAAGACAGACAAAGAAATCTAGGCAACCATCATTGTTGAAGATACTGATGGATATATATAAATATGAATTATTTTCATGTACATTACTTACTTACAGTAATAACAAACAGACAGAGAAAGAGATATGGAAGGTGCTTTAATGGAGATTGGAGGAAGGTGGGTGAATTTGGAATTGCCTTAGCCTCAGCACCATCATCAGCAGCAACAGTTGCCTGACGACGATTCAGTATTCACTCACTCGGTAGTTCGCCCACTTGTTGTTTATACTCCACACTACTTTTCAGTTTCCACCGCCATTCACTGCCAATCTCCTTCCATTCCTTCCTCAATACTCCACGCTCCATCACCCCCACCCTGCTACCTCCAATTTTGCTTATTTCTGTCTCCATTCATTTGGTTCCCGCACCTCGAAAATCGGTAGTTGCTCGTCGTTCCATTCCGTAACTGTGTATTCTATTTTGCTGTGATTTGATTTGATTTCTGGTGTTCAGATTATTTTGTTTTGTTATCAGTTGGACTAATTCTGAAGTGTTTTGTTCGCGTTCATACGTACAGAAAGGATTGGAGATAAAAATTGAAGGAAAACAGTTTGTTTAATCAATCATATTCCTCTATTCAGCAAGCAAGGATGTTCAAGTAGTCGATGTGAAGCTGAGTTTGGATCGTCTCGACGATGAAAAGTAGTCGGAGTTAGGGTTCTTCCATGGATTCCACAATTTCGCCTCTCCTTTCCTGTTGATTTGAATATAGATGGATGAACAGTGATGCGCAGTGATTATGGAATTGCATTTTGACGAGTAGGTGGAGGAAGAATATTTTAATTCCTGTTTTGGTGTGCGATTGGAAATTCAAAATGCGTGCAAACCTAGAAGCCATGAGCGATAGCCGATAGGTGTCCCAATCCAATCAATCCATGGATTCTTTCTAGTCAATAGTACCTTTGCTGCTCTCTCTTCCCCACTGTGGATCTCAAGATACTTTTTATCCCTCCTTTTGATGCAAACCTGTTCTTAATTACTGCATTCAGTATTCTGTCTTCATCCTCTTTGAATTTTTTTTCTGCCTTATTTATTCTCCGTACAAATCTTCTTCTTCCTGCAACCTGTTCGAAGAAAAGCTTCAGAGAAATACAGGCAGCTGTGTGTGGCTACGCTTTCAATTTTTTGCTGTGTTGTACAGATCAGAAGAAACAAAACTGGCTAACAAGTGGTGGGAACGGAATCTGGATGCCGGAATGGCCGGTTACAACCAGCCGCCGCCGCCGCCGCCGCAGGCGGCGGCGGCGGCGGGGTCGCGGTACGTGCATCAGCTTCTGCCGCCGGACCTCCACCTGCAGCCGCGGCCGTCGGCCATTTCGCTGCACAACCCGCTCCCGGACGCTTCGGCAGACTCCAAGGACTCTCCGCCGGAAAAGGACGCAGACGCGGCGGCGACGACGAGCTCCGGGGGGACTCCGACCACCAGCCGCCGCCCCCGCGGGCGGCCGCCGGGTTCGAAGAACAAACCGAAGCCTCCGATAGTGGTCACGCGGGACAGCCCCAACGCTCTCCGGTCACATGTTCTGGAAGTTTCCTCCGGAAACGACGTCGTCGAGAGCGTCTCCGTGTACGCTCGCCGGAGGGGGAGAGGCGTCTGCGTCCTCAGCGGCAGCGGCACCGTGTCGAACGTGACTATCCGGCAGCCGGCGGGGCCGTCCGGCGGCGGAGTGACGCTGCAAGGCAGGTTCGAGATTCTATCCCTCTCCGGGACGGTGCTCCCCCCGCCGGCGCCCCCTGGCTCCGGCGGCCTGTCGATATTCCTCTCCGGCGGCCAGGGGCAGGTCGTCGGAGGCATCATAGTCGGGCCGCTGCTGGCGTCCGGCCCCGTCGTTCTGATGGCCGCGTCGTTTGCAAACGCCGTGTTTGAACGCCTGCCATTGGAGGATACTCAAGAAGAAGGAACTCCAGCTGCTCAGCCGCAGTCCGCCGCCTCCCAGTCTTCCGGTGTGACTGCCGGCGGCGGCGGAGGCGGAGGCGCTACTGCTACTCCTGCTGCTGCTCATCCTGGTGAGCCTGGCGGCAATGGAAATGACACTGGTGGAGGAGGAGCAAGTGCTGGCGGCAATGGTGCACCCATGGCTGCCGGAAATTACCCGTTCCCCGCCGATTTATTCGGTTGGGGGAGTGGAAATTCAGCAAGGCCACCATTTTGATCCGTCAATTGCTGTTAGGGTTTAATTTTATGCACTTTTCTACATAATGTGAATTATGGAAACATGAACCATTGAAAAAAGGCAACAGGTTTTGTAAGAATTTTCCCATCATAATCAGCCTATTTTACATATATATATATATAAATATCATTCAAGTCTTGCCATTTCTGTGATGATTAATTACAGGTTTAGTAATCGAGGACGACGGGGTATCGACATCAGCTAACAAGATAAGAAAATCAAGAAATGTGGAGCAAATAGCAAGGTGAGTGGTTAAATTCAAAATTTTGTTCTTTACATGTTATGAATGAGATGTTTAGCAATTTGCCTAGTGATGGATGATGTGAGCATATTTGGTAGGGACTCAGAATTTTCATATTCAATGCATGTATCCGAAAAATCGATTAAAAAAGAATTGCATTTGTCTTTGTATTTGTTGAATTTGCTAGATCATGATGTGGGAGTTTCCATGCTCTGCTACTTGCTTTACTTTTTCTTATTTGTTTCGAGTGTTCCTTAGATATGTTCAATAATTGAAGGGTAAATCGTTTCTTTGTGACTTTCTTGTTTTGATATTTTTTAGGTGAAATAGTTGCTATGAAAAATTGGTGTAAGAATGTGATGATTTTCTATGGGATATTGTTAGATTGAATATTAAATAAGTGCGATTCGGGTAGGCTTAGGATTCATCGTAGTAACTACCAATTGTGATGAATTAGTACACCACATACACCTTAACATTCACTTTAGGAATATTGATGGTAAGCATCCCAACGACGTTTTACCTAATTATGGAAAAAAAAGACCCGAAACCTCTTCACACCATATAATAGAATGAACAAAAGTTGGGTAGAAGTTAACGATAAAAAAACTAGTGCAACTTTGAATACTTCAAAACTAGAAAAAAAGGGCCTAAAGGAAAAGTTGCAAAAACTGCTTCTTGGAATGTTTTCTTGCTTTTCTTTTTATCCACTTGTCTTTCAATCTCCCTCGCAATTGCTTTTGTGTAATGTTTTTACTATAGATGATTAAATAATCTTTAATCTCATAAATTACCATATGGTAAATACTATTTTTAGCTCTCGGTGTACGGGTAAGCTGATATTCTGTGGGGGTGGGGGGCTTATTCTGGGATGAACGGTCGGGATGGGCTCCATCCTCGACCCTTCAATCGGATAACCTTATTTGTTGTCTCGATGGGCTTTTGTTTGTGTCGAGTATTGCTTTGTCGCATGGTGTAACTTGCGCATGCTGCGAGCGTGCTCGACTACTGCTAGGAGAAGAAAACAAAAAATGGTTCCATATGTGCCACTTGTTTTGAAAGCAATGTGAAAAATATCAGTTAGAAATATGATGTGATGATATTTGTATTTTTGGAGTTGGATATTTTTGAGTTTGAATTCTTAATTTTCTAACCTTTGGTTTTGGTTTGGTGAATTTGAGTACCAAATATTTCCTCCGTCTGTCTTTAAGGATCATAATGTCATTGTACTTAACAATAAATATATCTTTATATTTGTATAATTATTTGGACAAATGTTTTCCTCTATTAGTATTAAAAGACACTAATAGAAGTATTTTTGTAATTTTTTTTGTTAATTTGTACTACATTTTGATATAATAATTAATATTTAAATATCAATACACGTATAGTAAATGTATCTTTAAATACATTAGTTTTGTTTGGCAATTTGGTGTGCTTTAAATTTCTAAGGTTGGTTGTGAAATTATATATATATATATATATAAAGTATTTTATATATAGATAATTCAAATATGTTTGTTTAAAAGTAGTCTTTAACCAAGTTGGATCTCTTGTTGGGGATTCTTGATCATGTGAAACATTTGACTTGGCAATGAGTTCGGATTGTGTCCTAATAGATACATGTCTAAATATGGGTTGGCACACATTTCAATGTATGGTTTTGTCCTCATTTTCTTTCTTTCTCTCTCTCTCTCTCTCTCTCTTAGTCAGTCTATCCTATCTTTCTCACTCTAATGGATTGGTGGCTGACTTATCAGCTATGTAGTGATGACGATGCCCATTCATTGCCCAATCCTCTATCTATCTATCTATCTATCTATCCATTTTCTTGAATCCATGGTCTGTGGGACAATTTTCATCATGTCGAGAGAGAGAGAGAGAGTAGAAGACAGTGGTCCTGAGATATGGTTTTGACATGATGCTCATTATTACCAAACATCTTTTTTCAATTTGTTTTTGTCCTTCTTTGCCCTCAGCCTCTCTTACTGAATGATGAATTGACGTTACTGTTTCCTGCATGGATTTGGGTTTTAACTTTTAACTTTTAACTTTTTTCATTTTCCATTTTATTTTTTAGTTTGATAAAATTAGATTTTCAACATATAACTATTATATCTAATTCAGCGTTTATTTACTACTATTACTATTATTTTTATGGGACAGAATTAAAAAAATTCAAATATTCAAACAAACAAGCCTTTAGTGATGGGTGTGTTTGTTTGGTTTTATGCATAACAATAAAATTTAATAAAAATAGACAAGTGAGTATTTTTTTGTAAAACTTTTTCAAATTTCTGTATCTACAATGAAAACACCTAAATGATCACTCAACATTCTGTATTCAGTTTGGTGTGTTTGATTTTAATTTTTTTATTATGATAGTAATTTTTTCCCATCTACCAATTTTATGTTTATTTTAACTCACATGAATTTTAAATAATATATTTATCTCCCTATTATATTAGAAGATTATAATTATTAATTAATTAAAAAGTGTATGATAAAAAATAATTATCTATTATACAAATAAATTTAAATTAAAATAACTAATCAATTTAACTAAAATTTTAAAAATCATAAAATACGATTTCAAGTATATAATTATTTTAGAAGATAAAAAAGACAAATTATGTTAATAGACTAAAATAAAGAATACGACAATTTATACGGGGAAAAAGAAGATAATATAAAATAAAAATATTGACAAATATATGAATAAGTTAACAAGATAAAATAAAATTTTAAATAGAAATGTATAAGAAGTTTTTAATAAAAATGAAAAAATACTATATATTTTATAAACAAAACTAAAAATATAAATTACCTCCATCCTCTTTATTTTTTACTTGTTTATATTTAATATTAGTTATTATATAAACACAGTACAAATTTTAAAAAATACAAAAATAATTTAAATAGTGTCTTATAATATTAATATAAAAATATTTGTAAAAAAATTACACAAATATAAAAATATTTTTAATATTAATTACAATAAACACAACTTTATAAAGCAAATACATTCTATACTATTTTGTAAAATTAATCCACACATGACTCACTTTCCTTTTTAATATATCCCACAAAAGATGACTATTTTTATTTTTGACAATTTTATCAATCTTAAATATACTTAACAAATATAAATCAAATTCCTCATTTTTATAAAACTAATTTAGGGTAATAATAAATAATTTTTTTTATTTGTATTATATAAAATTTTATTATTTACAAAATAATATCTATATTGCATATATTTTATTTTTTTTGAGATATAATCTTATTTTTTTAAAATAACAATAATATTATTCATATAAAAAATAATAAACTAATATCATAACTTATTATTAATAACTTACTAATTTATACTACTTAAAACACCGTGCCCCTAATAAAAAAGTTATATCCGTCGCGGGACGAGGGAGTATTTTATTGAAAATAATAAATAATAATAATTAAAAGTTATTTTAAAATTTAGTTAAAATTTTATAAAACATACTATACAATAAAAATTATGATATTTATTATAAGAAAAATAAATAAATAGAATGTAATGATTACATTGGTATATTGCACCAATGTGAAACAAATTACACAGAAATCTGGCATGAAGACTTTTCAAAACAAACACTATAATGTCTCCAAATAATTAAACACAAATAACTCTAGTAGTAATCCAATCAGATCAAATTTTGCAATCGAAAATTTACCATGAATACCCAAATGGTGCAAACAATACATATATATGAACTACCAATATATGACATACACACATCACATATTACAATTAATTTCAGCACAAAATATACGCCCGTATAAACGATCATATCAATATGAACTATAAGCATGTCGTTTTTTTTTTTTTTTTTTTTGTGTTGATTAGTCGTAATTAGCATCATTCCATAAGCAGATACATAGAGAAGAAAAAAAAAAAAAAAAAAAAAAAAACAAAGAAAAGCTCAACAATCAGATTACAACCTTTTAACGATACATCAACATACATCAAATTCTAATTTCTTCTATGTAGCGCATGCCGGATCCGTAAATCAGACAAACAATTCAGTCTACGCAAGAATCATTCGACCGCACAAATATCTTTTCGAAAGTTCAACAAACTTAATCAAGCAGATCTTATTCGACAATATATTTGTATTAACTTAGGAATAGTCGAAATCAAGTCTAGGATTGATTATGCACGAGCATGAAGATGCAAAATGTAATTTTCCTAATCAAGTTCATAAGTCATGGTAGAAACAAAAAGTCCCAAATTTGTCAATTAGTGATAAAGTTCCATTTTAATCTTACAGAGGAGAGGAGAGCTAAGCTAAGGGCGGGCGACTAAAGCCGAAAATGCCTCCAAATACTCGATTTCCTCTCCAATATGACAGTAGTAATGTGATCTAAACCAACAATTAAACCTAAAGCAACAACAACCTAAGTAATCCTTCGAAACACAAAAGCAAATTATATTAGTCGAAGCTTACATGAAATTAATTAGGGCAGGCGATTCACCTCTGACTTGGATTCCTTGTGTATGGATTATAGCACTTTTTAAGCTTTAGACATTTGGATCCTCAAAAGGGACGCGGATGAAGAGACGACCATGCAGGCTTACCACAGCCGAAGTCTGAAGTGGGTCGATTCTTGATGGAAGGCTCACCACCTGAAAATCAATCGCCACCAAATTTAAAGATAGATCGACATTTCTCTGTCGACAATTAACATGGTCTGTCTCTCTGTCGACAATTAACATGGTCTGTCCCAAAACCAAAAGCGATCAATTACAGTAATAATAACATTGCAGCATCTGGTCTTGTCATTAGATTATAAAACAAGTGTGCCTAAAGAATAGTTGATAATATGTTTTTATTTGCTTAGAAAGAACGCCTTGGAGTTGGAGCCTAAGCAAAAATACATCAAAGTAAACCCCTATACTTTTTATTTTTATAATTATAATTATAATTTCTTTGTCTCCTGTTGTGTTTCACTTTCATTTTTTATTTCTCTTAAAAATATTCTCATTTTCTTATTTAGTAAAAAACTATACAACTTTATATATTTTTGTTACTTATAAAAGGCAAAAAGTAACAAAAAAGTATCAATAAAAACCCCATACATTAGAACCCGTGCCGAAAAGTTTCAAACACAAATTTGAGAGATGAAAGGAGTACTAAAAATTTATTTTATATTCAAAACATTATTATTCAAAACCCAAAACCAAAAGCCAAAGTCTCAAACAAATACGCATTCTCCATTTTCCATTTATTTTGACGAAAAATTGAATCCCATTTTACTTATGAATCCCAGTAAGCATGCATATTTTTTCATACAAAAATAATACCAAATAATTCTGCCCTTCATATTCAAAGCATTTTTCGGAAAAGGAAGGGTAAAAGTACCTTTTTGAACGGTGTAACCCCCCAGGGATTATCAGTTTTCTCGGGCTGGCCTGTAATGACCACACGTCCGGCAGGATCTGTTTGAACTCGAACCTGCGCTGCCAATTAATGATTGAATTACTAACAAGGTAACAATCCTCAATTGAGAAGATAAGAAGTCACAGAGTTACAGAGAGTTACAGGTTGCAGCATATAAATATCACCACATGCTCATTTCCTTATTTTTTTTATTATTACTATAAGTTCTATCAGCACGGATTATGGTACGATTGGCAGCAATAATATTATAAATCACAATGCGCACAAACCTCCTCACGTAATAGACCTGGTACAAGGGCATAAATCTCGAAACAGTCTTTCTGCACACGAAAAAGACAAGTCACATTCTTTTTGCATATGTAAATTAAGAACATGTGTAAAGGTATAAATAGAATTTTTTTGGTGGACACATACAGCTTGTCGTACATTAATCCTCACCCAGTCTGCTGGGGGCCCAACATCAACAACTGACGTCACCAGCCTAAAAGTCAAAAAGAAACAATTCAATGTCTATATCCAAGTTATAAATAGAAGCAGCAAAAGTGAAATCATCATCTGTCATTTAGAATGCAAATTCCAAGCAAGTTCATTTATTAGCAAAAGTATAGAAGACATAAAACCAATAAACAAGCAACAGAACAGAGTTGGATGCATGAAGAATGTTGTGGCATCAAACAGTAGTTTACGACCATAATATGCTACTAGCACTTAAATAAATCATCTGCCTTTGTACAGGGAAATGCAAAGTTCGATACCGATACACATAAGCACGGTTAAGATCTAAATATTAGAAGCAAGCACACATAAGAACCTACGTTAATCAATCGAAGTAAAATTGTACATATAATGTTTGATAACCTAGAAAAACTAAGATACGAGCCATCGATAACCAAAGCCATGCTTTCTCACATAACTTTAAACTTCAAACACAATTTTTTAATTTTAGGAAGTATCATGTTGCAATGGCCTTGGTAAAAATTGACTGAGTCAACTCAGATACAACATAGACATTTGCACTCTATTTTTTATTTTTATTTTGTTTAGCATGAGAAAATAAATAAATAAAATGCATATAACCAACACTAACATGGGGTTCTCTCTAAAAATATAGTTTCAACTCATTATTGGAAAAAAAAAAAAAGAAACAGCGCATGATGTCCAAAAACATGGACTTAGTCTTATAGCTTTAAACAAAGTATTAACTATTTTAACAAAATGCTTAACTGCCTAGATGTTTCTGTTCGAGCAGCTTTATTTGAATTCTCTGCTTCACTTGGTCTCTTCTGTTTGGCTGAGCCTAGACAATATTCAGATACAAAATGAGCCAACTAGAGAAGCAACACGATACTTATACATTCAATGAAACTCAATTAAGTTCCACAACAACAAAAATCAAGCCAAAGGAAACTTCTTACCAATGCTTTTGAGATTCTTCTCACGCTTTGGGACATTATTGAGATTCTTATCCTGTAAGAAAATTGCCGAAAAAAAAAAAACATGATGTATACTGGCAACAAAATCAATTGAATGAAAAAATATGACTAGAGCATTTTAAATTACACGAACCTTTACAATTGGTTCACCAACCTCACCATACTCAGAATGGCGTTGCGCATGCCAACCTTGAATAGCGCGAGTAGCTGCATCTCTTCTGACCCTTCCTAATGCTTGACAGCCATTTCCCTTTCGTAAGATACAAATAATGTTTAAAAAGTTATGTCAACAGTGTATTCTATTTCTTATATGTATCTTCTACATGTTCGCTATTATGCAGATATCAAAGAAAAAGGCAAGATTCAACAGTGTCATATGTTTTTTTGTCTAGAAGATTTTAGAGAACATCCGGAAATATCTGAGAGGTATTATTCAGCAGTACAGTAGACACAAGGCAGATTATGAATCCATGTGCAAGAAGTTCAAACTCCTAGGAGAACTTTGGGTGTGTTCGTTTGTTGGATTTTACAAAAATTCTACTATTCATCAAATTTTTTTCCTCCAAAAATATCAAATCAAACATCTATTTTTCATTTTTTATAATATACTAAAAATCAATTTTACATTCAAAATATCACATCAACACCTATTTAGATTCACATCATATAATTATTAAAATTCAAAATTTTTATTATTCAAATTCCAACTCAAAATCCAAACCTCCAAACAAACACACCCTTCATAGATAAATGGCATATATTGTCCCAAGACAAAATAAATGCAACATCACCTTGATATAGTAAAAAATATATATACTTGATACCATATTCAAAAAAATCTTTGACAAGAGAACAGGCGAGAAAATGTTAAAACAAAACTCACCTCTACATCACCACCAGAAGCTTCAGGTAATGTTGCCGCTGAGAGTTGGAGATCACCACTGAGTATCTTATGCCTCTCATATTCTAGAAGAGACTAGAGCATGTAAAGGAAAATTTAATATTTGAACGTAAAAATGTAGCAAGCAGCTATGATGACAAATCTTCATCACACATAAAACCATATATGGTTTCTGTACTTATGAGAGGAAAAGAAGATATAATAATAATAAAGGGTTCCGTAGAGCATCACTTATTAAGTTGCAGCCACAATTTGCACATTAGAAAAGTGTGGATCTGGATAAGTAAGAACACATGATGATGAATGAAAACAGGTACTTGATAGAGCAAGAATCATCAAACAAGAGCATCACCTTTTCATAGAAAATCCGAAATGTCCAAGAAACTGTTGTACAAGTCCTGCAAAACGGAAAAAACAGGGCCCACAGAATCATACCATAATTCATTTTAAGCCTACTTCTATAGTAAAGCTACACAAGTGGTAGAATGTAAAACTAAAAAAAAAAAAATTATTTGAAAATATTCTCTATAACATTTCAAATATAACCATAATTGATAAATTTACAGAATGCATTTCTTATGATGTTAGACAGTATAATCATTCATAAGCTTTCTTCATTTCTAACATCAATTCAGAAATTTATGAACACAATACATCATGTCAATTACAAAATAATAAAAGTTTTTTAAAAAATGAGAACTTTCAGAAATTTTATAATTTGAAAATGTATCTTTGAACTAGAACCTCAAAATTACGGGGGAAGCAGTAGTACAAGAGAATGAGAATAAATAATACTAGATTATCAAGAAAAGGACTAACTTTGGTGGGTGGAACGACTCTCCCACTTGCCTCCACAACTTGGATGCAGTTACCTATAAAAAATACACAAATTCAGCAAACTCATGTTGTGGTGTCTGGATGAAAGAAAATGGCATAATAAATCAAAATATCAATTCTAACAATTTGATCTATGATAAATTAGTATAATGAAACCTGGAGACATTAGACTAATATGCTGCCTCCAGTTCGGCCAGTAAACAACAATCATGTGAGGCTTTAAACCATTACACAAAAACTTCATATTCAGAATGTAAAGGCAGACATGTGATTTGAATGCCAAAAGGCAACAACCGTTGATTATTAATTCCTATACACAAAACAGGAAGCATCGAAGACAAAAAGTACAATGATATAAGAATATCTGGATATGCATACCCTGTCATAGCCTCCCAATCTAATAACTGCTCTCCACAACCTAGCAGCCAATAGAGAAATAAATGAATATTTGCCAAGAACAAAGCCACAATAAATATAACCATAAAGGCTAGCTTACTTCAGGCAATTCAGGGGATGCCCGTAAAATTTAGGTGGTTTGAAGTCGAGTGCCCTCTGCCTGTAGAAATTTTCAATCTCCTTCATGAAAGCTACTTGTTCCTCTGGTGTCCCATCATCTTTCTCCCCCAACTAAGAATCAAAAATATTTCTATATATTTAACACATGAACTGCAAAAATGTTTGTTTCATATTGATGAATTCAATTTCATAAATTTGACTTGAGTTATATTATGTTTATTACCAGAGGAAGTGTTGTGGGAGAAAAAGTACTCTTGAATCCTCCTCCACTATGATCTTCAGCCAGTGCCGAAGAATCTCTAATAAGAGAATTTGGCGTAGATGGTTCTTGCTCGTTTGCAAATGAAGGATCGTCATCATGCTTACTGGAGGTTTCAGTAGTCTTGGCATTCTCATCACTTTCAGGATCAGCATGAACTGTTTCACCATCCTGTTCTTTACTAGCATCCATAACTGTTTTATCCCCATCAAGATTGGTAGAATTGTTCGTCCCGTCAACCTCACCCATCTCAGCATCCTGTATTTGAGGAGCTTTGTTAGTAGATAATTCTGTTGGAAGCTGCTTGTGTTCACTAGGATCGTCCTCAGAATCCTCCCTTTTTATTTCCATTTTTTCTCCTTCAACACTTTCAATATCTTCACACCCCTCAGAAACTGTCCGGTTATCTCCAGCATTTTCAACATCTGCACCAGCCTCAGAAATTGTCTTTTCATCTCCTGCAGCATTTTCAGCACAATCCGCATCTCCCTTGGAAATCACCTTGTCGTCTTCTTCCATATTTTCAGCATCCTCTGCATGCCCCTCAAAATTCGTTATGTTACCTCCGGCATCATCACCCTCCTTAGGACTATTCTTATTATCTCCTGTAATTGCTTCAACATGACCCCCAATCCCCTTTGAGATCATCTTGTTATTTTCTGCAACCTTTTCAACATAATCTGCATCCCTCGGTGAATTGGTCTGGTTATCTCCTGCAACGTTGCCAGCACCATCAGCATCCCTCTCAGAATTAGATTGGTTATCTCCTCTAACATTCTCAACATCATTCGCATCCCCCTCGGCATGTTCTTTGGGCTCTTCATCTACAACACCTTCGATAGATTTTTCCTCCATAAGTTTCAAATGGTCTCCACCACCCAAGCAATTCTCGGCAGACTTCTCTTCCTCTCCATCACAGGTAATGTTCTGTTGACACTCTTCATCTTTTTTATCCATCCGCCCCTCGTCTACACTCCTGCACGCAGGTCCCTCTTGTTCCTCAGTTTTAGTACTGATTGGCATTTCATTCTCATCATTTTTATCCAAGTTTTCCTGGATCGAGCCTTCAATTGTTTCATTTCCCTCACTCTTAGGATTAGTTTGCTCTTTCGCAGGCCCCTCTTGTTCCTCACTTTTGTTGCTGATTAGCATTTCATTGTCATCATTTTTATCTGTGTGCTCCTGAATCGATCCTTCAATTGTTTCATTTCCCTCATTCTCAGGATTAGTTTGCTCTTTCGCCTCAATGCTGTCTTTGTCCCCATTTATAGATTCACTTATATCCTCTCTATTATTCTCCATTTTAACTGTGGCCGGAAAGGGGGGATTTTTTCCTTCCCCCACATCTTCACTGTTATGATCCATACCTTTGTTTTCAGATTCTTCAATTTTAATTTCATGCGGGTGCTTTTCAACATCCTCCATCTCTACGTCGTTTTGACTCATGTCGGAAACTAATAAAATTATTAAACTGCATTCCATTGTCAACAAAAGGAAACACGGTTAAAAAATATCATCAAAAACTTATCCATAAGATCAAAATAAAAATATAAAATGCAAGCAAAAATCAATTTTAAGAATTTCAAATGTCCTTATAACCCTCGAGATCACACTGCCATTTTAAAACCCTAGCTACGATTGAATAACAAAACACGACAGTAATTTTTTCCGAGCACAAATAAAATCCCAAAATCCTGAATCAGAAACACAGTGGCGAAATTAAAATTGAAAACAAAAGCATCTGATTCCTATTGAAGGCGATTCGATTCCCCAGATTAGCGCGACAAACTCAGTTACATTCGAGCAAACACAAATAAATGCGAAGCAACATTAACTAACTCACCTTAAAAACACCACCACGCCGCTGTCGGAGCTCGTGGCCGCGGAATGACCTACCAATCAAATTAAGCGCCCGTCTTTTGTCCCTATTCGAGCAAAATAATGCGCCTCTGCGCGACCGCTGCCAATTTCTGCAGACGCACATTTTCGGGACCAGATTTTGCCAAACAAAAAATCATAAGGATGAAAAAGCAATAAAATACTTCGACATTAATTGAAGATTGTGCAAACGTCCTAACCCTAAAAAATGGAAGCCTTAGGCACGCCAAGAACAAGCATCAGCTCTGCAATCGCCGGTGGGGAGAGAGAAATTGAGTGAGAGCGCTTTGGGATTTCGTAGTTTAAAAGGACTCGGCAGGTGAAATGACAAATTTACCCCTATGATTTGATAAAATTGATGTTACTGTTTAATTGATAAAATGGATATGATTCTGGTTTGTTTTATTGTTACGAATTTGAATTTTTTATTTATTAAATTTTTTTGTAAACATTATTTTAATATGTATTTTTCAAGAAAAATAATGTGCCTTGGTTTAGTCTTTTAATTTGGTTTTTTTTTTTTTTTTTTTTTTTTTAACATAAAATTTGAAGAATCACATTAATAATTAAAAATAATACTTCCTCCGTCAACATAGAATTAAAAATATAAATTTTAAGAGATAACCTGATGGTGTAAGAGTTAAATTTGCGATCATAAGGTCATAATTTCAAAACACTAAACAAGCAAATCTTTTAATTGATAAATTTGAACCGGAGATAAAAAAAAAAAAAAAAAAAAAAAGGTCAAAATGTCTTGAATAAACATTCCGAATTGATTTAGTTAAGTGTAAATACATGTGAACAACCCCGTATTAATGAATAAATGAATTTAATTAGTTGTACATACATGCATAAATGTATTTATATATTATTTAACAATCTATCTATTTTTTTTTATTTTGGGTGTCCCATAATAAAATATTTATTTTTTTTTAGTAATTGTACTACCTATCTAACATTACAAATACTTTTTCAATTTACAATATATTACACAAGTATCGTTACCTTTATATCATACAATACTGGTTAATTTAGTCTTTTTATCTTTATTTCTACTTTATCACAATACAATAATAATATTTCTAAAACTCTGTATAAAAAGCAAATAAATATATAGATATGAGACGAATGGAGTATATATTTTTACCATCTCATAGACATCTCGGCAGAAATATTCTTTTTCTTTCTCTTATTTTTATATATTTAGGGTGTGTCTTTTAAGGGGGTTTTGGAAAATTTGAGTTTGAGTTTGGTTTTTATTTGAAATTTGAATTAAGTTTAAATTTTGATTTTTCTTTTGTATTTAAGTTTAGTTGAGATTTTGAGGAGTTTTGATATGATATGATTAATTTTATGAGTAATAAATATAATAATATAAATGTATATTAATTTGTATAATTTAATTATAAATTTATATTATATCTATATATATTTTTAAATTTTTATTTATCTGTATTATAAAATATTTTATTCTCTACAAAATGACATATATATTGTATATACTTTATTAAATTATAAATATTATAAAAATTTAAATTTAAATTTATAATTTAAAAAACAGAGCTGATCAGGGACAAAAACGGAGGCTTGGTTTGGCCCTAAATCCGGACTTAACAGTGGCTATAAAGTAGTTTTGGCTAAAACTACAAAAAGAAACAAACTCTTAATATATTTGTATTTACTTTTTTTTTTTTATTTATTTTTATACACAATGATACGCATAATTTTTTTTAAAAATTTAAATATTAAAAAAAAATTAATTATAAATATAAATATGTATGTTTTTTTTTTATTATTATTATTAACAGGAATGAAAGAAAATATGAGGTAAAAAATGTAAATTAAAAATGAAAAGATGATTTCAAATGGCATAAACATTCCACAAAAGGGCAATGGTTACCAAAATTGATGTTCAACATCTACACAAAAGCTTAAACAACCATAGCCATATTTCAGATTATGCACAAACTCGCAACAATACATTACAAAGTACCTTGATTCTAGGAACCAAAGTCCCGGAGCTCGTCTTGTATCTCCTTGCAAGCCGCTTCCAGCTCCCGGAGCCCATCCTCCAACATCTTCAACTGCGCTAGGAAGCTGTTGCAATCCCTCTGCAAATCAACAAGGTACGCGCTCTTTCTCTCCTCCGTCGATGCTCTCTTCGGGTGTGTTTGTATGGGGGTTTGGATTTTGGATTGAGATTTGAATAGTAAAAATTTTGAATTTGAATAGTTGTATGATGTGATATAAATAGGGTTTGATGTGATGTTTTGAATGTAAAATTGATTTTTAGTATAATATAAAAAATGAAAAATAGGTGTTTGATTTGATATTTTTGGGGAGAAAAAATTGGATGAATAGTGAAAATCCTCCAAAATCCTTCAAACAAACACACCCTTCCTTAGTTTCCTGCAATTTCAACTATCAATTATTAATCATTAATAGGTAATGTTCCTTCTAATCTTAATCTTCCAGGAATATTGTTATAAAATACCCTAACCTAACCTAACCTAAATTATAAATCCGCTGAAAAGCTTGCTTGCTTGCGTACGTACCTTGCCGTCTTCTCCACCTTCTCGACGGTAGACTCAACAACTGCGTTCAATGGAATTCCTTCGATCGACAGAAGATCCATACCTACGTTCAAATCATTATCTCCCCCAGAATACGTTCCCGCCATTGTATCAAACTCAAAAACAAACACGCTTCAGTCAATACCTTCACAAAAAAAAAAAAACTGTGCACAGCACAGAGACGACGAATGCACATTTATAGAGGTCGAAGACGGCATCCGATAGCGAGCGGCGGGGGCGGAAAGAAGAAGGAAGTTTAGGAAAGAGTTGAAGAGAGGAGGAGGAGGAAAAGAAAGAAGGAAGATAAGGAAAGAGGAATAAGTGTTGCGGGCGGCGGCGTACGTGGAAATTGGAATGTCAAAATCTTGTGAATATATAATATACTACTCCATATGCTCATTTGATCGGGTGGGTATGAATTTTAATAAAAGTAATAAATAATTGCTAATTTTTTCTTTTTATAGTAAAAAATAGTATAAAAATAAAATGATTTTTTACTTAAAAATAAAATGAGAATATTTTTCGATGACAATCTAAAAAGAAAAATAATACAAAAATAGAATGATTTTTTACTTAAAAATGAAATGAGAATATTTTTCGATAACAATCTAAAAAAAATGAACATAAATTTGAATGAAAGAGTGAGTATTGATTTCGACTACGACAATAATATAAATTTATTTTATACAAATAATAATACTATATTTGTAATTTCAGTTAATATATATATGATTATATTATTATAAAAATAAAAATAAATTTAATAAAAATAAGTAAATGTTAAAGATATAGAATGTTTATAATCTAAATTTGTAAAAACAATCCAAACTAATTATATTGAAACTAAAATCAATTAAATTTGATCCAATTATAAAAAATATTAATAATTAGTTAATATTAGTTTAAATATAAATATTTTTAATCAATTTTAGTTCTCCCGACTTAGCCGAGTTGGAACCAAGATTAGCACAACTGACACCAAGACAATCCGCTACGAATTCGATATGACAATAAACAAATATAGATAGGATTGAGATTCTCAACTCGAATTCAATCTCAATTATAAAATACTCCTTTTGAAACGACCATTTGGAGTTTTTAATAGAGTAAGGGCTGTTTGATTCAAAGATTTGATGAGATTCCAAGATTTGGATTTTAAAATTCTATGTAATTCATATTTGGTTAAGAAAAAGAAGGTGAAATTTAAAACGATGGGATTTGAAAAAAAAGGTCTAAAATCTTACAAATAAGGGATTTTTTTTTGTAATGGGGATACCCCTGTTACTTTTAAATCTCATTCTTAGAAATTTTAATTTTTACATTTATATCATCTAATAAAAAAAATAATAGTATTATATTTATATAAAAAATTAAATAATTTTAACATTAATTATTATTTGAATTATATACTTAATTAAATTTATATTATTTTTTATTGTACAATATTTTTTAAATAAATTAATAAATTCATTGTTTAAATTATTATTTATTATAAATTTTATTTGAATTATAAAATTATAAGGATGACCATAAGTCGGGTTCAGTCGAAATCGATATCCATCCCAAATATATATTGTTAAATCCTAGATTCAAATTGGATCCGATTATACTAGATCCGACCGAGACTACCCGGTAAGACTTGATGGATCCGAAAAATCCATTTTTTTACAATTCTTAAATTTTAATTTAAAATTACACATGTACCGGATCCAATGTATATTAAAATTTATGTATTTTATTAGAAAAATATTATAATAAAATAATAAATAAGTTAAACTCAAAAAATATTTTTAATATAATTATATTATTCGAAAATATTTTTTGATATGTATGGTTGATATATTATTATATTACCTTGATCATGATCCGGATCCAGGCTTAATACTTAAATAATTGGACTCAACTTCAAATAAATAGGTCGGGCTCGGTCGGGTTCGGTCGGGTCTCGAGTTTACGCCAATCTATTATCATCCTATAAAATTATTGATATCGTTTCAATTTATATTAATAATGAATTAGATGTTTAATTTGTCAAAATAAATAAAATTCATAATAGGACAATTATGTCATTTAGAATATAAAAAATCTAAATCCACTAAATATAAATCCCACTATATTTTACCAACCAAACATAATATGGGATTCCAAATACTAAATATAATAAATTTCATCACATATAAATCCTAGTATGAAATCTCAATCCCACTAAAAAAAAGTCCATGAACCAAACAGCCCATAAGAGATTGTATTCAATACTGTAGAATTTTTAAAATTTGAGTGTATTTAATCCCTGGATTAAATTGCAATTTCACAAGGGGATCAAATTGCAAATTTAATTTAGGGTAAACTGTTTTTTAGTTCTATAACTGTCTTATAAGTGGAGCCCCATAAGTGAAAAATTTTCGGTTTTAATCCTCCGGCGCCGGAGACGCCCGATGTCCCGCCAGGTCAGTGACACTGGCAGACACGTGGATTTATTTTATTTTTTTCATTTTTTTATAATTTTTATAATTTTTTTTAATTGTACCAAATAAAGAAATACAAATAAAATTAAAAATAAATTAAAAATAAGTTTTAAAAAAATTAAAAAAAATAAAAAAATCTACGTGTCCGCCAGATGTTATACCTGGCGGACACGTCCGGCGAGCCACGCGGGCATCTCCGGCGGCGCCGGAGGACTAAAATATCGAAAATTTTTCACTTATGAGACTAGTTTGCGACATGCTCCATTTATGAGACTAAAATGATAAAAGAATCCACTTAAGGAATGAAAAAACAGTTTACCCTTTAATTTAACAATACCGCCGTGGATTTCGTACACGAGAGCGCGTGGTCTATTTAGTCATTTTATCTTTTTACACTCAAAATATTACATAACATCTATTTATTTATACCATATTGTACAACTATTAAATTTGAATTCTTTTACCATTCAAATTTCAACAAAAAAATCCAAACTCTCGAACAAATGCATGGATCGATGTCTCGAAAATATCTACCCAAGCTAAAAAAGCAAAGAAACGCATCCGCAAAACTGAGCAATGCTAACATTAGAAAGAGAGTAAACACGCCATTTATGAATTCTACAAAGAAAGTAGATCAGCGTTTAGCAGAGCAACACGTAATAATAAAAGAACATCACATTACTTCAAAGAAAGCAAACATTTCAAAGTTACTCCCAACCCAATTTCTAATGCTTGCTAGATTACACAACTTATAAACATTAAATTAAAGCACATAATTTTCTGGAAGAACTTAGAGATGAGATTATAAAAAAGACAAGAAAGAAACTGTTAAGAAAAATTACCTCGTTGAATTTCAACTTTCGGCCATTAGATGCATTCGTGTAAACTACAACATCCCACGAAAGGCAAGGGTGCTTTCATAACAGTCTACACAAAAGCTTAAACAACCATATCCGTATTTCGGATTATGCACATTGCACAAGCTCTCCATCCCAAAGCAACATTACCAAAATTGATCGAAAGCATTAACTCAGCATATACTGTATATACACTGTACAGATTTCACAATCTAATCAACATTCCTTATAGTATACAAGACAGCGCAACTTCATTACGAGCCCGACAAAGAGCAGATCCCAAACAAGAATGTTCATGCAAGGCCATTTTTCTCTTTTTCCTTTTCTTTTTTTTCAGGAAATTAAATATACCTATACAGAAAGCAAATTCATTATTAACATAAATAGAATCAATGACCTTATAACCAAGACATAATGCAAACAAAAGAAAACCAACACAGACCCACGATGCGAATTACTCATAAGCCATATAAACAATGTTGACAAACGTAACCCAACCCGATAAACTGAGACACTTCATCAATGGAAAACCATGCTTCAAATAACATCTACACAAAAGCTTAAACAACCATCCATATTTTGGATCATGCACAAACTGATCGAAAGCATTCATAAAGAGCCCGACAAAGAGCAAATCCCAAACAAAATGTTCAAGCAAGGCCATTTTTTTTTTCAGGAAATTAAATATAGCTATACCATAAGCAAATTCATTATTAACATAAATAGAATCAACACCCATATAATCAACATGAAAAACAACCAATTCGATTCTCATAACTCATAAGCCACATTCGACAAGAGGAACCCAACCCGATAAACTGAGATACTTCAAATACTAACATATAAGCACCGAATCATAGAAGAACACTATAGAGAATAAAAAAACCACAACAAAACACTAAGCACTGGTCTAAAAATGATTCATTTGGTACAAAATATAACAGCCTCTCAATCCTAAAGTTTTGAAACCATCACTGCCCTTTTACTTGACCTCCTCCTCCCTTTCCTTCTCCTCCCTCTCTCTGTTCCATTGCTCAATCCTTGCCCTACGCTCTTCACTCCCTTCCCTCACCGGGCTCCGGCTACGTCTCCTCGGAGGACTCCCACCGTGCCTTCTCCTATCAACCTCATGCCGGTCACCGCCCCTCCGCCCACCCCCGCGGTGGTCCCTCCGATCATGATCTCTCCTATTATCATGATCCCTATCTCTATCTCTTTCCCTCTCTCGCCTCTGGAGGTGAGAGGGACTGGAGCTCCGGCTGCGGCTCCTTCTAGTGCCCCAGTAACGTCCGGGGTTCTTACCGAAGAGTTTTCTCCTCAAATCCCTACTGATCATCTTCACGTGCATAAAATTGCAATAGCCGCCGCGATTGCAGTTGTTCTCCTCGAACTGCCGGCAGGTGGCCTCGCGGAAATCTGTGACAGGAGAGAAATCAGCAATAATAGGGCGACCGGAGTAATACCTCCCCTGCAAAGCGTTGAGCGCCGCCGCGGCCTGATCCTCCTCGCGGAACTGAACGTACACATTCCCGATCATGTGGTCGGCGAGGTTGTCGCAGACGTGGAGGCTCTCGATGTCGCCGAATTTTTTGAGCTCCTCGTAGATGTCCTCGTAGAAATCCTCCAGATGCTCCTGGATCTTCCGCGGGTCGATCGGCTGGCCCTGGGCGTCGACGCCCGGGGTTATCATGTCCGGACGCTGGTACATGTTGGAGAGCAGCAGCGTCGGAGATATGGTGGGGCGATTGTGCAGGCGAGAGCAGCGGTCGCCGTGGCGGCAGGCGCCGATCTTGAAGTAGAACGGGCAGTTCACGCGGTCCTTTTCGGTTCCGAAAATGGAGGCCAAGTGCTCCGCCATGGTTAATCGTCGTCGGAGGCGAATCGGAGACGATTGTAGAATTTAATTAGGGTTTGAGAGGGAGGGAGGTGGGAGGTAAAAAACCCTAATTTTTGTGGGAACATAATAAAATGGGGGAAGAGGAGCTGCTGCATAAATCGACTTCAGCGATGGTGAAGGTGTCTGAGGTTGAAATGACCGAAATACCCCCTTCGTTATCTTCCGGATGCCGACGCTGCGCCTAGACACTACACGTACGTACGTTTTTTAACGCGATGTATCTCTTCATTTCTTAAGACTTATATGTGTGTTCGTGGGTTTGATTTTTAAATTTGATTTTTTAACAGTAAAAATTTTAATTTTAATAATTATTTGATGTGATATAAATAAATATTTATATAACATTTTAAATATAAAATAAAAATTTTGTGTATAATTTTTAAAAAAATAATAATTATTTAATTTGATATTTTTAAATTAAACAAAATAAATAACAAAAATCCGTGAAAACTTAAAAAAACAAAAAAGACACAATCTTATGTAAAAGAAATACACACGTAAACTTGGTGCACTAAAGCAACCTGACACTTTTGTTATCAATTTATTCAATTATATGACCCTAAACGAATTATTATTTGATCAATTTTGATTTCATTTGTACCAATTGGATATCTCTATTCTAGTTTATTAGTATGATTTTACAGTCATTTTTATAGCTCACTTATATATTACTTAAAAATCACTAAAAAAGAAGGGGTATAATTTAATTGTCTTTTTTGTTAAATCATAATCATGTTAAATTATATACGACTCAATCTCATATTTAACTATCTGTTTGTTTTTTCTACGAAATTTTAGAAATATTAGTATTATATGAGATGTAGTAGAAATAAAAGTAAAAAGACTAAAAATATGATATATAAGTAATGTCATTGGTGTAATATCGTAAATTGAAAAGATATTTGTAATGTTAAGTAGAGTATCATAATTTTAAATTATTACAATACCATTTACCGACTAAATTATTTTTAAGTATTCTTTTGAAAATGATAAGTAACACCAACTGTAACCTTAATTGCATACAAATGAAGAACTCCCGCCAAAGTTTACATTAATTAAAAAGAAAACAGACAACAACATTAGAAGCCCATACGATACCAGACATGATCATATCAACTCAAAGGCTTATTGGAATCGACAAACCACACACATGCTTTAAAAAATCGAAACTTATGCAATGCAATAAAAGGACAAGGAATATACCAACATGGACGGTTGGTTGGACAGTTAGTTATCTATCGAGGCAGAGAACTCGGAGGGAAGTGGCGCAGAGGATTCTCTTTCAACAGCAAAGTTTCCCTGAAAAAGATCATCGACAACAATGGAGTCGGAGATGTGGTTAGTTAGTTGTGTCTTGTTTTTTGCAAAAAAGACTTATGGATAAAAGCATGAATGCTTTTCTTACTTAGTAAGATCTCTACCGTCCCCGGCTCTAAGCTGCAAGGCCGAAGATTTTCCACTTTCATTGTCTTGTTTATGTTTCCTATGAGAAATAGAAAAGTTTTTTTTAGTTATAGTATATCGGATGGAGTCCTCGAAATAATTGGACGTGGTGTTTTTGTTTACTTACTCGGGGCATTCTTCATCAACAAAAATCTCGATGCGAGGGCCAGGGGGTGGTCTTCCAAGTCTCTGGCCAGGCCTTGGGGGAATCTGTAACAGAGAATTAACAAAATAGAGTAATTGAGGAGGAAAAATAAATTTTATTTATCTGACTCTTTTCCTTACAAAACTATTATAATATATATAAATATATATAATGGATTAACACAAATATCAGTAATTTATTATCCCATATTCACTCAATCGTATATTATTATATAATCCATTATTGAATATTTACTAAATCAAAATATATATCAAGATTAAGTTCTAACAATCTATAATAGTAGAGAGTATAAGGAGTTCAAATTCTTCGACAGAGGATTATATTTTGGTGTTATTTTTGTTACCTTAGTTGATGTCCACTTGGAAGGAATTGAGTTGTTTTCTTTGTTTCTTTCTGCTCGGGCACCGAGTGAGTGCCATGGCTTCATGTCTGGGATTGCTAGCTCGGGCTGATGTCCGAAAGACGAAGTGCTGCTGTCGTCTTTGAAGACAGACAGATTAGTTCCAGGAGCCCTGAAAATCGAATAAGCCACAAATATTAAATCACATGTTACGGCTCTTTGTAAGGAAAAATTCGAATGAATAATAGAAATTCTTGAAATTTTTTTAAACAAACGGCTGCTTTATCATAAATATTTGGATTTATCCAAGAAATTGAACATCTGAACAACATAGTGAAGGAATTCTGTTCGGACCTGTCTAGTTTATGTTTTTTCCTAAGAATATCTGAACTTTCCGGAGTTCGATTTCCTGCCATCATAAGAAGATACTGCTTAAAACAACATTTATATGAGAGTAACCTTAAAGGATTACAAAATTTATATGCATAGCTTACTTGAATCTCTAGCCAATACAGTTCCAAAGCTTCTAGTGGGAAACTGGTTCTCGGTCACATCCTCCTGATGATTAACAAGAGGGTTACTATAAATATTAACTCAAGCAGATATATATATATATGGTGTAAACGACAAATTGCATACTTCAGTAGCTTTCAGTTGTCTCATTGAGCGTGCTAGAAACTTCCTGTAAGCTTCTTCCAATTTTTCGGTTGGTTGAGCCTTCCTGGTAGCCGAAAAGGAAGGAGCAGTTTATAAGCGTAAGGGAAAATGTTTAACAAATTGACAAGAAAAAACTTGTTGATCAAGATTAGCAGCAAACAACTGATTACTGACTTATATGCATGAAATAACAAATGGAATGAGCACCTGGTCTAATTTGTAATCATCGAAAAAGATCCCTCCAATCTATACATGGCTATAAAAATAATGATTGGCTAGAAGCCTAACTTGCAAAGCAAGACAGTTATCGTGTATGTATATGCATTGAATGAAAACTGAGAGTACAGAAGTACCAGAAATATCGATTTCTTATAGAAAACTATGAGCATCTTTTATATACTTCAGATCACAGAATAGAAACAATGCTTACATAGATAACCCGCGATTGAAGATCTCATTTGCAGTTCTATTTTTGTTCTTGTGTTCCATGTGTAGTGCATAGGCAATGTAGAATAAGGTATGTGTTACCCCTATTTTGTTTGTCTCTAAAAATTTATAAATGACTTCTGCATCAACACAGCTTTCAGCCTATTTCACAAGTTCAGAAAGCAAACATAATTACTTTGTTAGTATCTGAACATGAAGGGTACAAATGAAATAAAGACACAAAGAAGATCCTTACATATTCCAGCCAAACTTTTAGGTATCGCAGATCATCTTTGTAACGGTCTTCGTGCCAAAAGGTGCGAACACATTGTTCATAAATCACCATTAACCCTGAGCAGTCACCACCTGGAGGGAAAGCCTCTTGAACCCATTTTATGCACCTTTTCCAAAATCAATAACATCAAATAGGAAAAAGTAAGTGCACAAACTTTCCTCATTTCAATTAGTTTCACCAAAGTTTAATATCAAGAACTTAAAACTCACATGACAATGTTTGTACCAGAGATCACGTATCAAGATATTTTTAAATCATATACCACTTCTAGTTTTGATATAAAATGTTATCAATTTTGAGGAAGAAAGAAGATACCGTCCACTGCCTTAAGAGCCCTTATTCTATACAAGTCTACCTTCCTCAGTAAAGACACACAAAACAAATGAATTTGGTTACCATTTCTATTTTCTTGCGAAGAAAATATTACAAGAACGAACAAAAAATGGCACACAATAAAGGAATTTAATTAAAAAGTTTTGATACCCTGTGTCGGGGCTGCAGCCCACAATTTTCACTATTTTGTTTTGAAGAAAAAGAATCACAGAATCCACAAAGAAAGCTATATTTAAGAGGATGGAAATGTATTCCCATGCTCAACCAACACAAACTAAATTTAAAATTTAATCACTATATTATTCCAAATTGCCTAAACATTGAAATTCAATCACTTTATACTATGTAGCCCCATGCTCAATGAACTTTGGGGCAACTGTAAGTAACTAGATTGAACTCTGCTGTATTTTAAATTTCTACCGCTTGAATAATTGATATGGATTAACGCTAAAGAAATAGGGCGTTGGTGTAAAACCATATCATTGATTTAATCCCAAGCAGCTGAACATAATAAGTTTAATCTTCCGGTGGAAGAGCTTAATTGACAGACTAATTAGCACTTCTGAAAATCAATTAGATTCACTGCCATTCTTAACTTCCAATCCGGTATATACATAAATTTATTTAAACATGAAGTGAAGAAGAAAATGAATGAATTTAGAAGCAAAATGACAAATCTCAGACAGAAATGAAATGAATCAAATAGCACATAAAATAATCTCACTCGATCCAGGGGTGCAGAGGATCCTCGCCTTTATACTCGTCAATCGCCTCAATCAACTTCCTTTATTTTCCAAATTTTCATCAATCAGTGCCTTAAAACAACAACAAAAAAAATAGAACACATCCAAACGAATTAGTAGAATCAAGAATATCCTTATAACCTCCGATGATGGAGAAGTGAATTCTGCAGTTGAGATTGGGCATGTGATTTGAGAGCATGGTTAAGGAGACGAACGTTGCGGCCGCGCTTCAGAGGGCGGACATTTTCCTTGTACAGTTCCCACTCGTTGCCGCTCTGCTCCTTGGACACCAAAAACTCTGTCTCCGGATCCAAAAACACTTCCGTCGCCACCGATTCATCCATTTTCCCGACCTCCATCGTTATCCTCGGATTTATTTTCTTTACTCTTTTTCTAGCTCTAGGGTTTTTATTAAAATTTGAAATTTGAAATTGGGAACGCTCTGAGTTTTTTTCTAGCCGTTAGTGCCGTTAGAGGAGACTGGCCCTGAAATGGATCTCCCACTGTGCCGCGGATGCTGTGAGTTTACTGTATTGCCCCTACATACCACATGAACTTTTGACTCCCGTGAAGTTGCGAAATAATACTACTCTTTCTTTTATAATTATATATATATATATTTATTTTTATTTTACTATTAATGATAAAATAAATAAAATAAAAGAATTGCACATCATTTTAAATTTCGCAATTAATCTTTTATTTTTATATTTTTTTTACGACAGAAAAAAGTATAAAACTTGTATTTTGACTTGTCTTATTATTCAATTGCATTATTTTATTTTATAAAATATTATATTAAAATACAAATGCTAAAATTTTTGACGAGGGTGTGTATTTTTTTTGTTAATCTTTACTTTTTAGAATTAAAAATTGCTTAAATTTAATTTTTTATGTATGTTTGTTTTGTAATTGTGTAAATAATATTTTTTCTATTTTGGTCGTCTCATATAATTTATGATGAATATATAATTATACACTTTAATAATTAATTTTAAAATTTATAATTTATAACTTTTTTACTTAATTTATAATTTTGTAATTATATAATAATTATTTTTACTAATATATCGAAGAGAAATGGAATTAATAAAGAATGAGCTTGTTTGATAAAACAAAAATAAATCAGAGAATTGATAAAACAGAGAATTCATTTGAAAAATTTAAAAAAAAATGCAGATATATGAATAATCAAACAAAAATAAACGATTAACCCGATAAAAAGAGAGTTTTAACGAATGTGAATTCATGAAAAATATTTTTGGTAATTTTTTTTAAAAAAAATTATAAATTATATACGATATTTTTTAAAATTATATTTTAGTACAATTTCTTAAAATATCGTAAAAATTAAATACTTTAAAAATAAATTAAGTTTGTTTTTTTGTAAAATTAAAATAATATAATTTTTAAAAAATTATAAAAATTAAATAGTACAATTTTTTTTAAAAAAAAAAAACATACACTGCAACAAATATGGGAGAGAAATGAAAACATAGAAATGGAAATGATTTATTTCTCAAGTTCCATTGATACCATTTTTATTTGTCTGACCTCATTTCTCTGTACCAAACACAACCTAAGAGTAAAAATCATTTTTGGTCCTATTCAATATTATAATTATCAATTTTGGTCTCATTAAAAAAAATTATTAATTTTTGGTCCTACTCAAATGAAAATTTATCAATTTTAGTCCCAAGATGGTTGACTGAGACTGAACACGGTCGTGTTGGCTTGAACACAACCGTGTTAGATGACTCAGAAGGTGACTGGGCGTCTCAAGCAGCCAATATGGCCGTGTTCAAGCTAACACGGCCGTGTTGATTACCCTGCACTTCTGAACACGGCTGTGTTCCTGTTCGTGTTATGAACACAGTCATGTTCATGTTCATATTCTCAACATAGCCATGTTCTAGATCATGTTATTGTCCATGTTCTCAACACAACTATCCATGTTCCTACTCATGTTCTCAACGGAGCCATATTCTAGGTCATGTTCACGACCATATTTTCAATATAATCATATTGTATGTCATATTTATTATTATTTTCACTTTTTGATTAAAATTATTTGATATATATTTATAATTCAACAAAAATATTTTTTACAATTATTTCATAATATAAAAATAATTATGTTTTAATATTTTTAAAATATATAAAAATAATAATATATTAATATATATTTTTAATAATACTCCCTCTGCCCCACTTACCATATCCACATTGCGGTTTATGTCCGTTCCATATCCCATATCACTTTTATTTTTTGGAAAATAATTACACACTATTTTTTTAATTTTTTTAATTTTAATTAAACTAATGATCTTAATCTTAATTTATAATTATTTATATTATATGATAATTATTTTCACTAATACATTCTTAATTATTTACTAATTATACTTATCCTAAATTCTCATGTCTAAATAACCCATACATCTAACGTGGACGGAGGGAGTATTATTTTAAAATATTATTTGGAATAATAAATTTAATTTATAATTTATAGAAATAATTAATTTAAAATAATATTTTAAAATTTTTTGTATAAATTTTAAAAATATATATAATGATTATGAAAAATATATATTAATATATTATTATTTTTATATACTCCCTCCGTCCCGTTGGAATGGTGGCGTTTGTTTTTTACACGTAGATTTTTAAATATTAGTATTATATTGGATTGTACTAAAAAAAACAAGAATAACCCCTGTTAGAATAGTGTAATATAAAAGTAACGACATTTGTGTAATATATTGTAAGTTGAAAGGGTATTTATTATGTTAAGTAGATAGTACAATTACTAAATTAGAAAATGGTAACCTTATTTTGGGACGGACGAAAATGGAAAATGGTAACCTTTCAATGGGACGGAGGAAGTATTTTTTAAATATTAAAAATTAATTATTTTTTATATTATGAAATAATTGTAGAAAATATTTTTATTGAATTATAAATATATATATATCAAATAATTTTAACCAAAAAGTAAAAATAATAATAAATATGACCTACAATATAATTATATTGAAAACATGGTCGTAAATATGACCTAAAATATGGTTGTGTTGAAAACATGCCAGAAACATGACCTAGAACATGTTGAGAACGTGACAAAAACACGGATTAGAACATAGTTGTGTTGAAAAAACATGGACAGGAACATGGTTGTGTTCAAAACACGGCCGTGTTCAGAAGTGCAAAGTGCAGGGTAATCAACACGGCCGTGTTGGCTACCTGGGACGCCCAGTCACCTTTTGAGTCATCCAACACGGCCGTGTTCAGTCCCAGTCAACCATCTTGAAAATCTTGGGACTAAAATTGATAAATTTTTATTTGAGTGAGACCAAAATTGATAATTATGATACTGAATAAGACCAAAAATGATTTTAATCTAGTATTAATTATATCTTTCCGTATGTATCTACAGTCATATGAACAATTTACATTGAATAATTTACGTGGGATGAAAAGAGTATTAAAATAATAAGTAGAATATGTATAATATAGTGCATTAATTTGTTGGGAAAAAATATGTGTGCAAAAAAAAAACAAAGACATACTCTAAGAAAAATAGTAAACTGTGTATTTGAATTGGAACAATGATGTAATATAAAAATACGTAATATTTTTAATGTAAAATTAATTTTTATTATAATATAAAAAATAAAAAATAAAAATTTAATTTGATATTTTTTAAAGAGAAAAATTTATATAAACAGTGTAAATCTTTCCGGATCGTTTGAACAAACACACCCTAAAACAGCAAATAAAGTATTAACAAAACAAGGAAAAACAAGTGGACGAGGAAAGTTAATGGCTCAGTTGAATGGCCAAGCCATGACGTCTCTGCTCCTCTCTCCGCCGTCGCTCCTCCTCCGCCGCCGCCGCGCAGCCCAAATTCTGCCGACCGGCCGTCCTGCTAACTCCTTTTCCCGCTTCAAAGCTTCATGGCAAGAGGTAAGCACATAGTAACATTGTAGATATACCTCTACTCTCTGTGCTGCTTCGTATGTATGTCGGTTACTCTCTCCTCTCTTCTGCCACACGAACAATCGACCGAAAGGTCGCCGGAGTTTTGGTGTTCTCAGCGATTCCTTTCACGGCGGTGAAAGCTATCGCCAACAGTCCGCTCGGTGCGGCGCTGCAGAGACGAATGGAGGAGAAGAAGCAGTTTTATAAGGATAACTCTTCCAAGTTGAAGGCGCTCTCTGAGAAGGCCAAAACAGAAAGGTATTTAATCGATTGTTTGCGTTTCACCTATTCACAACTGTATTCGATCTATATACTTTACTCCAATTCGATTCTCTGTTGAACAAAGTAGTGGATGATGAACAATGAAAGAAGGAAATTGAGCATGCCTGCCTGTGTTCGTTCGTATTTTGCCCTAGTTTTCCATCTGTTGCAAATTCTGAATCAAGCAATGTACTGTTCCGCGATGAAGATCATCAAATTCGTTTGCTGATGAAAATTGAATTCTCTGGTGTTGCAGCTTGTGGTATGGGGAGAATCGCCCTCGCTGGCTCGGTCCAATCTCGTACGACTATCCAGGCTACCTCTCCGGTGAACTTCCCGGCGACTACGGTTTCGATATAGCAGGTTTGGGTGAGGATCCCGTGGCTTTGCAGAAATACTTCAAGTGAGTACACCATAACCATATCTATTTTCATGACCAGTGGTGTTCTTCATTCAGAAGCCTCAATGATACATTTCTGCCATAACTATTATCATAATAGATTTGTTGAGAGAATACTGACAGTGCAGATTTCTACATGTTATTATGTAGCTTTGAAATACTGCATGCAAGGTGGGCTATGCTTGCTGCACTTGGTGTTTTGATTCCAGAAATATTAGACCTAACAGGAGCATTTCAGTTTGTCGAGCCTGTTTGGTGGCGGGTGGGCTACTCGAAGCTTAAGGTTTGCATTTCATCCTCTTTCGATTATGTTATATGCCCATTTTGGTAGAGACACGGCCTTGTGTCACGAGATAACTTCAATCCGTCAAAGTTAAATCGTGCACCCCTTAGCAATTCACTCCTAAAGTTTGGGGCGAAAGTCTTTTATAGGCCAAGAGTTCCATTACATGGTTCTACAACGTAAAACCTTCCGAGCATTTAGTACAACTATCTACTATACTTCATAGGGTTTCAAAAAGTTCCGGGAGAATCCTTCATCGACCTAAAACAAGATTCTAAATAATAAACCGCCAACTTGAGACTCATTTAGTTGACAAATCTCCACCCACCTAAGCCTTCTTCAATATTTGAGTTGCTAAAGGTCGCACAGTAATTCACGGGGATTGAAATTATCTGTAATCCCCCGACTGGTGAAGATTTTAACCTTATTTTTCACTTTGCTTTGCGATCTTACACCAGGGGGACACATTGGACTACCTCGGCATCCCTGGTCTCCATGTAGCAGGAGGTCAGGGAGTGATTATAATTGCTATTTGTCAAGCACTTTTAATGGTAAACCATCCCTTTATAGTAAATGACAAAAGGATCACACCAAAATTCTATTATAATTCTAACATTCCACGTGTATATCTCTACAGGTAGGTCCAGAATATGCACGATATTGTGGCATCGAAGCTCTGGAGCCTCTAGGGATTTATTTGCCTGGTGATATAAATTATCCGGGAGGTGCGCTTTTCGACCCCTTAAACCTTTCTAAAGATCCCTACACCTTTGAGGAACTAAAAGTTAAAGAGATTAAGAATGGTCGATTAGCTATGGTTGCCTGGTTAGGATTTTATGTTCAAGCAGCTGTTACAGGCAAAGGGCCTGTACAGAATCTCCTAGAACACATAGCAGATCCGTTCCATAATAATCTACTTTCGACTATAAAATTGCTGTAGAAGATTTTGTCAATACTGAACCTATCTAAACCTTAAAGTTATATACATAGTCGAGCACGCTTTCCCCCACGGAACATGCAAATCTTCTATTGGAATGAACAAAGAACAGGTTGAAGTCTTCTCATAAAATAGAATCCAAAAGCTTTAGTAGAAAAGATTGTTGTTGACATTAAAAACTTATGAAACAATTGCAAATCATACTTTGATGGCATACTTTCTCAATGGGAAGTACATTTCCTTCTTTTTCTGTCTCTCAGTCTTCAAAGATGCCTGAAGAAATTGAAGTGTAGAATTCATCAGCTTATGTGAATAATGAATCGATTTTAGCCACAAAAAATAACATCTTAAGTTTTACTTGGGGTGTGTTTGTTTGTATTTTCATCTGCTCTAAAGGGCATCAAATCCAAACCTAACCTAGTTTTATGTTTTAAAAGTTTTATATTAAAAAATCCAAATACAAGTCCAAACACACCCTTATAGTTTATCTACCTCTACTAACTTTATCAGAATACTGTATCCCCCAAATCAAATCAAATCAAAATAATGTAATACAGAAGTCGGAAAAACATCACAAACGATGATACCAGAGGTTAGTGAAAAGTGGCATTAACAATATGAGATAAGCAATACAGATTTAAAACCAATTGAGGTCAGTTACAGTTACATTCTCTCTACACAATGCATGAATCTAAGACTAGAATGCAGTGAATTTCCCACAGTCCACCGAATTATGCTTCTAGATTAAGATGATGTTGTAAATGACATAGGCGACAACAGAAGGTAATTGGAAATGGCATATTAACGAGCATTATTGCGTAGTTAACCGTAAGATTTACCAATAAATTGAATATTTTGAATCCTTTTAGTCACATAAGTTTAATCTATAAATCTGAGTAAGTCGAAACTTGAAACGAGTTTAACGAACATACCTGGTGCTTCGTGAGGCGGCGGCGGATGGCTCGCGTCTTCTTAGTGCGGAGATCAAGCGGCAAATACTTTTTGTTTTTGTAAGCTTCCCGCAGAGCCGCCTTCTGCTTCTGCGATGTCACGGTCAGCACTTGCGCTATCGACAGCCTCACCACCTTGATTTTCGACAGCTTGTTCGGAGCGCCGCCGGTCACCTTCGCCACGCGCAGCAACGCCAGCTCCGCCTTCAGATCCTTCAGCTGAGCCGACAGCTCCGCCTTCGTCTTCTGCCGGAGTTCGTGCACCTTGATCCTAGCTACGAAAAGCAAGTCAGTAAGCATTAGTAACATATAAATACCAAAATAACAGGATTGATTTCGCTCTCTTTTCGCTTCCATTGAAATGGAATGCGTGAGCGTATCTCCCTACCCATTTTCTCGTCGCCGTCGGTCGTTCTCTGCTTCAGTTCAGTTCTGGCGTTGCCGTAAACCCTAATATGGATTTTATGCACTACTATTGGGCTTATATATAAACTGTACTTGTTTCATCATTCCAAAGCCCAGTTTGGAAAATCTAATTAATATTATATTCCACTTATTATTGATTTGATTTAATATTTTTATTTATCTATATGTATAGAAAATTTATAAATTGAAAAAAAAAACATTTCTTCCTTATTTTATGATATTTATTTTAAAATTAATCATGTCGATTCTTAGTTCATCATCATTTTATATTTAATGTTGATCCTTAAACAAAGGGGACAACACAGCTGAATTTAATCATTATTATTAGTTAATTAATTAATTTATTTATTTAAAATAAATAATTTTAAATTAATAATTCAGATTAATTCCAACATATAGTTATTTATATAAATACATTCTAAATGGTTCGAAAATCTCACATCTTTTTTTCATATATATTCTAAAAATAAAAAATATTACTCCCTCCGTTCCATGTAATAGGGTCTATTATTGTAGACACGATAATTTAAGTAAAGTATAATTAATAAACAATTAAGAAATGTATTAGTAAAAATAATTATTATTTAGTAAAAATAATTATAGATTAACATTAAAATAACTAAATAATTTAATTAAGATTAAAAAAATTAAATTTAAAATTTAAAAATATGATTAAAGTGTATAATTAATTTTTCAAAAAAGAAAATGACAAATTATGTGGGACGGATGAAAATAGAAAATATGGACAAATTATATGGGACGGATGGAGTATTAAATAATTAAATAAAATTGCATCAATTGTGTTTGGTGACAAAGTTGCCATAAGTCTCCTCCTATGAATTGGTAGCCTTGGTCACACACACAAAAATTAGACAAGTAATTTTGTATATTTGTGAGTTATTTGTTTTTGGCTTGAGAGTATTTTTGTAAGATTGAGAGTTGTGAGCTTTAAATCGTTATTCGAACCTATTTTATATGGTGAAAGTTTGCTCCGCTTTTGTCTTTTTGTCTGTGAATGTAGGTCATCTTGACTGAACCAGGTATATGTTTGTGTACTTTATCTCCTATGAATTTGTAGCCTTGGTCACACACAAACAAATTAGACAAGTAGTTTTTTACATTTGTGGGTTACTTATTTTTAGTTTGAGAGTATTTTTGTGAGATTCAGAGTTGTGGGCTTTAAATAGCTATTCAAGCCTATTTTATATGGTAAAAGTTTGCTCCGCTTTTGTCTCTTTATCCGTGAATGTAGGTTATCTTGACCAAACCACGTATTTATTTGTTTACTTTTAAATTTTTTGTTTTTACTTTTATTAAGATTCTACCGATATTTGTTTGGATCGTAATCCTAACAAGTTGAATAATTTTTCTCATAATTCCAAACATATATCTTCTAAAGATTTCTTGGACCCCTATATATATATATATATATATATAAAATTGCAACAAACAAAATATCAAAGTGCGAATCATGATGGGGTCCAAAAGTTTATTTAACTTAGCCACATATGGAGAAGCCCATATTGTGCTATTTTTATATTCTCAATCCTTTTGTTTTGTTCTAATCATTTATCATTTTTAAATACTAACACGATTATTTGAGACATAATATAATTTTTTATAAGAGAAGGGTTACCTTGCAGAAATTTTAGAACAACACATGTAAAATATATAAATAATACAGGTGATTGATGTAATAAAGACATATGTTATTTGTTTGTAATTATAACTTGTGTTTTATAAGAGTATATCATATGTTAAAATTAATTGTTGCTTATATTATATTGTGTTTGTATTATATTAATATAAATGACATATTGTCAATAGTAATATTATATTTTATTGTACAACACAATTTTAAATTTAGTACGATAGTTGTCACCTTTATATAACTATAGTAGCTGATGACCCTTGATCATCGCTCGTGATTGCATTCTTTTGTCTATTTTATATTTTAAAAATTATTAAATTAAATATTTTTATATTATATTAAAAATTAATTTTATAATAAAAATATTACCCCATCTATTCATCTAACATCTGGATTACTAAAGAAATAATTAAAATATAATTATATATAAAAAAGGAATATCATCATGTATATTCCTTTGGAATTTCAGAATATTTATTTTTAAACTAATAATTATCTTTTAAAATATAATTTTATGACATGATTGATCTCTTAATTTAAGATGTTTTTAGTAAGTATTTTAATATGAAACAGCTCCAAATGTTTCTTATTATTAGCAGTAGTAATATATTTTGATAGTAATGATACTATAGGTGAGTTTCTTTAGGAGATTTTGGGAAAATTTAGGTTTGGGTTTGTGTTTGATTTTATTTGAATTTTGAAATGAGTTTGAGTTTTGATTTTTTTTTTTTTTTTTTTTTTTTTTGAATTTTGTTAAAATTTGAGGAGTTTTAATGTATATTGATTTGATGGATATAAATAGAATAATATAAATATATAGTAATTTGTATAATTTAATTATAAATTTATATTATATTTATTTATATATTTTAATTTTTTTTATTTATATTATAAAAAAATTTATTCTCTAAAAAATAATATATATATTGTATACATTTTATTAAATTATAAAAAAAATATGAGTCTATCTCCCAAACTCCCTCGGACGAATTTTGCGTTTGTTTGGCCTCAATTTTCTTTATTTAATTTTTACCATCTCAATAAAATATTTTATTTTTATTATAAAATATGACAGTAAAATATTGTATTTAAACAAAAGTAAAAAAAAAAAAATCAAATTCAAATAAAAATAAAACAAATTCAATTATTTCTGCACACGTGTTCATAGAAATTATCCACTTACATAACTGTATAAGATTAATTAAGAATTTTAAATTTGATGCCTATCATATATATATATATATAGGTAACTTAAATTAATCAAATATTTAGAGAAAATAGTACTATTTTTGTCTAATAACAATGTATTTATTATTAAAAATATTATTATATTTATATAATATATTATATAAATATTATTATATTTATATTATACAATATTAATAGAAACATGGTTGATATAATAATTAATATTTAAAATTATATATATATGAATATCTAAAAGAGTACTATAAAATAAAAATATATGTAATTGTTTGATTGTGGTTTTCAATCAATTTAAAATAAAATATTAATTTAAAACTTTATTTAAGTAAAAATATACATTTTTATTATCAATAATGAGAAGATAAATAATATTATTTGGGTTTCAAATTACAACAATATAGTAAATTATCTAGTTATTTATTTTATTAAAAAATATTATTTTGAATATTTAATTATTTTATTGTATAAAATTTACATCAAATATTTTACGTATTTTAATAAAATATAAATAATAGTATTAGATAATTTACAACACAATTATATTATTAAAATATTTATTGTTAAATAATAGGTGCGTGATGGTCAGCAGTGGGACCCAATTTGAATGCTGTAACGTAAAACCCTTGAAAATGACCGTTGCGAGTGAAAAGGCATCGAGCCTTTTTACAAACTTTTATTCATATTATCAATTATTAAATAGGGTTTTAGGAAAACGACGAAGACGACTGATCAACCAATCTCTTGATGCTGATGTTAGTTATGGTTATGGTTATGATTTTGGTTTTGGTTTTGGTTTTGTGGCCATGAAGGATGTTGGATTAAGCTTACCTGACCACCAAATGCAAATTCCATCTCCACTTGGTAAGCCCTAATTTCAATTTCAGTAATCGTTATGTCTGACATTACTTTAATCCAATCACAGTAACCTGCCCCCAAATTTTGTCGTTCTGGCCCTCAATCAATAATGATCGTCATGATTCCCCTTCCCTACCAAAAGTTATGGTGATAATTTTCCGAATTCATTATTATTGTGTTGTTACGGTCCATAATTTTCCTTAATTAAAAAGATGGTTTGAATTTGACCCACCCATTCCATCTGTTTTCAATATCTGAATTACTGCAATTGAATTACTGAATCTGTAGTATTTAATGCTTCTGGCTACCCACTCCATCGTGTTTGGATTATATATATCTGTATATTGATAATTTTGTATTGTTTGTTTGTTAGTGCGTTTCTGCTACATTCAATGGCCTCTGGAGCATTCCGCCATGGCCGGTGTTGTCCCCATGGTATATTTTAGATATTGTCGGAGGCTATTTCATGCCATGGAATTGGATATTTTCGCCGTACAAGGATGATTCTGCACGGGTTCCTGTAAGATTGTGCTCCTACTGTCGGTGGATTCGTGCTTTTTTATAATGAGCTCACCTTCTCCCCCTCCATCTCCATTCGCTTCGATTTCTTCCGTTGGTTGTCAGATGCCTAAGGATCATCATATACTCAATATGTCGCCCAAGATTTCGCTCCATCGCCAGAATCATGTCAGTGTTTGCGATTGGTTTTAGGTTTATTCATGTTTTGTGTGTTTTGGTATTTCTTCCTTTAAATCGATTGACGGACTGCCATGGAATTGATTTTACTGGTTTTTGAAAGCCACGATTTAGGGTGTCTTTGGTGGAAAGCTGTGGTGATCTACTCTGATATTCACAGTTTATTGTTGTTAGGGTTCATGCCTTGAACCCTGTGCCATCTGGTTAAACGGTGGTTGATCTTTATTGTCTGTTACAGATTTTTTTGCAGTAATTGCTTCGATTACATCATTATTATTAGTTCTTCATCTTGGATCTTGTCTTGCTGCTGACCTAGAGCTGACCTAGAACTTGCTAATCCTGAGTTAATGCTTTTGGTTAAGTAGCCATGGTTTCTGATTGAGTATGATCTTTGAAACTATTTTTTGTTGATTTGAACTGTGTTAGTATTATAACTTAACTTTTCGACTCTGGTATAAGATCAAACAATGAAATAATGCAGTGCTGATCCTGAATTAATCCTTTGGTTAAGTAGCCATTGTTTTTGATTGAGTATGGTCTTTGAAACTATTTTTTGGTGATTTCATCTGTGTTAGTATTCTGGTATAAGATCAAATAATGAAATAATGCCGCGAAGAAGACAAGATTAACTGATATCTTGTGTATTTTTTAGGCAGGGACAATGTTGGTTCAATCGAATCTTGCTTTGATGTTGTCTTTCGATTCATTTTTGTTGGACTAATGTATTTCATTGGTGTCATTGGATGCAGTCTTCCGCGGAACTTGTGAAAGAAATTGCTGCACTCGAAGTTGAAATAGTGAATTTGGAGAGTTACCTTCTTTCTCTGTACCGGACAGCGCTTCACCGGCATCTCCCGAGCATTCCAGGGGACTACGGCAACCATGTAAAAGAAATAACTGGAATATCTCCACGTTTTACCTCGGATCATCTTTCCCTGAAATCAAAACTGGAAACACCAAGAAATTCCAAGGATCAGAAAGCCCGAAGCTCTTCGGAAAGCGCTTTAACCAGCTCTTCAAAATCAATTCAAATTGCCCTTCCAAAGCCCTCGCCTTGCAAGGTTTGTGATAATCTTTTCATTGGTTTCGACAGAAATCGACTAGCTATTGATGGATTTCTTGTGTATCTGTTGATTGACTGCAGGAAAGGAAGAGCTTCCGGCACCGTAGCCTTGCTGATCATTTCGGGAATCATTACATAGATGATTCCTTCATCTCCCCGGGTAGACTATCCGAAGACATTATGAGATGTATATCGTTGATTTATTGCAAACTCGCCAGCCCCGCACAGACTCACAAAGGGTATTCCGTCTCGTCCTCTTCCTCCTTCTGCTCCTCCAGCACATTCTCCCCGAGAAATTTATCAGGCAGTTGGAGTCCTCAATGCACTGACGAAATTAGCGAGAATTGTGGTTCGGAAGGCGTGAAACAGGACAAAGGACCCTACTCTGGAATGGTGGAAGTTACGAAGATACGTTTGGACGACGAGAGTTATGGTTATGCAGCTACGATGCTCCATAAATTCAGGTTTTTTCACACCCAATCCCTACCATCAATCATTATAATGCTTTAATCCATCCTCATCTTTCAAATCATCGAATCCGTGCAGGTCTTTAGTCAAGCATCTCGAGAAAATTGACTTAAAGAAGATGAGGCGCGAAGAGAAGCTCGCTTTTTGGATCAACATTCACAATGCATTGGTGATGCACGTATGCCTCGCTAAACTTATTTTCCCCGTCCTCTTTACAAAATATTTTAATTACCGTATTTCTGAGTTAAATCCTCCTTGCAATGCTTACTTTGATCGCAGGCTTACTTGGCGTACGGAACTCAAAACTACATAAAGAGCGCTTCCATTGAAAAGGTACCAATCTCACAACTTCTTCATGTTGACTAATCTCTGTTATTACTATTTCCATTTCCAATTGTTTGACGGGCAGAATATCTTCTCAGGCTTCTTATAATGTCGGAGGACATCATGTAAATGCTTACGACATACAAAGCAGCATTCTGGGAATCAAATCACATTATTCTGCCCCTGTATGTCTCTGAAAATTTCACTCCTCCGAAGCATTCATGTTATATTTTCTGTTTCGTTTTTTAACCCCTTTATTGACATAGCACGAATGCTACTATCTCAGTGGCTTCAGACACTTCTATCTCCCGGGAAGAAGTTCCGGGCTGGGACTACCAAACATCCTTGTGCTATCGACTACCCTGAACCGCTCGTTCATTTCGCCCTTTGCTCGGGCTCATACTCTGATCCTGCGGTAAAACATCCACTATTTGTTTCTCACCTTTTTCATCTTATTCTTATCGAGTGATTTTTGTCTACTACCACTCCACACGTTTCACAAAATTACCGTGTAGAATAATAACCTCTCGAGAATTTACACAGGTAATAACTAATAAATTCATAATAACCTTTTGTATGTTTATTCTTTTGCAATGTCTCCGGGGGAATTATAACACTTACATTTTCAGTCAAGGCTAATATCATTTTAAGAAAATGTTGAACTCTTTCTTTTCCTAGAGATATAATGGTAAAATTTATATTTCATATTTCTTGAATTACTAGTTGTAAAATCTTTTTTTATTTCGTGGGACTTTTCATAATTCTTGATAATTTTGGTCGAACTGTTTTACAAAGAAAATGTCGAATTCTTTCTTTTCCTACAGATATACCGGTAAAATTTAAATTTCATATTTCTTGATTACTAGTTGTAAAATCTTTTTTATTTCGTGGGACGGATCATAATTCTTGATAATGTTGGTTGAACTGTGTAACAGCTTCGAGTCTACACCTCAAAGCACATCTTTCACGATCTGAAAGTCGCCAAGGACGAGTTCATGCAGGCCACCGTGTACATCCACAAGCAAACAAAGATATACCTGCCGAAAATCCTTCGGTATTATGCCAAGGACGTGTCGCTCAGCATGGCAGAGCTTCTGGAAGTGGTCTGCGGAAGCCTCCCGGTGAGCCAGCAGAAAGACATCACGAAAATGGCCAAGGGTAGGCCGGAGAAGCACGTGTACTGGCTCGAGCAGAGCGCGTCGTTTCGATACTTGATCGACAAGGAAGTAGCTGAAATGAGATGGAGTTCTTGATTGATGATGATACAAGAGAGTATGTTGACAATATCCCTTTCTTTTTTCTCCTCCAGAAATCAAAGATTGCTTCAGTTAGTATATATGAGTTTGTGTGTGTGAATTGAGTTTTTTTTTTTTTTTTTTTTTTTTTTTTTTTTATATATATATATATATATATATACACTGTATAGGGAGACCTGGAGTAACGTAGATTTTGGGTGGTTGGATGTTTGATTTTTTTTCAGAACCAACAACAAATTGTTTTGTTTGGTGTGGTGTTTAAAAATTGCATTGTACATTAACAGCAATTCTTTGTTTTTTTTTTTTTTTTTTTTCTTCTTCTTTCTAAATGAATGGTAGGAGTGGTTAGAGCTGTTACCGATCCGAATTGAGTCGAGCCGAGCCAAATTTTAAGTGTTTGTTAATGTTTGCGAACAACACTCGTGTTCGTTCATTAAGCTTTCGAGCTCATTCGTAATGTTCGAGCTCGGCTCGTTAAGAATTTTTGTTGTTTGAGCTCGTATTCGGCTCTGTTTAGGTTCGATTAAGCTCGAACGAGCTCGTTTGTCTTTTTTTTTTAAATTTATATATAGATTATAAAGAAAAATTAAAATTATTTTATTTCTAAATTATAATTTTATATATATAATATTTTTAATAAATATATTATTTAAACAAATCGTTCACAAACAAAACTCGGGCTCGTTCATTAATCAAACGAGTCTGTTTATGTTGTTCGGCTCGGCTCGTTAACATTCCCGAATGAGTTTTAACCGAGCCAAATCGAGCCAAACCAAGCTGAGTTTACGAACGACTCGATTCGCTTAACAGCTCTAGGAATGGTTGCTTGTCTTTTGTACGATTTTATTTTATTTTTTATATTTTTTTAATGAAGTAAAATTTTTATATTATTCCTTGGGGCGTAGACCAAAAAAACCTCTCAGCAAAGAGCAATAGTTTTTATAAATCATATTAGCTAGAATTTTGTTTATGAATTTGTAAATATTTGATGTATTTATTCTATAATATAAACTAAAACTGCTATAAAAAATATTGGTTTGGTCATCCAACCATAGATTTGATCTAACAGATCACCAAATTATGGTTTTCTTGTAAGTTCTTTTTTTTTTTTTTTTTTTTTTTTTTTTTTTTTTTTTTTCTCATTTTCTTAATTTTCCTATTTCTGTAACAATTCAAACTAATGATCTTGCCGTAACCAACCTTCAATATTATTTTATAAGATAAAATAATTATTTGATATTATATATATATATATATATAAAAGATTACTGATGAATTAGTGTTAAAAGTAAGCCGTTAATGTACCAAGTTTGTGTATTTGGAAGAGTTTATTATTTATTTATTTATTTTTAAGTATAATAATAAAAAGAATGAATGAAAAATTAAGTAGTGAATATAATATAAAAATAATTATAGATTAAAATTAAAAAATAAAAAATTTAAAATATAATTAAAATGTATAAAATTATATTTTCAAAAAAGAAACAAAATTATGTAGAAAGAACGAAAATAGAAAATATGATAAATTATGTGGGTCGGAAAGAGTATTAAATTTGGTTAAAAAACCTAATTTATTTTATTAGTATTGACAATAATTTAAAGCACTATGGGTGTGTTATTTTTGATGGAATTTGAAATATTGTTTTTTTGTTTGAATTTGGTATTAAAATAATATATTCCCTCCGTCCAACTAGAAAAAGTATACATATTTCTATTTTGGGACAAATAAAGATTTCATTATATTACTAATTTTTTTCTACAAATACTCTTACTTTACATCACATCATTATTTTTACACCAAAAAGTAAGGACAAAAATATCATTTTATTAATTTTAACTACCATCTATAATTAAAATAATATTAGTTTTTAAACACCGCGCCAAAAGTAAATATTTGTGGACGGAGGGAGGGAGTATAATATAATATTTTGTGAAAAAAAATATTTAAAAATACAGAATTTAAATAATAAAAATTTGAGATTTGATATGGCTAAACAAACACACATTATATAAAAAGAGACTAACAAATCATATTGTAAATAAATATATATCTGTAGATATAAATGAATGAAAAGAAATACAGTGGCCACAGGTATGAGAAGAATTTTTACGAGTCCACAAAAAATGTGATGTGGCCCAACTTCAATGGCGTCTTCAGAATCCACAAGGCGTCGTCTAATCGAACTGGATCAAATCCAATTCTGCCTAGAATTCAAGCTTCTCCATCGATCTACGTTCGTTAATTGACACAGAACCAGGTTTTTGGGCTCAAAGGCGGTGCAAATGCATTCGGTGTCGGTATCACTCTCCGTTCCGCCGCCGTTGATATTCTCTCCCAAGGCTGTACCTCTACCGATCGCAGCTGCAAAATTCCATTACTGCAACTCCGTAGGAACCAATAATCGCGTGTGGATTCCTCCTCATCGTCGTCGCCGTGTTGATATGTCGGTGGCAGCACCATCGTCCGTCGGAACTGCTCCAAAATGGGCGCAGAAGACTGTAACCGTCCCCGCTCTAAGGCGAGGATGTCATCTCATCACATCCACGGTACGATTCGATCTCTAATTCTCTATACGTAGTAACTGTTGTCTAGAACTAGAATTTCCATCGGAAATTAGATCCTGACATAACCACGCCAGAAATCGTATTACCTCAGCTCCTCGAATCGTGTTCCGTACCACTTATGGCGTAGTATTCGAGTTGAAACGTGTTCCATATGAAACCATTAGGTTAATGAACATGAAAAGCGCACAATTCTGATTGCACTAACTCTGAATTTGTCTCAGATTACGAAGGAGATTGGGAAGGACTTGTCAGGATTCAAGTGTGGCCTTGCTCATATTTTCTGTGAGTGATGAAGATCTTCGAGCATAAGATAAGACTTACTGATATGGAATATTGTATTATTACAATGAGATTCTTCCACATTTCATTTCAATTCCTTTTCGACAGTGCAACACACGAGTGCATCTTTAACTATAAATGAAAACTACGACTCGGATGTTCGAGACGATACAGAGACATTTTTGAACAAAGTAGTACCGGAGGTAATTTTCTTGTCCATGGTTGATGTTGTGACATAAGCTGTGTTGGCAGATGAATCACAGGTTTTTGAATTTCGTGGCTTCAGGGAAGGTCTGCGCCATGGAAACATACACTAGAAGGTAATTTCTCGATCTCTCCTAATCTTTATTAACTATGTTCTTACCACAATGATTATGCAATTCTGTGTTCTTGAATTATCTTAGCTAGTTTGTTTGTTTGTTTGGTTGGTGTAGTGTCCTGCCCATGAACATAGACTCTGCTTGCATAGACATTTTTTAAACCTTTTGACACTATTTGTCGACAATACTCCCTCAATAATTATATTGAAAAATAATACTCTCTCAGTAAATTTTATTAATTTTACTTTAACAAATAATAACTAATTTACTTCTATTTTTTTTAGTTACTCCACTATATATATATATATATATATATTTATCAATTTTTAATAAATTTATAATAATATTCCTATTTTATTTTTTACCTACTCTACTTTAATATTAAATTTTTTTTTAGTCTCCGCACAAACATATATAAAATTTTCGAACAGAGAGAGTAGTATTTTAATATAAAAATGAGGTATGTAAAAGTAAACTGGAACAAATAGAGAAAATAACGGCAAATTGGTTATTATGTATTAAAGGTTGTGTGATGAAATTGTGAATGGATACATTTTTTTACTATAAATGGATTATGTATAAGGTTTAAATATATATATCTTTTAAATCCCATTAATAGGGAATTCTTTATTGTTAAAGGATTATTTCACGATCTTAAGCTAATATGAAAATGCATCATTAACTACATGTAACATAGCCTTCCACATTTATTATTTCAAAACTTCTATCCAAAGGGACTAGTTGAGTAATATATGTTATGTGATCACAACTAATTCTGAATGTATTGCGTAATAAGTTGATCTAAGTGGTTAGTTCATGAACTCGGTGTGGTATATCTAAAGGGCCAACTGCAAATTATTTCTAATTGCCAACCAATTTGATGTTTGTTAAAAATGCATCGCATGAATGTGGCAGAATCCTCTTCTGCCGTCAACCCACAAAATAGAGTAAAACACAGAACGTAGATTGGCCGTATTGGTTTAGAATCGGAATGTTGATTCTAAACCAGCATTAGGCATGTTTGTTCCTGAAGCAAACTGGAATTTGCTTGTTGAATTTTTGGATGTTATATCTTAAAAAGATTGTTTCGATGGGTTGCTCTCCTTGCTTTCCAATAATATGCAACGCCCGATACTTTATTTTGATAGAAACCTGCAGTTTGTTTATTGTTTACTATATTGAATGGCTAGCAAGATTCGATGTGATATTTTGAATATAAAAAATGAATAACAAGTGTTTTGATTTGATATTTGGAGGTTATGAGAGGAATAGTAAAATCCCACAAAAACTTTCAACCAAACACACCATTAGAAGTAAAAATCAAAATCTAATTGAAGCATAAAAAAAGAGCACATTGTTGCCATTTCTTTCTGTTTTTCTTCGATGATTGATAATCGAGTGTTGGTTATTACTTCAGGTCCAGATGACATGCCGGCACACATTAAGGCGTCTATGTTTGGTTGCTCCCTCACGTATGAATTTCAAATTTCGGACATGTACTTATATTAAAGTTTGTATAATCGAATACAACAAAATTATTCACTACATACTTTTTCAGGATACCTATCACAGATGGAAAATTAAACATGGGAACCTGGCAGGTATGTACTTGATAAACAATTTGGCACAGAATCGACTAAAATTAAGGATGGGTTTCATTTCCTCGTCATTTAGGGTATATGGCTATGCGAGCACCGTGATGCTGCAACACCGCGCAGAATTGTGGTCACCCTTAGTGGGATTTGACACACACACATTTGTGTTCCGATCCTACTTCTCCGCAAGGTATGTACAACTATTTCCTTCTTTACTATGATAAATCGAAACAAACCGTGGTGCCATTGCTAAGATAAGATAAATGGATCGAAGTTTGATATTTGAAGCAGATGCATATTCCTATGGTGTTAATGACTATTGGGCTCGATATTTGAATAAAATCAATCGTAGTAAGGGGAGTTACATAAACACTGTGTAGTGTTTAATTTTGTCTGATAGTAACTTTGAGAGTTGGAATTTGAGATTTTGAATATAAGTAAGTAGTAATAGTTTATATTTTAAATTCAAAAATAATTTTAGTATAATATAGATATGAATGTGAGATTTTGAATATAAATAAGTAGTGATAGTTTATATTTTAAATTCAAAAATAATTTTAGTATATTGTATGCCATACTTTTTTTTCGATTGATTACATAATGATTCAAGCTTATCACTACAAGTTAAAGAGGGACAAAATAAATGCAATCTGAAAGTCCGCCCGAGCACAACACAAAAAGATTGTGCTTGAATTTCCAAAAATAGCTCAAATTTTCGGACTGATCCGACGCACCTACAAACCGGGCGCGGCCTGATTTATTCAAATTAAATTTTTTAAAATTAAGTTATATATATATATATATATTTATATATTAACTAATGAAATAATAAAAAAAATTAAATGATGACTCGATAGTAATAGTCTTGGTTAATTTATGTATGGTTGTGAGTTTAATTATTCATTTATACCATTTGGATTAAATTTTTTCTAAATTAAATTAAAATTTATAAAGAAACAAAATAATTAAAATAAAACCAGGCGAGCACATCCCAGTTTTAAACCGGGCTATACTTTGCCCTACGAGGCCCAATTTAAAATCGGGCTATGACCCAACCTGATTCAGAATCGAGTCGGGCCGAGCCAGCTCGAAAAACCGGACCCTCCCGAATTGCCAGTCCTTTGTTCGGAATTATAACTAGAGTGGATGAAATTTCAGTCAATATGAAGTAAATCAATCCACTATAACAAGTCGGACAATGATCTCAAATAAGAATTTTGCAAGTTTTGGAGTGTTAACTATAGTAAAAAACTAAATATTTAATATAATATTTTGTTAGATAGCTATTCGATATGATATTTTTTGAAAGAAATAATGCTGATGAATAAAGCTTAAAAGATTATGTAAACAGAGACCGATTGATTCTTGAAACGAAAATTAAATGAATAAGGCAAAAGGCTTTGGGTGGAGAGCATATAGTAATAATAATAATAAGAATAGCACAAAAACCTACAAGATTGCTTGATATCTATACACAACAATGGGAAGAAAAAAATCACAACAAACAAGTAAATGCATGCATGCATATAAATAAACACACAAAAACCATCAAAGGAGGAAGAGCACATACCATACATCATCCATTCCATCTCAAGGATGTTTCTGAGCGCCCGGTGGAGCAGTCGGCATCGGAAAGTTGCTGTATTCAGCCCCCGGAAACGGGGGCGCCTCCACGTACGGACTCTACAAACCAAAAGTCAAGTTGAGTCTCAATTCAGCTTATAGTAACTAATCATACCGGAAAACCGAGCTTTAATTCGTTCATGGCTAGGACCAGAACAAGATCGATGGATGGATCGGATCAGATCATACCTGGGCTTCGAATGGAGTCTTATACGGCTCGTCTTGTTTGTTCAAAGATCTCGCCGATGTGTTCGCCGGATTGTTATTCGCCTCGCTTCCATTCAATTGATGAATTGGATCACTTTGTGTACTTTCTGCACCGGAGCTAGATTTCACCCTCTGAAATATTCGAACATTATTCGATCATGAATAAAAGAAAATTTCAAAGAGGGAAATTCAGTGGGGTTAGAGCATTCATCTAACCTGGAAAATTTTGCCGAGGGTTTTCAAACCTTTTGCGCGCATCCGGAGCTCCTCTTTCTTTGCATTGTTATCTTGAAGAACCTAAAAGGAAAAACGTAAGGAACAATTAATCAAGAACGAACGAACGAACGAACGAAGCTGCCGGCTGCAGCAATTCATTGCCAAACAAGAAGAAAACATGACAACCATTTGGCAAACGTGCGAGAGGGTGTTTTCTATATCGGCAACATTGAGCTTCCAGAGGGAGTCGATCATTAGCTTCTTGTGTGTTTCCATGTACGCTTCGAGTTCTTCCTCTGTGTATTTTCCTTCAGCAGTGAGCTGCCTTTTCATGTCTTCTTGAAGCTGAATCAACGCAATGGCGCCTACGGAAACAGTACGACGAACATGAATCCACAAGCAATGATAGAGACGAGAGAGCACACTCTAATCTCGGCATTTATAAGAACTAATTGGAACTCTTTGCTTAATAAATTTCGCTGAGTAAATTCCCAAGATTCTATGCTAGATCTGTTTAAGAATACGTTTATGGCGCAGCCGGGGATCAATGGCAATAAATCAATATATTATGTAAGTGTTTGATCCGATAATTTAAGCCAAGATATATACTTCTTGAAGGAACAGTATAAAACAAAAACTAACCTGTTGCAGCAGTTACTTGGGATTTGATGAAGTGCCCTTTATTTCGGAACCATTCAGCGACAAACGGCACGCCTAAGTACATCACTTTCTTTCCAAGCTCTTTTGCTGCCTGCCTTACGTATATGTAACCAATGGTGTTCAGCATATCCACACCATAAGCTGTCATAGAGCACGAATTTGTGGGAAAGAAAGGTCATATAAGTGCATGTTAGAACTTAGAAGAATAGCTCGATAAAAGCAAAAACCATATCTACTTATTATTAGAAAACAAAGTACGGTGAATATATCTACTGTAATTAATTAATTCATGTCAGACATATTCAATTTCATTAGCCATTTGAAAGGTCAGGTCACCATTCACATGGAGTTTGTTCGCCCAAGACTAAAACCAGCTACATAATTCCCCAAAAAGATTAACCAACAAATATAATAAACAATATACAATATATACTCATATTCAACAATTCAAACATACAAAATATCATTCACTATAATACCTTAAGAATTTCTCGTACCTAGCAATAAAACAATTAACTCTATAAACACTAAACAAACACATGTTTTTCCAGAATTTTCTTTTTTTCCTAATAAGTTGAAATTTCTTTCATCATTAATGGGGCACAACAGAGACTCAAGCAAAATGCTTCTTCTCTGAATTAACATTGGTAATTTGGTATGGCATTAAAATGCTATAGAAGTGTATCTTTCATTGTGTAATCACTCGTGACATGAATGATTACATATAAATGATTTCAACAATTAATGAATCCCATGCCAGGTCACGGATATGCTAAAACAAAAAGGCTTTAAAACCTTTTCCTCAATAATGATAAGGGATCCTCAATTCTATATATCTTAAAAGAGAAGCCTAACGATCATGGTTCCTAGCTATAGCTAGAATCCATTTGGCCTCAGTAGTGGCGAAGAAAAAAAAACGAAAACTGCAAGAAGGGAATAAATAGAGATACTAATGAGTTAGATCGTACCAGCATTCGAAAGTCTTGACACTTCAGCCTCAGCATTATGAATGAATTCTTCTTTATTTCCTTGGACGTACAGGTTAAGTTTACCTTTCAGTATGCTAGCGAGCTTCTCTTCCCTTTCCTTTTGGACAGTCTGACAGTTCATTGGAAATTAATAAATCATTACCAGAATGGAAAGACATATCAATGGAATTCAGTATTTAGAAAACGAAAACTAATCAGAGATTTTTCTGTTGTTTTTTTTTTATAAGTAGATGCAAAATATGTCCACAGCAAAAGCCATCGTCCAGTTTAATTTGAATCATGGTCAACTAAGACTGGCAATCAGTATGGAAATTCGGTATCTTTTTCATCATATATATATATATATATATATTGCCCAGCATTAGCCTCAACTCTTCTTTATTCTCTACTGGCATTGAAAACTGAATTACTCCTAGAATTTCCTTGGCCAAACAGTGTAGACTTTGTACCGCTGTTAATCATAATAGAGGTGATATAGGTACAATAAACTATGAAGATATAAGAAACCAACCCGCATTTTTTCCTGCAACTTTTTTGTATCAAACTCTTCACCAGCTGTTGGAACATCCAATGACGCCATTGATGCCATAGCAAGCACGCCTATGTACTCCTCAAAAAGCTCGCTTCCAAAAAGCATGGCAAAAATAGCTGCAGGATCAATAATTGAGTCTCTGAAAAGGAGTCAACAACGTACACATTGTCAGAAATAGATGTAAAATGAAAACATTAATAACTAACTGTGACTGTGTGAATACTACTGCCATATATGTCAGAATAAACTAACGTTGAAATTCCAGATTTCCCACAGGCATCATATGCCTGTCTTTGGGTTGTATCACTCAGCACTTGATAGGCCTCGCCTAAAATCTGATTAGAAATGTAGAAGCAATGAGCATCTTTTAATATACATGGCAAATGAGTACACAAATTCATAAACATGAGTCTTGATGCATCTATTCCCGCAAAACACCATCAGCTTACTGTTCAAGCTTGGTCATGTAAAGCCCTGCCTAAGCACCACTTAACAATATTTCTATTATGCATTGTAGTAAAACATTAGTATAAGCATTGCTAATTCAGTAAAACTGAATGAATTCTGATACAAGTTTAAACATACCAATCACTTTTGGAAAGAAACCAAGCCTTGTTCGACAAATATAATAATATGAATTATTCTAAAAGTAAAGTATTCTATATAGCTATTGTTTCTTCATAAATCTTCTTAAAAAGAAGATTTAAGTTAACTATATAGCAATAACAAACGTTTTGTTTTCATATCCAAAATTGAATCTAATATCAACTGGCCAAACTGTGGTGTTTATATTTTGCAGTAAAGAGAGACTATATTGTTTAAGCATTGGAATGTTCCCTGTATTTTTTTTATTTTATTTTATGACTGCTTCCCTATATTTTTCTAATTAAAAGTTTCAGAGATGCATGCTTGACCGTCAGAATATAGTTCCACTTAGAACTTTACAATTTTATCTTGTATGATTTAAAATCAAAGGTTAGCGAGTGTGAGATTAGATAAGGGCAAACCTTTAAAATGACAAATTACACATGCAACAATATAATTTTTTTGTTTAAAACAACTGGATACTAATGGACATATTGATTTCTCCTGCACAAATAAAGGATTTGTGTTTAAGTGATGATTTCTTCCTTGTGAGTCCATAATGCAAAATATATGTTGATTTCAGAATAATGTGAACTCAAAAAATTAATAACAATACGCTACACACTAAAAGCCTAAAGCCTAGAAAAAATTAGTAAAAACTCACTTGAAATTTTTGTGCTGCCAAAGGATCGTTAGGGTTTTTATCTGGATGAACTTGTCTGGCCTGCAATGAAATGTTACGATATGAAGGAAAAGAAGTCCCAAAATCAAATTTAGGAACAGAAAATGATAATCATTCATTCTCACCATTCAGAAGTGGAATTTTTCAAACAAAATTAACAAAAACATGACACCTGCTATAAATTATTTTACCCAGTGCATATTTTTCCTTTCACCTATATTAATTCTTGACATACCATCTTGAGTAGAAACAGCTTCTTACTCAAAAACAGAAAATTATTAACATTAGAGCAACTATAAATATCTTCGATTTTATCCGGAATTAGCAGCTGTGCTGTGACAACACGTCATGCATCCAACATTCCAACTACTTCGAATACAATTCAAAATTCAGCATGCCTCCATTTCAAGGAAAAGCAACAGATGAAGCATTAGGCCAATGCTTCCAACACAATCATGAAAAGAAGCACGGCATTGATCCCACGAAAGCATCTTCCTAGTAATGAGGAAACCAACAGAGAAAACCTAATTGCTTCACACAGTAATACTTCAAAGTATAAACAATCCAATAAAATAGGCAAACACAAGTTCAACCAATAAATTGAACTCATATTACCCCTTCAAAACTCGAGTAATCCAATCCTAGAGCAGAAGCCTTGCTAAATTTCAACTCTAAATCCAACAATGATTTCATCGAACCAAGATCTCAATCAGATAAGCAAATCACAACTCTCAAATCAAAACACCTACTAGAATTAACATCAGGTCAAAAACCTTATTGTACCGTCAAATGAAGTTCCCTAACACCCCAAACTCATACATACACATACACACCACTTACGACTCGAGCGATAAAGCGAATCAAACCTTAACATAATAAGCTTTCTTAATCTCAGCCTCGGTGGCCGTGGGGCTCACACCGAGCACATCGTAGTATTCCGTCTCCTTTACCATCGTCCTCGCCGTAGTTAACTCACCGAGAGGTCAGTCAAAACGATCCTGCAACAAAATCAGTACGATCGAACAATTAACTTCACCAAAAGATAAAAAATAGAAAGAAGTAAAATCAACAACGAAATAGAAAAGCACGGAATCAAATCTACCCAATCGAATGGATCATGGACCACTGACCTCACCTCGGGTGGTAGTAGGACGGCAGAATCTAGGGCGGGGGCGAGTTGGCCGGTGGCGCTGACGGATGTCTGACTGGTCAATTTCACCAGAGGAGTGGAGGCTGCTGTACCCGTGCGGAATGGAATGGCTACCCTGATTTGTTCTCACAAGCGCGTTTTTTAAAACTAGTTTTCATTCATATATATAAAACCGTAAAATAGTTATTTTCTTTTTTAAAAATAAAAAAAAAAAAAAATTCGGGTCTATTTCATGTTTAGTTTGATTGGGTTTCGATTGACCTGAATCCGATCCAAAAAATTTATGTTGTATTTAGTCTAGGATTTCGGATCAAATTTCGAATTCAAAATGATAATTTTTTGTTACACTTATGACTCAATCTAATACCAATACGACTAAAATATAAATTAACACCCTTAAGTATTATTGCTTATGCCTATTTAACTTACCTTACCAAAATATAGCACAGCCAGACTCCACAAATACTTGATCACATTAGGCATTTATCACCTTCATCACCTTAAAGCTACCAAAATTGATCAACCACTCTCAGGAACATGAAAATCAACATCCCTCGAGTCCCGTAAGGGATGGTCCGGTGGTGTAGAGGTTGGACGTATGACCGTAAGGTCATGGATTCAAACCTCTGACGCCTCATGTCACCTGTCACACATGGTTCGTCTAGTGTGACTTGCCTGTCGAGCATAGTTTGCAGGGAACCCCGTAGCCCATACCCGCATTCCCGGGGCAGCCCAATGTCGATCCGTCCACACATTCATTTTCCATCTACCCCAAGTAGGGGAAACAAATACTTGATTGACCCTCTGCCCCCCGTGGCTAGAAAGGGACTTACCTTAAACATCAGTTTGCTTCTAGTAATCAATTTAGTTGACATTTTTTTTCTTTAATTTTTTTGTTTCCATAACTATAGATATCTCTTTATTTTAAGTAAAATTTACTAGATATATTTAATAAATATAAATTTAAGTACATGATATATAATATCATACGTAATTCGTTTATTAATATCGCTCTCTTTTTAAACAAATATTTTTATCTACATATAAAATTTCACATCTTTTATAAAATTATTTTATTTTAATTATAAATAAATAAAATTATTTTTATTTACTTGTATTGTAGAAAATTTTATTCTTATTCATATTGCATATATATTTTTTATTGCGATATAAATTTTAAAATACTATTTAAATATATATTCTAATTTTTTATTATATATATTAAATTTATTTCAATACTATCAATATAATTAATTATATAAAAAAACATTACTATAATTTACTATTATTAACTAATTAAATATTCCATCGTCTCTTGTCTATTTATCTGTTTGCTTTTTGTACGGAGTTTTAGCAATATTAGTCATATTGGGGTGTGGTATTAATAAATTAAAAAAAATAAAAAGACTAAAATAACCTTATTAGTATTGTGTGATATAAAGGTAATGATATTTGTGTAATATATTGCAAATTGTAGGAGTACTTTTAATGTTAGTAGAAAGTACCGCTATTAAAAAAAAATGAAATAGATACTTATTATAGGACGTACCAGAATAAAAAAATAAATATACTGCTAAGAAATTAAGTATTATTATCTTAACTATTGTATCATTAATTAAATGAATCAATTATTTTGGAATACAAGAAGTATTTTAGATTGGGATCTGACCATTTAGCACATTAGAACTATTTTTATTTTTATTATTTTATTTTTATTATTATTTTCAAATGCAAGTTTGTTTGCTTGTGTTTAATAAAATATTGATTTTCGTTGTTTTTGAATAAAATACTAGTTAAATCATATATGTATAATTAGCATTTTTTTTTTTATTAAAAACAACAAAATTATATAATATTAGAAACAATAAAAAAAGAATAACAAGAACAATACTATTATATCTATTTTGATACCAGTTAAAAGTAAAATCCAATACTATTAAATTATGCTTGGTTCTCAAAATTCAATCTATACAGTTTAGCAAAAATTATAAAAAAAAATTAAAACAAATTATAAATGTATCTGAAAATATGTATTTCATGCAATTAATTATTGATAAAAATAACCTCACAATATATTATAGTACTATTATCATATAAAAAATAACCCTGACAACTTTCATATTATATATTCTTTCAATCCAATTTTTTATTTTTATTGTTTTTAATTTAAGATGTCTATGAAAATTTGCTCTTTTTTTTTGGTTTTTTTCTTTTTGTTTTTTGTTTTTTGTTTTCTTTTTTAAAATAAAATTATTTAACCCTCTTTTTATACTCCCTTCTTCCCATATCTATATTCATTTGCTTTTTGTACGAATTTTAGAAATATTAGTATTATATTGGGATAAAGTAGATATAAAAATAAAAAAACTATATTAACTCTATTAGTATTGTATAATATAAATGTAATGACATTTGTGTAATATATTGTAAATTGGAAAGATATTTGTAATGTTAAATAGATAGTACAATTACTTAAAAAAAAGAAATTGATAATTTGTTACAAGACGAACCAAAATGAAAAAATGGATAGATGATTAAGGGACATAGGGAGTATATAAAAACGTGTGATAGTGTAGGAGGCTGGAGATTGATTTGAGGCTAGCGATAAATTATTCCAAAAAAGTAAACATAATTACACTATTTTTTAATTTTATTTTTATATAAAAATAATTACCGTATATATTTTTTTAATATTTTTTTTTAAAAAAAAACATTAACATTTTAATTACCGTATATTTTTAAAATATTATTTTATATATATAAATAATTGACAATGTAGTATTTTAAACATTTTCTATAAACAAATTGATGTTGAATATAGTATTTATCACTATTTTTATTTTTTTTTAAAAATATTTTGAGTTAAAACAGTAAATTGAATAGCTATATATATTTTAATTACACCGCTGAATTCATTGATTAAAATGCTAATTTAAAATGAGATAAAAAGTACATATATACCCAAAATAAGAATCCAAAGTTGATTTTAGATATAATATAAAAGTATTTTGGAGTGTTCTAATTATTTCCTTAACAATGAAAAATCATTGAATAGCATCTCAAGCAATATATATTGAATGTAATGTTTAACATAAAGAATAAGGTTTCGATTACATATATTTTTTTTTCAAATTTTAATACTATTCATTAATAAAAAAATTTTAATCAAAATTTTTATTTTTTCTTACACAAAATATCAAAAAGATTATAAAAAATAAACAATTACATATAGATGTTCCATGTATAAATTCCAACTTATTAAAATACATAGGTCATTATCTTGCAACAATTACAAAAAGACCAAAGAAGAAGACTCTTTCCAACATGGGAATTGTCAAATGTCAAAGCCTGCTAATCCAAAAGCAATTAACAATTTTGATTGTGGCCTCCAAACAAACAACAAATTGGTAAATGCATTGCAACATTATCTAATTACAACAAATAAATTAATGGTCATCCTTAAGGTATTACGGATGGCCTGGTGGCGTGGGAGTTGACGTGTGACCGTAAGATCATGGGTTCAAATCCCCAACGCCTCAGGCCACCCCTTTCGGATTGCGGTCATAGAGATAAAAACCTCATCTTTTCTATATCTTTGTCGATTCATTTTAACTAAATTTCTAATTTATCGATAGCAATATATATATAAAAGAGGTTCTTTTTTCTTTTCTTCCCGGAACAAAATAAATATGAACTACACAAAAGCTATGGTGCTGCTAATAAATCAATAACAGAAGAAGGATAAGCTTTACTAGACCTTCGTGGTGATGGCAAGCTCGGCGTCCTTAAGGGGAGACGAGTCGATTCGCTCTTTCAATAATCTGAATTCCTCTTCGGTCAAGCTGTTCTTGGCTATCTTGGAGTGTCCTTGCTTCTCGAGTTCCACAGCCCAGCTGTAGATCACCATGCCGAAAATGGCGACAGCCATCCCCAAGATGTTCTTGAAAGTCAGCTCGGAGTCGAACAGAAGCCATCCTAGAGTTAGGACGCATACTGTTTTCATGTGGCCGAGAACTTGGAATGAGACGGCTGAGAAGCGCCCGATGCAGAGGTACTGGCTCACGTTGCAGAACACGGCTAGAGAACACGATAGGAGTATGAATAGCTGCACAAATTGCGAAAAAAGTTGGGATTTTTGTGTTAGATCAGTACATGAAAATACTATAGATAGCATATGAATATTAAAACAGAGAGCACATTATGTATAAATAATTAGTATGTACTGTCAGTTCTATTTTATATGATTATATTTGTATGTAATGGTGCGAAATGGGAAGTTGAAGAATACTTACGATGGTTCCGAAGGTGAAACTGTAGTCGAGGATTAGCTTTTGGGAAAGAAAATAGTCGACGATGGGACCGAGCACGAGGAGAGAGCCGGCTTGAATAGGAGCTGTTCGACTCAATAATTCGAAGGATCCGATTGAGTACTTCTTCTGCAATGAGCCTATGGACTGCATTTAAAAAGAGTATCATCCAATTATTGTTCGAAAGAAATTAATGTGTTTGGATTGCATTTCAAACCAAAATCACCACTATTCAGTACGTACAGTTTTCAATAAAAATACACTATTCCATCTCACAAAAATCCCCCATCAAAGTACATTTAAATCAAAATCTCAATTCTAAATAAAAACCAAACAAACATAAACCAAAGTAATTGCTACTTATTGAGACGAGAACAAATTTACGGATTAATGGAAATTATCTTTGAATGAAGAGTTTATGATGTTAAGGTTATGGTTTACTCACAATTTGCTGCAAAGATGTCGAGAAAACAGCGACGCAAGCACAAATGAATCCTTTGGCGTTCACTTTGACATCAGTCACAGTGCAAACACCTACACCTATAACCACAACCACAACAGACATTTTAACTTCATTCGTGTATTTCTTATTATGAAGGATCCATTCCATCACACAGACCACCGGAATCATGCTCAATTTTGAGATCTACATCAAAAGTACGAGAAGCATTAGTTTGCAGTCCAGATAATTATTGCAGAGCAAACAACCAAATAGCGCTGAATGGATATCTAGATGAATTTATGAGAAATTTGCTTTGAAACTGGACGAATATTGACATGAGAAACAATTATACGTCAATAAGAATAGAAATCAGTTAGTACAAATTATATGGCACGCACTTAATTATTCTCATAAATCACTTGGCATAAGATTTATCGATAAACAAATACAGGAACATAATTTCTTGCAAGAAGGGTAGAATTCTGAATGATAATGATATCATACACTGCATTTTGGAAAAGACCAAGAGTATTCAAGCATCCATTAATCATGCCTAACACGACTGTATCGTTTAATTTTATCAACAGTCTAGATCGGAATTCAACATCGTACGCCTAAAAACTCTACGGAATATATATGACAGAGCAAGATGGATGCAAAAGGGCAAGTTCTACGATTTTGGTTTTTCTGGTTTAGAAGAGTGGCATCTGATTGTCGATTACAGTGTGTTAAAAGCATATTTCAGCAAAACAAAACATAAATGCATACCATTAATAGAGTAAAGAGGACATTAATCATCGAAGATATCATAATATCTTTTGCAAAACTATCATGTTCCTAACCATAAACATAATAAGCAAGAAAATTTATATCATACTTGGTAAAACCCGACTGAGTTTAGCATGAGGCTGAAATTCATCCCAGCGATAGACATATTCGCTACAATTGAAAACCAAATAAGCTCCCATAATGGCACGTGCTTTGCCGCGGAAAGCCCCGTGGCGTTTGATATCATGCCAACAAGAGCAGTAACAGCAAAGTGGAAACCAGTCAATGTCGTGGCTGCACGGACCAAAACAATAAATGAAGATCATAAACATTCTTAGCAATAGCAACACTTTAAATTATCGATTCAACAGATGAAAATATAATCCAAGTTTACAAAAAATTAGTGAAGATTCCTAAAATGATGAATTCTAAGCAAGCCAAACTTTTAGTCCGATAAGTAAATTAAAAACAGAGTGTATACTTCATTTTTCTTCCAAAATTCATAAAAGAAGATCCCATAGCTACAGAGAAGCAGGAGATTTCACAATTGAAGATGATAAAGACAGAGAGCATAATTGGAACACAAGGCAACTGAATAAACTTCAATTTTCTCCAGGAAAAAGAGATAAAAACAGTAATTATCTAGATCCAAAGCACGAAGAACATTAAGACTAACCAAAGCTGAAAGCATATCCACTGGAAGACATGAGCTGCTTATTAGCCATGATGATTCCAACGGAGCTAATTACGTTCATAGCCCAAGCCCCGACATCGGACACCGGCGAAGACTTCTTCTCTCCGTCCATCCCTCCCTCCCCAATCCTCGTTTCGCGCTATCCACAATCCTCCCGAACTGCAAATTCACTGCGGCGGCAATCACGGCAACACGAACACCACTCTGGCGCAGCAGAACCCTCCTCGCGGTCAAAATACGGGGAGAGCGAGCGGAAACTTGAAGAACACAGCGATTGCATATAAATCTCACATGTAATACGCCTTCAATTGCTGCGCCGATGACGAAAAACGACACGCAATGCCGCGGAAACGACAAATCAAACCGACAATGCTGATCGAAGACGCGGATTGTAGATCTGAATTTGAATTGATTATGAGGATTGAGGAGACGATAATTTTTGAAGAAGTTGTAGATCTGAATTGGCGATGCCGCCCCAAATCCATCGCTCTATATATATACACACACATACATATATTATGTATAGCTGTTTCTTTTGTATGGAAAATATTTTTAAATTATATAGCTGGAATGGAATGGCTTTTCCTTGTACTGTAGTGTTGTGTAGTCTTAAATTTTAATAAATAAATAAATAAATTAATTAATTAATCAAAAGGGAGGCTTACAATGTGTGTTGTTGTTAACGAACTGATACACGATGTTTCTGTGGATTATCTAATTGGCACAACATATATCACTTATATTATTAAGGGTTTTTTACTTTTTTATTTGGGAAGTCGAACTATTATTGGTGTTTTTTTTTTTTTAAACACAAATTTTATATTTTTATTCTTAATTTATTTATTACTTTTAATCTCTATCATTCAATTAAGGACAAATTTATTAATTTATAACAAAAAAATAATAATCATCTGAAAAAAAAAAATTATTTTTTTCATCAATTTTAAAAGTAAATATTTATTTTTAGGTCACGGTTTAAAAGATAATAATTATAACCACCGTTAAAAGTAGTGTAAATATAATTTTGCTTTTTACTTTTTTTTTTTATATAATAGTTAATAATGTAATAACAAAATAGAAGTAATTATAAATTTGTTTATTTGTTTTTTTAAAAAAAATAACAGTTTTTTAATTATATAGTAAAGATAATAATATAATGATAAAACAAAAATATTTATAAAATAAATGAGGTTATATTTTTTTAAAAAAATAATTATTTTGTAATTGTACACTACAAAATAAAGATATACGGGAAAGTATATATTTTCAGAATATACAACATTAAAATTGTAAAACAATTGAATAAAGATTATTAAAAAAAAAAAGGCGTGTATATATTTGTTGTGTTTATATTATTTTATTATACTACTTATTTTTTTTATATAAAAATAAAATTTGAATATAAAATTTATATTAGAAAATAAATAAAGTAATTTTTTTTTTGTTTCAAATAATAGGTCTATTTTATTGTTTTTATATCCTTCCAAAAAATAATTTATTATCATAAATAATCATATCACTATAAACTATTTTAATTTTTTTATTATTATTATACAAATACTATAATTTTTTCAATTTAAATAAAATATTACAATGACAATTTCATTAACCAACATCTTATACTATCATATTATATTGAAAAATGTAAATTTTTTATGGGAGGTAGTGCAACAATTTTATTTTTTTTAAATTTGATTTTTTTTTTCTATTACTTTATATTTAAATAATACTTTGAATTTAATATTTTATGGTAATTAAATAATATACTCTATTTTAATAACAAAAAGTATAATTATTGCATAATAACAATATTAAAATACAGTCAAACAATTTTTAATGGTTTGTCTACTTTGAGTATATTTGATTTGTATTTTGCTTTTGAATATATATTTCTTTACGAATAATGAGATTATATAATAAAAAATATTGAAAAAAAAATAAATCTTAAAGATGACAGAGCATTTTTATTTGTGTTTTTGGGTTTTTTTTTTTTTTTTATGAACTAATTAATAGTTGTATGCAATTTTGTATAGATATTTGTATTTGAATGATAATTAGTGAATATGATTAGTGTGAATAAAAATAATAAAAATACTTAATGTGAGATTTGAATAATAAAAATAATATATTAATTTTAAACTTTTTATATGTACTTACTAATTATTTTTAGAAAATAAAACCTATTTCATATATAGAAAATCATTCAAAATTAAATTGGACTTCTACAAAAAATTAAAAAAAAAAAAAAAAAAAAGTGGGCTTGCTAGAGTGTAATTCAAGGAAATTAAATATAAAGGGAAAAAGAAAAGTTTAGGACCATTTTATACTCAATAGTTTGATTTATTGCAATTTTTTTTTTTTAATTTATAGTTTTATTTAATGTCACCTTTGCTGTCATTTAACATTTTGAATTTAGATGATATTTTATTATTGTTTGCGTATATTTTTGGAAAGTGTTTAAAGATGAATTTCAATTCTCATATTCTCTTTAACTTAAGTTTTCTTTTCAAAATACTTTAATGTATAATTTAGAGTGGGTTTGTTTTGATTTATTTAACTTTTTCGAACAATATGGGTTTATTTGATTTGTGTTTGTGTTTGAAATTTTTATTTAAAATTTTAGTTTAAATAGTATTTTAATGTAATATTTTATAAAAATTGTTCGAATGAAAGATATTTATTTGATTTCTGTATTTAGATAATGAATATATTAATAGTATTATCTCTGTCTTAAACAAAGTGCAACATTGCTTTGGACACGGATTTTTAAGTGGGTAGTGTTAAGTAGAATAATTTAAAAATTAGGTGATGTATTGGAGAAAATATATATATATTTTTTATTTTGATGGTGTGATGGGATAAAGTGTTGAGTAGATACTATTTTCTATTTTGAAAATGTTCCAGAATATTTGAGACATACTAAAAATGAAATGTTGCAGGATATTTGAAACGAATGAAGTAGTATTTTATAATATAAAGTTTAATAGAGATATATAAAAATGTATTTTACCCTTTATATTAGTAAGATTAAAATAACAAAGTATGAAAAGAATGAGATATTTGATATTTACTTGAGATATATTTTTACTAAAAAATTTATGATTTGACGGATAAAAATAACAAAAATAGATACCTTTGATTTGAATGAATAAAATATGGATTTATTCTTTTTGTCAAAACAAACCAACATATCCCCCTCAAAAAAAAAAAAATAAAAATAATATACTAGTATATTATACAAAATTATTATTTTTATATTATTCATAAAAAATATCTCTTCAAATCATTTTATAAAACAAATGTACCCTATATTTTTATTGAAAATAGTATTACGAGGGTGGCTCTTTAGTTTATTTTTATAACAAATGTACTCTATATTTTTATTGAAAATAGTATTACGAGGGTGGCTCTTTAGTTTATTTTTATATTTTATTTGATTATTCGTTTAAATATACTCAATCTGTTCCACCTACCATGTCCACATTGTTCATATCTTATGTCACTTTTATTTTCTGAAAAATGATTATACATCTTAATCTCTTTTTTTTTTTAATTTAAATTAAATTAATTAGTTATCTTACTTTTAATATATATTATTTATATTATAAGATAATTATTTTCACTCATACATTCTTAATTATCTATTAATTATACTTATCATAAATTATCGTGTTTATTAGTATTTTTTTTTTGTATTTTACAAGAAAATTAGTATTTTTTTTCGTATGTCACTTTGCTTGAACAACATAGATTAAAAATTAATATTCTTTTCGTCGTTGATATATGTCTATTTCACCATAGACACATTAATTTTAAAAAATATATAATTAGTATATAATTAAAAATGTATTAGTGAAAATAATTATCGTATAATAAATATAACTATATATTAAAATTAAAATAACTAATTAGTTTAATTAAAATTTAGAAATTTTATAATAAGATTGAAGTGTATAATTTTTTTTAAAAAAATAATAATAAAATAAGTAGAACATTCAGAAATGAAAATATAAACATAATAAGTAGGACGGATGAAGTAATACTACCTCCATCCACCGCCAATCTATCCATTTGCATTTGGTCATTGTTTTTAATATTAAAAATATTACTCCCTCCGTCCCATAAAGAAATATCTATTTGTTTTTTGCACGTAGTTTTAGAAATATTAGTATTATATTGGGATATAATAGAAGTAAAGTAGAAATGACTAAAATAACCTTATTAGTATGTGTGATATAAATGTAATATTGTAAATTGTAATGGTATTTGTAATGTTAGGTAGATAGTACAGTTACAGAGATGAATATTTTATTATGAGATGGACTAAAATGGAAAAATGAACACTTTGTTATAGGACAGAGGGAGTATTGTATTTGTATAATATTTTTTGTAGAAATATCGTTACATTAGTGTTATAAGACACCAATAGAATTATTTTTGTCATTTTTTATGGATTCGTACTACGTTTTTATATAATAATTAATATTCAAAGATTAACATGAAAAAAAATAGATAGATTCACTGTGGACGAAGATAATAATTTTTAATATAAAAGCAAAGTATATAAAAAGTAAAGTGAGCTATAAAAAATTTATTAAAATTAATAAAAAAAATATATATAATAATCACAAAAATAGTGACAAATTTATTACTTATTATTTATTAGATTAGGAGTTGACAATAATTATAACAAACCGAAGGAGTATATTTTCGTCTTAGTGGTTTTATTATTTATTTATTTATATTACTCAGTGTAATATTAAATGGAATTTAATAAATTGATATGACATTTTATAACTAAAAAAATTAATTTTAGTTTTTTTAAAAAGTAAATTATATAAAAATAAAATAACAAAACAAACTTAAGAAAAATAAAAATTATACTACTCCTATCTATCAAATTTATATTTATTTTATAATAAATATAAAACTGACGGACATAATAGGACCAATAAAATTTTAAAAAAGACAAAGGACCGTTGAACAAGGACTAAGTGACAAGTCACTATTGGGCATACGTCTCCAAAAATGGGTTCCGGGACGTTCTTGAAAAGTTTGATACAAGTAAATTTTTTAAAATATATTATATCAATTAATTACTTTATTACTTAAAAGTATCATATTAAATATATTGGTTTTACCCTTTATAAGATTTTTTAAAACTTCAGAAAAATCTATAGCAAACAGAAAATGATTTTTAAGTCTTTTTTTTTTTTAAAAAAAAAAATCAATAAATATTTCACATAATGCATTATGGTAAAAAAAATGGAAGGCAAACATTTATACTTGCCTTTGTGAAACAGCAAATCCTGATATAATAGTGGTTTCATCCGTCCACATCCACAAAATCTGTCTGTATTCATTTGAGATACACTTTTTTTTTAATTTTTTATAGTTACATGTATTCATAAATATAATTGTCTACGTAAATATAAAAGTTAAAAAAAATATAATTAGTAAATAATAAAAATATATATATTTATAAAAATAATTATTATATAATACAAATAATTATAAATTAAAATAATTGAATTATTTGTTAAAAGTAAAAAAAAATTATAAATTATAAAATTTAAAGTGAAATTAAAATGTAATTATTTTTTTTTATATAAAAAAATTATATGAGGAAAAAAAAAAACATTTTATATAGGAAGAAAGAAGTACTATGATATTAGTTTATTATGATTTGTGATATAAAGTAATAATGGTTTAGAAATATAAGTTAGTTAATAAAGTGAAAAAACTCTGATAAATTGAATTTGTAAGTAATCATGCCATATTTTATTTGTAAATAAATATAATATTAAAAAGTATAGATTAAGAAGTTAGTAAAAATTAGTTGATATATATGGAAAGTGCATACTTTGACAAACAAAAGAAGAAAAAATCAGGCATAAATTTAGTAGACAAATGATGTACTCCTTCTATGCAGATTAAAAAATATTAGTATTTCAATAATAATAATAGATAGATATAATAAGATAAATACTAATTGACCTTACTTTTAAATATAAATTTATAATAAAGTAAAGATAAATGATAAATAAGTGTAAAAAAAAAAGTATTAATAGTTACTAGTTAGTTGTAGCATGCATAATTGCTCAAAAAGGAAATGTAAGCCTTAGAAATTGACAGAAGAGAACAAGATAAGAAATAAACAAGATTGGAGGGAAAATCAAGGTCATCCTAGTGCAGACATAACAAAACAGTACAACCTAACCTGTTCGACTAACATCCAAATTGAAGGATCTGTTGCAAAATCAAAATCAAAATCTAGACTGAAAACCAAATGGAAAACATCACAATGTATCATATTGCCAGAAGCAGCTTTAGCGAATTTGTATGAACTAACGGAATTCAAGGGAACTTAAATGTGCAAAATGAACGAAATATGCAAGACTTATTCAATTAAACTCCCAAATGATAAGGCCATGGCATTTTGTATGAGCACGTTAACAAAATGCGCAGAAAAACTACATAAACAAGTGTGTTACTTACTTGTTCCATTGAATTTGGGATTGATAACCGCGAGCAGAAGCTGCAATTTGCAATCCTCCAGATAGACATGATCTAAAAAATCCGAGGAAAGTCTCAGAGAAGCCCTGAATCTGCAGAGAAGAGGATAAACCAGGACATGTAGTAATCGTTGGATTACACAGGAGGAATGGCGATGCCGAGCTTAGTCAGATACCAGATGCCGACCCAAAATCAAATAACAAGAAACAGATATGTGATGTATGTATAAAATTAATTCAAAAGCTAGGAATGAGAGTGCACAGTCTAACAATCAAATAATCAATATCATGCTTGTTTTTGCAGCAATCAAAATCTTTCAAACACTAATCATCATCACAATTCTGGCATAATAACTCATCCCCCTATTATTGTACGATAACATAATCAATCAGATAGAACATATAAATTGAGTCAGGGTGTATTGTACAAAAAACATAAACAATCAAATGGAACGTATGAATTCAGTCAGGGTGTAGTACCGGACCATCATGGAGGAGAGCGTTATTCGATTAACTTGTATGTGTCGGAGGCATCATGGTCATCCATCCACCAAAGGCTTACGGAAGAATTTGGATGTGCCCCTTTGGTTGCTGTACTAGTTGTGCTAGCTTAGAATTCCCTCCTGCTGTTAACTAGATCGCTTGTAAAATCCTGTGTCTCTGCTTCCAGTTGTTCCAAATACACATTGTACTCAGGGTTATAAGCAGCAGCCTTTTGCAAGTATTTTAATGCCTCAGCTTTACGGTCCACATTAAGCAAAGCACTGCAAACCCAAATTAGAAAGAAATGAAATAAAGAAATTCAGGAGATATAGAATATGTTAAATGACATAAAATTCGGAAAAAAAAGGAAGTTGAGGAAACAATTTCACACCTTGAAAGAACAAGTAAACCATCATAGTAGTGTGCCTTGCTCTTAGAATCCTCAGGCTCTTCTAATTGACCTATTCTTTCGAGATGCTGAAGACCCTCCTCCATCTTTCCCTACCAGTGTGGAAAACATGGAAAAATTAATTAATCAACTATCTATGTTGTGTCATTCAATTTTCAACCCGTGTAGAAGAGAGCAGGGAGAAGATTAAAAGGTGAGCAGCATTGACAATATCTCATCTATCCGTAGTAAAATCAAATCAGAGGCACATTGTGATATTATCTAATTTGGACGAAGAAATAATCAGAATTCAGAAGACAGACATGTCACATGTTTTCGTCCCCACGCAGAATTGACGTCCTGGGTGTTCTTGGAAAATTTAAGCAGTGTAATTATGCATTCACTGAAAAACTGTCATTTGGAGCAAACAGAGAACTGTCCTCAATTTAATCTAAAGTTACACTACACAACAAGTGTACCTCGTTGAATAGATAGCTTAATTGTATGTCTCGGCCCACTTGATTCTAGCCACAGAATGTCACTACTTGCCTTCTAGTTAATACCTTCAATTGATTTGATGCTTTAAAATTTGTCCACCATAGCAATCTAGTTTAATCTATCCATGATCAATGATATATAACATGTTTATAAACAGGACTGAAGATATAACTCCCAGTTGCAGTATATATAATCTTTTCCCTATTACTGTGTCTGTCGTCAAGTCGAAAATTCAATATATTATCATGTCATGAGTAACTCCTGTCTCTAGCCAATCCAGGGTATATGGGATTCACAACATTACGAAAATTAACAAATGCAAAGATTCAGATGATACCTGCTTCACATTAGCAATACCAGCCCATAGAGATGAAAGAATCAGATGATCGACCTTTTCAACTTCTGTAGGATAGTTGGCATCGCGGAGCTGGATTCAATTAGGGAAAAACCCCCAGTCAGAGTGTTTATTAGGAGAGTAACTAATACTTGACTAAAAAGTGGTGTATGTGTATGACATTTAACTAGTATAAGTAGTTGGAAGAACAAGAACAGTTTAATGAAAACCAATATGTTTCGCCCGGATGAAATAACATTTCATTCGCCTTTATTTAATGTTACACATGCATATATTTTTATCAACATGGATCACATCTTTCAGGTGTTATTTACCCAAAGAAAATTGATAACTTTATAGATTATAGAATTGAAACAGACCTTTGAAATTGCCTTTTCTAAGTAGTCAACCGCCTCTGCAAATTGTTTATTTTGAATTAATGTCTGCCCCATAATAAGCAAAGCTCTTACATTTCCAGGATCCTTTTCAAGAGCAATTCTGCATTTCACACATCACAAGATGCAAAACGAACATGGAAAACAAATAAATAAATAAAATCCTAAAACACATGACAAATCAAATATTGTGTTACCTTAGATATCTAATTGCAGTATCCTTACGGCCATCAGTTAAGATTTTGACTGAATACTGTGGAAATGTGGTAAGACAGCTTGATAACAAGAGCTTTCAGAAAATTTCAAAGATATTGAAAGTGTAGAGTGTTCCACACTTACAGAAACCAATTCTTCAGGTGATAGTGTTTCTACAGAGATCTGACCGTCCTTTGTACGAATAATATTACCTGCTGCTGCTGCTGCTGAGCTTTGTCTTTCTTGCTCAGTTGGAGCAAGAGCTGCAGCATTCATTTTAGGAATCCCAAGAAGATCAAGAAATTTGGGGTTTTGTAAGCTCACTATCTGCAGAGGAAGGAAGAAAAGTAAAATGACATATCAACAACAGGCTGATTCATAACACTGGATACATGAAAAGAACACCATACTAATTCATCACAATTATATCATTTAATAATCCATCACAGTCGATGTACAGTGTGCAATGAAAGACAACTGTGCATCAGAAGAAAAAGCACACCCTATAACAAACTGAGCTCAATATAGTTAATAAAAGGATACTATAGGAACCAACCCAGGATCGATACTGCCACTTAATTTTTCCCATAACAGATCGAAATATTAATGGGATTAATTTTTTGTACTACCAACCTGTGTCAGGCTCATAGAGCTATTTGTCAGCCAATATATCAAGCTCCCCTGAAAGAGATATATAAATATGTGAATATATATATATATATATAAAGAGAGAGAGAAAGAGCATGCACATTTTGAGAAAAAATACCAAGAACACAGAAACATATAACCAATTATTATTGGATTCATGTAAATAAAGCATAAAATAAGTAGCAAAATTCAATATGCATGTTCAACAAAGAAATTTCATTTACTTCTATTAAGACTGTGTTTTTCATTGTGTAGTTTAGGAAGTTTTTCACTTTATTCTAGTTGTAGCTTTATTTCTTATCACAGCTATATCTTTTTTAGATTAAATTAGATTGTGTGTTTAGAAACTATCCCATAATCCCGGGGATATGTCTCCCTATAATTAGTTGTCCATATTTGACAGCATCATGCATAGGTCAAACGACCTCCAAATGAAATAATATATATATTCCTTCTGAATTTGAGAACTTCACATTGCAGCACGAAGCATATATAAACTGTCATGCTCTGTTTATGGGTGATCAACATGGCCTGACATAAAAACTTTACTAGTACAGTATAGTGATAATACAAAGTGGATGAAGCAATGTACCTGAGGAACATTGAATGTAGCAACCAAGATAGGCAAAGTCAGCAGTTCCAAATAAATCTTGTATATCTATATATACAGCAAAAAAAATATTTAGATTGCCGCCATTATATTAAATATATTACATGTTGCAATTATTTAAAGCACATGTCAGGAATTAGGATTAAATGTAATGTTCACAACTACCATGACTGTTTTTGCAGAACAAATAACTTCATAACACAACAAAAACTAGGATATAAGTACGGTTAACCACTCCTATGTACAAATACAAAAAGGTGATCTGTGACATTAGGTTTTATGGGTAAATTAAGATATTATGGTAACAAACTTTATGCAAATATACCATTATTGCAGTACAAACATCATGCAATGCATTATTTATATGAATAGACAACATAAGAAATAATATATCGTGAGCTAGTTAAGTCTGCAGATGGAAATGGATCTAAAGTGGAGCAAAGAAAGCATTTAAATAAGTTTTACCAGCTAACCTTCATTAATGATCCCAATAAACCTTGTAAATTCTCACGTGAATGTCTCTGAAGAGAAATCTGAAAGTAACTTAAATAAGACTTTAGAATATTCCCCATTAGAAATGTGACCAATCAAGAATAGCAGCAATGACAAGTAGATACATGTAATTAGTAAATATATATATGTATGTATAATTTTTAAAATCATTTTGCTGTAAATCATGCATCCGAATTTAAAGCTAGCATTGTGGAAAACAACTTGAAAGACATCTTTAAACATAAATGGTTTTAAAATCTCTGTTTGGATTTAGAAAAGCGATAAACACCAGAATGTAAAGAAACAACTTAAAGGATACTCAAACAAAAGCTTCCATCAGTAAGGACCAACTGTGATAAATTCTAAACATCAGTAGAACCAATTCCATTATTAATATACTATTTAAGTAGCAGACCCATGGTAAGAAATAAAGAACCAACCCCTCTCTCACTGGTAATAATCTAACTGGCTTGAACAGCTTGTTTCCTTTTAAGATAACAATCAGCGTTCCTCAATGATATCCACAAGCCATTTCTAAAAGCCTTCAAAGAAGAATGGAAAGACAATAGAAGCCAATCCAAGGAGACTATTGGCATGAGTATCATATGACGCTGGGAAGCCATATCAAATAATCAATAGTAATAACTCTCGTTAGGAGTCTCTTAATCACAGATGCCATATTGTGGAGTTTTAAATCAATTTTGATTTCCAACAAGGAATGTTTTGATATTTATTCAATATATTGTAAAGGAAACAATGTTTCATGGAATACATTGATACACTATCATCACACTCCAATACTCCATCCTTTAAGATGAGGGCAAACAAACAATTTTCCAACATACAATCTCAAACTTCATCAGTTCTGAAACCCATTGTAAATGTTGAATTAGAATCAAAGTTACATGCTAAGAACTGTACCAACCTGAACAATGGTGAAATGCAGGCCTGCAATTATCAGTGGGAAAATAGGACCCAGTGTACCATGTGGATATTCAGTCAAATTCTCAAACCATAAAGTTCCTCCCTGTAATATTTTAAGATAAGATTCAACTTGCCATTCACAACGAGCAGCAAAATGCCAGAAGGGGATTTCAAATAAAAAAATCAGATTAAAATAATGAAGTTGGCCTTACACTATCAAAACCAGGGTGATTATTTAACGACATCCTACGGATGCTCATTAGCCACACAAAAAAGCAGGGGACCTGCAAATTATTCAAGAGACCAGAAAATAAGAAAGATGACACCTCATCTAACATACTCAGAAAGTAGAAGTTATAGAGAATATTGCAAATTTAAGTCATTGTTCTACTTCAGTTGTAACTAGCTTATCGTTTCAAAAGAAAACACATCAGTAAATGGAGCTCACAAGTGAGAGAGAAAATATTGTGAACCATAAGTGATGAAAGTGAATCTATAATAGTACACACTACAGATAAACAAAGACAAAACCAATAAAAAAGCAAACTAGAATAAACAGCTTCAATGAATTGAATGACTAGTAAAACAAAGGACCTAAAAAAGCACTTAGCTGACAATGAATGTGATGCTGTCAGCACAGCCATTGTCATCATTATGTCTCCACATTGCAAAGGTACATTTTTTACTTTGCCAAGATAAGGAAATAGTATACAAGGGGTCCTTTGCTCAAAACATACTTTTCAGTAGTACCTAAAATCAATTCCATCTTCACCTTATATCTCGGCAAAACGTAAAGGTATTCATATTAGACTAGAAATACTTTTTCTTGGATAAAGGAACAGATTACTCGATCTATTAAAGCACCTACAACATAAGTTATATAACACAACTGCTCTGTATGGCAAGATAAATTGTTCGCCAAGGGTTTTGGATAAAATCCAAGCAAAGCAAAGAGGAAAAGGACCTCAATGACCAGTGATGAAATAAACCAAAAAAGTGACGGGCACCCAGCAGTCTTCTTTTCCTTGAAGAAAAGGGTAAGCTGATCTCTGAAACTTCGTCCAGACAGAGGCGGTGGAAATGGTGGAGGTACTATTAGGATGCACAAAACAACAAAAAGAAAAAAATACATGTTATGTTGAATTAAACACTTCACCTTACATTATTCTTACATGTTTCATAATTTAAAATAGTAGAGAAAGAAAAAATTGGAAAGTTAAAAAATATAATAATAAAGATGAGGAATGATGCTATATAAAGGCCGGGTTTCAGAGATAATGACTAATGTTTTTCTCATAGAAATAACTGTAAATCTTCATTTTTCATCCAAGTAAGAACACAACTACCACTCCCATCTATTAATTCAACAGTGTGTGATACAGTGTTCGTGTATTGGTGACACGGAGATTCAGACCACCAGACTGATCATCTGCAGTTATGCCAAGGGGCTCCAAACTGCTAAACCAATGAACTTCCACTATCAACTTCTTCTAAACCAGTGTCTTTTAACCAAACCAAAGTCCACCCAATCTCAGTTCACCAAACCATATTACACCTTTTCCAGACTTCCAAGATCTATAACTCGCTCAAATTGATTACTCATGATTTTTGACATCATTAGACTCTAGGCCACAATTTTGAAGATTATTCCTCTACTCCTATAGAACCAACTCCAATTCAACCATCATTTCACCAATTAGAGACATCCTTGAAATTCCCTAATATACAAGTAGCCTTCGCTTCGCATTACCAGTGGTTGATGAGCGTCAAATTTTCAAAAAAATGCATCATACACACATCCATTTAGGAGTCTTCCTCTTCATCATCATGTTTGGTATCAGTGAAAGTTTAAAGTGTGAACTTTGTGTTTCAGCCCTTCAAGTTTTGTTCTTTCAAGGAGTTATATGTAATATCTTGGAACTTATATAAGCTGAAAACTTTCTAGTTTATTAACAACACTACAATGTGATTTAAGCATAGTTGCACCACTTCAATTTGTGAGTGTGAGACTTGATCTCACATCCATAACTTAATCTTAGAAAGGATTAATACCTATTACCATTATTCTCATTTAATTTAGTGTTAGCAAGTCTAGGACCTTGAATCCAAGTTCTTTTTTTTTTTTTTTTTTTTTTTTTTGAGAATCCAAGTTCTTAACTGATCATTCAACTGAATGCCTGATTATCTTTGATTTTCTTGCGCCATTCCATTGTACAAAATCACAAAACTTAACTGTTTTATAACCCTTCACATTGAAATTCAGCAACCAGAGCTCTTACATTTTCCCTACACCATTCCAAATTGAAATTATATTTCAAATTGTCCGAGCTTCCACAAAACTGCTTTTGTTGCATTTACAAAGGTACCGTGTCAAAAGGATACTAGAAATACCTTGAATCATAGTATGACGCCGAGTATCCTTAGGGTGTGGTACTTTGTAGGATAGAATTTAACTCAAGGGACTATTCTAATGGATTATAACCATAAGATAAAATAATACTCCCTCTGTATACATGTATGCATTTACTTCATTAAGAAATATTATATTTAAATGGTGATTGGTGGGTACTTTTTTGTGTAAAGACTTTTTTCCCTTTGTGTTTTAATTTGATTAATGGTATAGATGTAAATAAGTATAAGTTCAAGGATATTTGTAATGTGTAGCGGAATCCACACTTACTAAAAAATGTATACCTTATGTTTTGACAGACAAAAATAGCAAAATGTATAACTTTTGGATGGACCGAGGGAGTATAAAATATACTTTAATGGATTATTAAATATGATTATTTTCTTTAGTAAATATCATTGATTTATATGATATAGCTATTTTTAAATTAATTATTAATGTTGGAATTGAAGGTGTAGTCTAGTTGCGAAACCCTTTAACTCTTCGATCGTTAGGGGGTTCGATTCCCAGCATCCCTATTGCCCTTCCCTATTACCTCTTTGTATTCATGGTGTGGGCACACCTATAACATTAAAGGGCTTTGGCCAATGTCACGAAATAATAATAATAATTAATTAATTAATTAAGGGAAAAATAAGAAAGTTTCTTAATAAATAATAACTTAAGATACTTTAATTACCACAAACTTAACAAGGATTAATTATCCTTAATTTAACTATCATTATATAGGGTTTTTTTTATCAATTATAGGTTTAAACCATCCAAAGTAAAGAGGCAATTTATCCAACATAAAAACGAATTTTCTTTTGAGTGTTCTTTAGAACTCTAAATTCCACATTTAATGTAGCTGAGAAATTAAGAAGAAAAAAAGAATAAGCAAATTTTGTTCTAGTCATAACTCCATCCTTGCTATTTTCAATTTCTCAGATATACATAATTAGCTAAAATAAATAAAGAATGATACTAACGTTTAGGCAGCAGCTCTGCTATCCTCTTCAATTTTTTGAGTTGCAAAACTTTTTGAGGAAACAATGCAAGCCTCAAAGCCACTGTAGACGATGATATTACAACCCACCTAGCAAAATTAACTCAATTAAGTTAATACACAGCCGTTAAAGCTACAGAGAGACAACCATGTGGTCAATTAAATACAAAAGTCCTCAGCTAGATTAGGGAAATTCGTTAGAAATCACCACACTAATACTGGGAAAAAGAAGCAAAATTATCCATCAACAACATGATCAGAAAATGAAACAACTATACCCAAAAATAAAAAAATTGGGATTCAATTGGATGTAATAAGCACCGTATATAGGTGTGATAGAGTATGATTGAATCTCCATAAGAACAAATTCAAATAGATCATAATAAAAACTCATGCCACACATATTGCTGTAAATTCTAAATCTCGATACGGAAACTATTCCACTGCTAAATCCTTAATCAGAAAATTATGAAGAAGTGCAACAGATTTACTACTACCAGGGTAAGCCAGAAGCATCGTGATAAGAATCGAGCAGGGAGATTACAGCTTTTACAGGAAAACTGAACTCGTCTGATCCTTGCAGAGGAATTTCTGTAGAAAATCGTCGGGAGAACCGAATATAGTTATGCGGAGTGCTGCAGTTGCTTTTACGGTAGTTAAGGAGAATTGAGGTGGTGGTGTAGTTGCTTATTGAGGTACTAAATAAGGATTGTGAAGATGAAGAAGACGACGACGAAGGGTGAGAGTAATTGAAAGAAGCAAAAATTAATGGGAGCGGTGGCGATTGCCGCCAACGATGGCGGCGGGGTAACGATGCGATCAATCGCATTGCCAGTTTGATGAGGCAGCGAGTTCGATCCGAGATACGAAGAGTGTAATTCAATCAATCAGCATATCAATCACACTAATACCAAAGTACAGCGATTAATTTCGATCTCGTCTCGTCTGCCATTGAAACGGAACTCCTGAGCTCATCTCCCCGCTCATTCTCTAGTAGCCGCTGGTCGTTATACGCTCCAATTCCGCCATAGCCGAAACCCCAGAGATGGGTTTTATGCTCTCTACTATTGGGCTTAAATAACTGTACTGCAGTCCACTGGTTTTATTTTCTCTAAAGCCCAACAAATCTAATTAATTTTTAGGTCTCTTTAAAAATAATAATAATAATAAATATGTCCAACAATTTTCATTTTTTATTTTTTACCTAAAAAACAAATTATGAACATTAAAATATTCCGTCACTCCATTAAAATATAATTGTATATACTAATAAAATATCTTAATATTTTATTTAAAATTACGACCATGCAGTCTTTTATTAATTATACTTTCAATATTTTATTCAATATATTTTTATAAATTTACTTGTAAAAAATATATTAATTTTAATAGCATTTAAATGTGTAAAAGAATAGATAATGTTAAAATAAAGCAATTAAATATTTATTACATATTTATTATGAAAAAATAAATACACAATATGTGAATGAAAGCCTATCGTTTAAGGACAAATAAAACAAATAAAAAAATAAAATAAAATGTGAACTAAATTGTTTTTAAGTTCCAACAAATTAAAATATATATGTATATATATTTATCAAATACTTTACTTAATTATGTAACTAATTAAATAATATAAAACTATTAAATAAATTTAAAATCGATGAAAATGCTAATTGCCAAATATCCACCTATGTTGTTTATAATACTACAAATTTGTCTTGTATTGATGGATATATATAATCGACACGTGCACAATAATCTAAACATTGGGTCATCATCCATCTCACCATTAGTAAAAAAATAATAAATAAAAAATCCATCTCACCATTAGTAAATCCACGTGAGCCATGGGTTTCTTGTGTTTATTTGTAACATAATTTTTTTTAAAAAAATAAATAAATATTAAATATGAACAATTTTTTATTAATTTTAATTCACCTCAAAAAAATATATCAACAAGCAATACTCCCCCACCAACCCACCCCAACTACAAGCTTACAACTACCCACAAACAATAATAATAATAATAATAATAATAATAATCCCTTCGTCCCACTTCTCATGTTCACCTTTTTATTTTCTTCCGTCTTACTTATTTTGTCATTTTTTTAAAAAATAATTATACACTTTAATCTTATTTTTAAAAAATTAATTTTTAATTTTTTAATTTTAATTATACTAATCAATTATCTTAATCTATAATTATTTTTATTATACGATAATTATTTTCACTAATACATTTTTAATTATTTACTAATTATATCCCTCTTAAATTCTCATATCCACATTACCGCGGTCAAATTATCTGGAAAGGAGGGAATAATAACTAGGGATTTGTTTATTTTAAATTTTTTTTATATTAGAATTGTATTGATAATATATAAAAAAAAATAATATTTTATTTAAAATTGTTAATTTTTTAGTACAGGGTAATATATATATTATATATATTGTATTTTTTAATGATATTTATGAAAAAATTTATATAAAAAATATTAAATGGGTGAACACAATGTTTTTATTTTTTTATTTCAAATGAAATTTAAAATCAAACTAAATAGAAAAAATTCATTAACTTGAAATAAAAAGAAATAAAATATTTTTATTTCAATATATATGGATAAAACTAATTATTTGTTTATTTTTTTATATTAATTATAAAAAATATGTAGTTGTTATAAAAATAATATTTTATAATTTAAAAAATATATAATATATTATATGAGAGTATTTATATATGGCATTTTTATTAATATTTATTAAAAAATATGTAAAAAATGAATAAACATACATAAGAGACACGGCCTATACACGGGATTTATTTTTTTTTTTATTTTTTGCCATAAATATGTTATATATTCATTTTAAAAACTTGACACGTATTTTATATAATTTATTTTAATTTTATTTTATGAAAATGACTTGTCATTTTAAATACATATACTTTATTGTTGATGGAAAATAATATATATATGTATATATATATATATATTTATATGAATACGACATTGGCTATAGCATTACCTGATCGAAACATATCAGGTTGAGGCTGTGTTTGGTTGGAATTTTAGAAGAATTTTATTATTTTTTAATATTAAATCAAATTTATATTTGTTATATTATACTTAAATTATTTTAAATTTAAATATTGTATCAATAATTATATATTATATTAAATAATTATTTAAATTTTAAATTTATTATTAAATTTTAAATTTATTACGCAAACCAAGTATAGGATTTATTATTTTATTATTTTAAATTCAAATTAGTACCGTTTTTAATAAAATAAATAAATTATTTTTTTAATAACATATTAAATTAAAATATTATGTAAGCAAAAAATTCAAATTAACAATTAATTTTAAATCATTTCAAATTATAATCAAAAGTCTTTATATTTCTCCGCTGGTAAAAGGTAATTCAAAATAATTTAGGATTTATAGTTTTTATTATTTATATTTATAATAAATTATATATTGAATTACTACATTACTTTAGAAATATCAAAATAAATATTTAAATATTAATTATTATAAAAAATATAATATAAAAATTAAAAAAAATGACAAAAATATTTTTATTAATGTCATATACTATTATAATAATATTTGTTAAAAAACCTATAAAAATATAATAATATAATAAAATGTTAGAGCCTGACGAAATGAGTATTTTATATCTAATTTAATACACTATTATTTATGATATTAATAAAATATAATGTAATTCAACTGTATTTTTGTATGTTTAAATTAATTTCATATGATAATTTAATACTTCTTCAGCAAGTTAGAAAGTATATATATTTTTATTTTGAGACGTCCAATTATAAAGTAAACATGTCATTAAATACCTCTTTTTTTTTTTTCACAAATACGCTTACTTTACATCACATCGTTACTTTTACACTAAAAAAAAATATGGACAAAAATATTATTTTACTATTTTTAATTACCCACTAGCTAAAAGTAAATGTTTATTTTGTGTGTGGACGAAATAAGTATCTTTTTATTAGATTTGATAGAATTCACGTCGTATTTGAGTTCAAGAAATTTATATGTTATATTTAATAATTTAATTTATATTAATATTTTATGTCCCACTACAATTATTATTATTGTTATTTGTTGATCGGACCCGCTACAGTTATTTTAATTCAATATGATGTATTATATCTGATAAAGTTCGCAATAAGAATGACTAAATAACGAATTATTAATCTTAATTATCTAATATTAAAATTATGTTTAAGTTACTACATATATAAAAGTTACTAAGAGTGTGTTCATCTAATACTAAGGGTTGTTTGTTAGGGGTTTGAATTTTGAATTGAAATTTTAATAATAAAAATTTTAAATTGAAATAATTGACATATGGAATATCAATATGATAAAAAAAAAACATATAAAATATCAAAATGAGTAACAATATTGTCGATAACAACTAATGTATTTCAAAGTTCCCATTGATCCAAAAGAAGTTTACAATTTAGCATTCATACGGGAGTCAGATAAGCTTACACTTTGTAATGGGTTATTCTTCCAACGTATCAAAAATATACTTTCTATGTAAAAACACAATGCCATCAGGTGATGAAGTATTTCAATGCCAAAAAATTATCTAAGTAGTTTTAAGCCCTTAGTTTGAAAGTACTGGTACAAATGTTATTTAAAAGCATGTATTTTATTTTGATCGTTTTCAGTAACGACAATATTATCAACATAAACAATATAATATAAGAACTTATTAGCAATCATATGCATGTAAAAAATAGAATAATCGAATTCACATCTAATTATTCTAAACTCATGTATAGTGGCACTAAACCGTCCAAACCAAGCACAAGGGGACTCTTATAAATAATATACGAAACAACGAAACTTGCACACAAGACTAGATTCTCTCTGCCAAATTAAATCATGTGGTTTCTTCATATAGATACCATTCTAAAGGTCAACATGAAAGAAAACATTCTTGATGTCCAACTGATAAATGAGTCTAACTCCACATAGTCGCAGAAAAATCCCCGACGCCTCGGGTCACTTGCCACACATGGTTTGCCTAGTGTGACTTTTTCGTCGAACCTGATTTGCAGGGTATTAGGTTCGATCGGGGGTTTACTCAGTGTGCACTTTCGGATAGCGACTGCGGATTTCCACATTATATATTAAAAAAAAAAGAAATAATCAAATAGAAGACATTATGGTCATATGAGACAAAATGTCAGTATGATCATCACCATAGATTTTTTTAAAGTCTTTGGCCGCTGGACGAGCCTTAAGGTGATCAAACTATAAAAAATACTCCCTCCGTCCCAGATACCGTGTCTGCTACACTGTAGATACGGTATTTTAGGAGGAGTGTAATTAGTAGATAATTAAGAATGTATTAGTGAAAATAATTATCCTATAATATAAATAATTATAAATTAAGATTAAAATAACTAATTAGTTTAATTAAAATTTTAAAAAGTAAAATTTAAAAATTTAAAATAAGATTAAAATGTGTAATTATTTTCCAAAAAAGGAGAGTGATATGGTATGTGGAACGGACAGATACGACAACGTGGACATGGTATATGGGGAGGGAAGAGTAACACAGTATAAAAAAGTGTCATGTTGCTTAAGTTCTTTAGTGATATATTTTCTTGGTAGGAGAAGGCTATTAATGCCGACCTTGATTTTTAACATAAGACTAAGAAGTTAGACATTGATGAGAAATTTTGCTGAAGATAAAATAAATTAGAAACCATTATATACAAACGATCAATATCGTTCCTATGTAAAAGAGTTGTTTGATTCCATAACATATAATCAGGCCGTCTCGGACTTTCTTTAGGCCCTGAGCAAAAATAAATTATATGCCCTACAAATATATAATTAAAAAATATTTTTAATAATATTACTGATTGACGTTAGACAAGAGGTTGAACGTAACCGTCTGGACAATATCAATTGAGAAAATAAGATGAAAGACGGTCTGTCTAAAAGTTCGAAAAGTAAAAACTGAAGGAGGGTTAAAGATATAAGAGAAAAAATGAGGCAAGTTTGATCGAGTTGCTGGAGACAATGCGATAAGATGTAAGGTAAAGAAGTGTAGACAAAAAAAATAAAATATATATATGATTAGAAATTAAAATTTAATTTTATAATTAAATATGATAATTATGAAGAAAAAAATATAAATTAAAAGTTAGAATTTAATTTTAAAATTTAATAATAATAATAATAATAATAATATATAATATTTAAAATATAATCCTCTATTAATTAGGACCTGAGCAACTCATCATGCTCCTGCTATGAGCCGCCCCGGCATATAATACATGACAAATGGTAAATATAGTAAAAATAAAAATGCGTCAAATGTTATGAAATAACGAAAAATATGTAACAGTTAAAAGATTATACTCTCTATGTTCTAATACAGTAATCTTATTTACCATTTTTGTCCGTCCCAAAACAATAATCTCATTTCTATAAATACTCGTGTTACCGTAAAATTATCTCTACTTTTTCATTATTATTACACAAATACAACTACTTTCTATACTAATACACTTGGCATAAAAATCTTTTTTTACTCATATTTTTTACAAACTATTAATATAATATCAATATTCATTAAATCTCAGTGCCCAACTCAAATAAAACCAAAGTTTTGGGAGGGATGGAGTAAATATTTTACTTCTGAGAATTTTAGGTGTGTTTGTTTTGGGTTTGGATTTTGAGTTGGGAATTGAATAGTAAAAATGTTGAATTTAAATAGTTGTACGATGTGATATAAATAGGTATTGACGTGATGTTTTGAATATAAAATTAATTTTTAGTATAATATAAAAAATAAAAAATAGATGTTTGATCTGATATTTTTGGGAAAAAAAATAGAACGAACAGTAAAAATTTAATCCAATCCCCCAAACAAACACACCCTAAATGTGAAAATGACAATTTTATTTTACTACGAACAAAATGACGATATTTTTATAAGCTGGATAAAAGTATTTAATTTAATGATTAATAAAAATATTATAAAAAAACTCTAAACAAACACAGCCTTATACATCACCAACCGCTACATATCAATGATTTGTCTCCTAAATCGAAGGAGGTCATTTTGGTAATTTTGATCGATATAGGTTGGTTGGTAATCTGACTTCTGTGCGTCCTCGATTGGTGGTGCGGGGATCGCCTTGTAAATTGACAATTATACCCTGGTAGTTTTACCGCACTTACCTACCTCGCCATCGTTATCACAATCAATCTTCTTCCTCATTGTGTGGGGGAAATGACGCAGATCGTGAGGGTAATTTCTGCTCTCTGAAGTTTTACAGTTCGAGATTCTATAAATCGAGTGATGTTTGGAGGTTCTGCATTCTGTTAATCGTGCAAGTCTGTGGCGGAGGTGGGGGAATTGCTGCGGATCTGATCGGAGGTCGGCTGGTGAGGGTTACTATTTTGTCGGCAGCGGCATTACATTTGGCGCGGTGGTTTTTGGTTTTTTGAGTTTGTGTAGAATTGTGCGGTTGGATTGAATATTTTTGGTTTGGTTTGGATTGGTTTTGCGAAGCACGATGAAGGTGATTGACAAGATCCGGGAGGCGACGGCTGCCAATGGCAAGGATGTGATGTTTTCGTTCGAGTTCTTCCCGCCGAAGACGGAGGACGGCGTCGACAACCTGTTCGACAGGATGGAGCGGATGGTGGCGCACAACCCTGCCTTCTGCGATATCACGTGGGGCGCGGGCGGATCTACGGCGGATCTAACGCTGGAGATCGCTAATCGAATGCAGAACATGGTGTGCGTCGAGACTATGATGCATCTTACCTGCACCAACATGCCTGTCGAGAAGATCGACCACGCACTCACCACCATTAAGTCCAATGGCATTCAGAACGTCCTCGCCCTGCGAGGAGATCCCCCTCATGGGCAGGACAAGTTCGTCCAGGTCGAGGGAGGATTTGGTTGCGCACTCGATCTTGTAAGTGTGGATATGAAACTACGAGTGCATATACAAGTTTGAATTTAATGAATTAATGGTGTCTTTTTTCATTCTGATTTATGATTATTGCATGTCCTGCGGCTGAGCGATGGCTCATTTTGTACCTTTCTATTTGTTTGCAGGTTGAGCATATCCGTGCCAATTATGGTGACTACTTTGGGATTACTGTTGCTGGCTATCCAGGTACTGGTCTTTTTTCATATTTTGGCTTAAAATACGTTTGAATATTGTTGATCCTCAAAAATGTTCACTAATGCAACATCTATATTGTATATACCTGTGGATTTCTGTTTAGAAGTAGTTGATTGTCATGATGGATTTGAATTTTGCAAACTGATAAGCTCATCTCTATTTCATTTTAAACTGTGATATAATTATGTGATGTTTATTCTGCTGATGATAATGATGAACTTGTTTGTGCTGTGTAATTTTAATTGAGTTAATGTTATTTAATCTTACTCTATCTTTTTACCATTTATTCAAGAGGGACATCCTGATGTTATTGAGAATGGAGTGGCACCGCCAGAGGCATATGCAAAAGACCTTGCTTATTTAAAGAAGAAGGTCATTCTTGAAATTTAATGTGGCAATATTTTACTGTAATGAATTTGAGATATTTGACTACTGTAGTTTTTCTGCAAGCTATATCAACCTGGTGCTATTTTTGCAGGTTGATGCTGGAGGCGAGGTCATTGTAACCCAGCTTTTCTATGATACTGATATCTTCCTCAAATTTGTACACGATTGCCGTCAAATTGGAATAACCTGCCCAATCGTTCCTGGAATTATGCCCATTAATAATTACAAGGGCTTCATTCGCATGACTGGCTTCTGCAAAACTAAGGTGTGACACAATGCCTTGCCATTCTCATTTGATTCGTAACTATTAGCTATGAACTCGGGGTAGTTGCCAATTTCATATATTGTTGCACACAATCTACCTGTGCTTGCAATGTCTTCTGATGACATTACTCTGACAGCCCAAAGTTCCTCTTATTGTTTGCCCATTCTTTCTCCCCACTAGATCTCACCAACAACTAACATCCCAGATATAATATAATCCAAAATAATTTTTTTTTTTTTGTCTTACATAAGCATAGAAAACTTAAAATTCATTAACTACTCAATTTATGAATTTAGATTCAGAACAATTTTTACCTCATTAAATTTGATACAAAATTTTACTAGTATTCACATTCACCACTCAACACCCTGTAACCTAACTATACTCGTATATCCTAATGCATATCCACTCAGTGTATAATATTTTTACAAATAAAAAACAAAATGCCCAGCTAAAAAAGTTGTGCTAGGCAGATGCTTATGTGATAACGCATGGATGTTTCTTTAAGCTTCAGTCCTTGCCACAGTAACTACAAATGTGAGTTCCCAAAGGGGTTTTCTCCAAAGAATGTGAACAAGCCATCCAAGTTTCTATTACTACAATATTTCTCAGTTATTCTTTAGTAAGCTTGCCGATTGAACAGCTAAGATAATGCATAGAAAGTTTCATCTGATATACTTTCTGATTTGTAATTGAATCAAGATAGAAATGGAATGGTTATGTGTGATATTTAATTAGCCTTGCCTCATCCGTGAAACATAAAACTTTTTATGATAAATTTATAAGCCACGTGATTGTATCTTATTGAAGGTTACAATCACCTGTCAATTTTCTTTTGAGATGCCTCTTAAGTCCTAAGATAATTGGCAACTAATGTTGTTGATATATAATGTTTATCTTAAGAAACAACTTCTATTCATACTAGCTTAGCAGAGGAGTTGAAATTGAACTGATTGGATGACCCTTGTATATTTTGTCAAAATTCTTTTCTTCCATGTCTCTCATGTTAGTTGAACAACTTTTACTGTTATTATATGTCTGTATATGTCATGCTGATTTTGTTATCATTATGGTACACTTATTGCTAGTAATAACAGCTCACCTCTAGTTATTACTACTTTCGTGATCTGGTTTTAATGTTTTACTGTAGATCCCACCAGAAATCATGGCTGCCTTGGAGCCTATTAAGGATAATGAAGAAGCTGTCAGGGCCTATGGAATTCACCTAGGAACGGAAATGTGCAAAAAAATTATGGCCAGTGGGATCCGGACAATTCATCTCTATACATTGAACATGGAAAAATCTGCATTGGGTATATTAACGGTTGGTTTTCTTAGCCTGTGTGAAGCCTTTTAGCTACAAAATTTATATGCAATTGAGGGAATGAGGCTAATCTACACTTCGACATGCAGAGTCTTGGATTGATTCAGGAATCCAAAATTTCTAGGTCTTTGCCATGGAGACGCCCAGCAAATGTTAACCGGGTGCAAGAAAATGTTCGTCCAATATTTTGGTACGTAAACTTATTTGTGGACCCGGAAGATCTTTGGCCTAATTTCTGATTTGAAACCGTTTTGAAAACTATTTTAGGGCTAATCGTCCTAAGAGCTATATTTCACGGACTATTGGTTGGGATCAATATCCACATGGTCGATGGGGAGATTCCCGCAATGCAAGTTATGGTGCACTCACTGATTATCAGGCAAGTGGTTTTTGACAAACCTGAGTGTTTTGTTGACTGTGTTGCAATCAATCTCTTCTGTCTTCTGTTTCATTTCTTTAATTAGACATTCTTGCATACCTGCTTTAAGGCGCAACTGATATACAGTGGTTTTCTTATTTTCCATCTCTGGATAAACCATCTTCATCTTTTAGTTCTATATAAAACTATTTATATTTGGTGCCAATGAATGGTCTTTTGGTAGGAATATTGGTGTGGATACAGTAAAAACATTAATTGAGGAGTTTAGAGCTTTTACATTCGAGACTAAGGTCTTCTAAAATTTGAAGGTTTTCCTTTAGCCTTGTATTGATTTGGAGCTTTACATATACCCTGAATTACCGTATACTACTCTTCTGCATAATTGCAGATTTAGTCTTATCAAATGCTTCATATTTTCTCATCCAACTTTTATGTGGGATTCTCTCAATTATCGAAAGTGATATTTCTTTGACGGTATGGATCTTAAAATAACACATAACTATGGAATATGAAGGGAACCATTTCAGTGTTGCTTCTTGTATAGAAATAATCTCTGTATTTTGTTCCACCTGAAACGATATTTCTCCTTTCAATGAGATAAACCTTTCAATTTCTTTCATCAGTTCATGCGGCCCCGCGCCCGTGACAAGAAACTTGCCGAGGAATGGGGTGTTCCCTTGAAAAATGTTGAGGATATATATGAGGTATAATTCTTCAATAAAGTGTATTTTGAGTTCAATACTTAAGTGAATGGACATGTAAATTTTATGTGTTTCGAATGCATCAGAAATTTATGAAGTTCTGTCACGGGGAACTTAGAAGCAATCCGTGGTCCGAGCTAGATGGGCTGCAGCCAGAGACCAAAATTATTAACGAGCAACTTGGCAATATTAACATGAAAGGTTTTCTCACGATAAACAGCCAGCCAGCTGTTAATGGTGCACTATCTGACTCCCCGACTGTTGGTAAGAGAATCTGTTTAGTTTTGTTGTGTTTGGTTGCTTTTGTGATTTCCTGAACTGTCTACTTTTTTTGGATGTTATTTTTGGGGTAAAATAGTGCATTTTTGTGATGCGGGGTGGTGAATGCTGAATACTATTGCATGTTGTTTGATTTGCTTAGTTTTGCATAATACTATTTGTCTCTACTACTAATGGTGTCGAGGTTGTTTAGTTGTGCTTTGAGTTATTTTGAAAATAGTAAAATTTGAACTGAAATAATTATTTGACGTAAATTTTTGGGGGAAAATGAGATTTAAACACACCCCTAACAATTTCACTTTTAATTTTTAGGATTAGTTTATTCCAACTATTTTATTGGATTGGATAATCATTTAGAATATTAATTCCAGGTTTAAATAAAATATTTAGGGACTTAAATACATTAATGTGAACATGCGACTATGATGGATAAAGGAGTCTATTAATCTGAATCACAATAGTAAACACACCTTGGGGATTGGATAATAATGTAGAAATGTATAAGGGGGAGTTTGCTTTTAGGATATAAAACCTTGTAAGGTCGAGCAACTTTGAATATGAGTTTTCCGTTATGCCTACATAAATCAGAACTTTGCATGACACTATGTGGTGAGACGTGCGTTTGTTTGCAATTTCGTACTTACAACATAAACAATAGCAATTGTTTGGTGAGACTTTTTGGGTGTGTTTGTTTGTGCGTTTTAATGTTTGGGTTTGGATTTTTGAATAGTAAAAAATTGAATTTGAATAGTTGCTTGATGTGATATAAATAGAAGATGATATGATGTTTTGAATGTAAAATAAAATTTGTAATATAATATAAAAAAAGAAAAATAATTGTTTGATGCAAGACATTTTTGGACGGAAAAAAGTATTTGAATAGTAAAAAGTTGTGGTAAAACTCACAAAAGAACACAACCTTATTTTTACGCAATTTTGTGGTGTGTTGGTAACCATGTCTAATGGGATTCGACTCTGTATTGGATATGCAGGATGGGGCGGGCCGGGTGGATACGTCTACCAGAAGGCATACTTGGAATTCTTCTGCCCTCTGGAAAAGCTGAATTTGCTGATCGAGAAATGCAAACTCTACCCGATGCTGACCTACATGGCCGTGAATATCGGAGGAACTTTGATATCTAATGTCGAGAATACAGGCATCAATGCCGTGACATGGGGTGTGTTCCCTGCACAGGAGATAATCCAGCCTACGATTGTCGATCCTGCAAGCTTTGTTGTGTGGAAGGATGAAGCATTCGAGATATGGACAAGGGGCTGGGCAAAACTTTACCCCGAAGACGATCCATCGAGGAAATTGCTCGAGGGGGTTAGAATGAATACACATATATATATATATGTATATATAAGATGCGGAAATGATAATAATGTGTGTATGGTGTGCAGGTGAAGGGCAGCTATTACTTGGTGAGCTTGGTGGACAATGACTACATTCATGGAGACCTGTTTGCTGTTTTTCAAGACATCTGAAAAAAAGGTTCGATCGAAGCCATTTATTTAATATCTCTGGTTTTCATTCTCTACTACCTGAGCTGAGGTTTCATTATGTTTTTTAATTACTTAATTATTGGCATGATGATTTTCTCATTCTCTTCTTTTAATTGTAAGGTTTAATAACTTGGGATTTTTGAGAATTCTGATTCCCTGAATCGCCATATATCTAATTATTCATTCTGTGTTTCTACAAATTCCCTCAACTTGTGTCTTCATTTCTTTTTTTGCATGTTATAATTATGAATATCTATAATCGATGGCTTCATATTTTTGTGGGTTTAAATAGTTAAAAGTTTTGAATTTTAAATAATAAAATTTTGAATTTGAATAATGATTTAATCCACAATATAAATTTTAGTAAAATTTATTTTCAATTTAATATAAAAAAAATAAATATTTAATTTGATTTTTTTTTTAAAAAAAAAAAATACTGAATAGTAAAATATAGATTCAAAATTTACAAATAAATAGAGGTAATAAATAGAATATTTAAATAAAAATCCGGTATATTATGTTGTAAACACATGTAATATGGCGTGAATATTTACTTGCATAATTTGAGGGGAATAAAAACAGAAGGCATTCCGTACTGTTTAGAATGTGCATAAATAAAGAAATTCATGCTTTTCCACTTGAAAATAACTCTTAGATATTTAATTTAAATATTGACAAGTGGCCAATGTCACAAAATATGCCCTCCCAATTTAAAGTGATTACATGTTTTTTTAAGAAAAAACTAGTTCTTATAAAAATATTGCATCAAAGGAGTATGCAAATACAAAATAAACACAGCTTGGGATCTTAGTTTGATATATGAATGGATTTTCAAAGAGTTTCAATAGAGAAGGAACAGACAGACCATTACAACAACAGAACAACACAGATCATACAAAAAACATAAAGCACTTGAGAAGGTAGCTGTAGAAACTTACCTTGGTTGGGTTTCTTAGAATATCATCACCGTACCTCTCTCGTATTCGAATTCTGCAATCTTCAACCACCATTTGTTTCATCAGTAGTCATCTCCTCTAGACACCACTTCTTTGCACGTCGGGCGAAGTAATATTGTATGCTCGAATTGAGATACATAGCTGCCCTTAATGTCGCAAACCGGAGGACACGGCTGCTCAATCCGACAAAAATACATAAGATCAAAACTCAATTTAGCAGGAATTTAAAGTAATTGCACTGTAGCATTGCATGAATCATATGTTTGTTTATAGAGCTATTGGCTGTATGTAACATTAGGCAAACACCATTCATAAACCCAAAAATGCACACACATGTGAGTGTGTGAATGTATATAGTGTACCCATAGTTATCAATAGCTCGCTAATAGCGGTGCAAAATGATTTTTAAATTGAATAATATATTATATCATAATCTTAATTATATTATAGGTACTTCTAACTCTAAAAAGGAAAAATAAAATAAAATTGTGCTATTTGATTAACATACAATGAAAAAAAAAAATTCATACAAGAGTAGCAATAAAAAAATAGGGAAGAAAATTAGATACAGATTAACTTTGATTATCTATCTATCAAAGTAGTAGTAATTTAATTGTTTTTACTTATATAACTATCTAAGAATCATATAATTTTTGCAATTTTACCAACTTGAACAATACTTATAAAATTAATCTATAAATTTTTCTCATGATTTTTACTATAAATTTGCAAGTATAATAATTTTTATGTATTTTTAAAATTTTAAATACCGGTCACCCTGTTGCTATTCCAATATAGCATTTTTGAGGTTAACTACTATGTAATGCTACCCGAGACAACTATAGGCGTACCTGAACAATCCCAGTGTCACATAAGTTCTTTAGTGCCATCAAATACTTAGTTTCCCCAAGGCGGTCGAGATAGCGTTTGCAGAATGCCAACGTAGAAAAGTTCTTGTCGATTGTCGCCAACAGCTGTTTTGCTCTCGGCAGCCTTAGTCGAATATGTCCAACATCCGAATTCTTCATGTAATGGCTGCATTCTAGATCTTCTCTGACATACCCTTTCCCTGCGTAGCGTGCAACGAACATTGTCTATCTTATGATAAACTAAAAGATCTCTAACCAACAGAAAATAAGAAAGAGCAAAACCTGTGGATCCAAATGTCTCTATGGCATACACCTCTCCCTCTTCCATTTTTGTTTGCTCTCCTCCCTTCACTGTCGGAACAGATTTCTCTCCATGGATTTGATAGCTTCCGATACTATGCCCGTTCAAATTTCTGATACTTTTTACTGTTGAACAATCAATCATCAAGATTACTACTTGAGTGTGACATGTTCGAAAATAACAGATTAAAATAATTTTTCATCGCTTAAAAAATTGTTAGCAAATTTTTAGCCCCTGCAAGAGGTACAAGTAAGATTCCCTACAATATTTATCCAAGTCGATTATTAGTCTAAATCTTTAAAATATATATATATATATATATATGTTGATGATGTTATTTACCGTTGTGCTGTTAGTACTGTGTTAACCTATAAAATTCAACACAGTAACCACAACCCGTCCCGCTAGAAAACATTAGAATTTTGTAGGCCCTGAAACTCGTCCCGTTAGAAAATATTAGGACTCAAGAGCCGCAACATGGCTCCAAGACCGTCCCGCCCCAAACCCGTCAGGTTCGGGGCCAACCCGACAAACAATTTTTTTTCAAAGAAAAGAATAAAATATAATTTTTTTAAAAAATAAAAGGGTGTGTTTGTTTGGGGATTGGATTTCAAATCCAATATTCATCCCATTAAAAATATCAAATCAAACACTTATTTTTCATTTTTTATATTATACTAAAAATCAATTTTACATTGCTATCATACAACTATTCAAATTCAAAATTTTTACTATTCAAATTCCAACTCAAAATCCAAACCCCCAAACAAACACACCCTTAATACTAAAAAAAGAATATGCGTCAAAGTTCTAAAAATAAGAACAATCAAATATTAACAATAGTTCACAATAATGGTTATCAACAGTAGTCTAGATTATAAAGAGAATGGTAGGAGAAACAAATGCGAAAACAAATTTAATTTAGAACTAAGATTTTATTTTATATTATTATTTTTTTTAAAAAAAATAAATAATATATTTTATATTGTAAAAAATATAAATAAATTATAATAATTATTAAAATATTTGGGTCCGGGTCCGGATCCGGGGATGACGGACTTTTAGTAAAATCCGTAACCCGCCTTGAATCTGACTGAGTCTAAAACTCAAAGTTCACAACCTGACCCGAAACAAATTTTTTTAGACCCGAATCTGCTCCATTAAGATCGGGTCTGGGTGGATTAGGGGCTAACCCGTCCCATTTGACATCCCTAAACTCAAATACTAATCCGAAAATCAGACTACACCAAAATACCCATAAATGCATACAAATTGTCCAAGTAAGAACATACCTTGGAACACCTTCCCATTGATTTCAACTTCATACGACTCCATGACTTCTTGTATTGCAGCCCCAACGTCGCACAGACGTACATCGATTCCAGCCTCCTGTTTTTAGAGAATTATAACTTGTATTCTCGCATGCTATGATTAATCAACAAAAACCATCATTCATCCTCTAACCTTAACTCCAGTATTGGTAGCTTCACGAGATGCCTCTAACAGTGGATCAAACATGGGGTTGAATGCCACTGTAAATGCACTGTCCACAATGTGCCCTGATATAACAAAGTAACCACTGCTTATCTATAAACCTAAATCGTGTTAAATTTTAAAATAGAGTTGTTAGTTCCACAAAAAAAAAGGCATTCATCAAACTCAATTAGAGGTGGAAATAGGTTGTGCCAGGTTTGGCTAAATAAGCTAGAGTTTAGTAGGGGCTCGGGGTGAAACAAAAATTAAGGACCATTCGAAAGTAAAGATCAAATAAGTCTTATATATATAAATTATATAAAATGAGTCCTCTTTGTATTAAATAAAGAATTATATATATATATATATACATACACACATTATAAACGGGGCAGCCTACAAAACTTTTGCAATTGCAAAAAAAACCTTTTCAATAAATCTGAAACAAACTTTTTCAATAAATAGGTCAGATTTAGAAGCCATCCTACCACTTTCCACCGTAATCTCAATGATGCATGAAAATGAGTTACAAACACTGTAACTTTGTTTACACAACAGATTTTAGAATTTTGGCGCTATTTCCTTTTAAGAAACATAATATATATATATATATATTTATAAGATATAGCATCACATATTAATTTTTACCATTTTCAAAATTTCAAAACTGCATAACTCTCTTATCTAAAAGAAAGCCTATATATACACATATATTACCATCAATGTGAGTTCCAAAGTCCAGTTTCATCACATCATCGTACTGAAGCACGGTTTTATCACCGGTATTAGGCGTCCAATGAGCAGCAACCCTCGGGAAAAAAAGAACATTGTCGAACACCTTAAACCTGGGTAGATAACTGCACTTTATGAGAGACAACAAAGTGGAACTCAATCCTTACCAATTCAATGAGCATCCTGTAGGAAATGCAATCCCCGCTTTTAAGCCATTTTCCGAAATGAGTCTCCGAACTGTATCCTCCAACGCTTCACACAGATCAATCATCAACATTCCTGGCTTCACTATTTGCCTAATATAGTTTCGAACCTATAAAGGATTGAACATTTTAGCATATGTGGAACATGCTACAATTTCTAATCTATCCTCACTTTGACCTCCATTTATCAAAATATCATTGTATATTGTACACTTTAAACCCACCAACTTTTCTATGTTACACAAATTCAAATGCCATATTAAATAACTTTATTCATTCAAAATTTTAGTATCCATATTTTAACAAATAATAACTAGTTTGACTACTTTTATTTACCTCATCACATTTTTATCTATTTTTTAAAATATTTTTTATAGTGCCTCAGTTTACATTTTACATACTCCACTTTAATAAAATTTTATTATTTTTTAGTTTTTGTATCCAAACAAATTTACATAATTTTTCCGGACGGGGAGTATTATTTTATCTTTTTCCTGGTTGAGTGCAGAAATAGTTGCATATGAAATGCATAAAGCTACCTGACGGTGGACTTCTGCTGCCAGCCGGAGTGAATTATAATTTGGTTGCTCCAATCGCTCTAAATTTCTTTTTTCTTCGGATGTTGTTCTCCACAAGTTACTGCATTGAAAATATATAACATATACCTTTTTCAGATTTCCCACAATACCAAGCAAGAAATAAACGAAAAATATTTTACAGTTAACTTACGATGCAATGTAGTCTCGTTATTCCATAAATAAAACATCACATTCAACCACTATTAAAACACAGAATACAAAGACAAGCTAATATCTTATCGTAAAAAATTACCTCACCAACTTGGCTGATAGGAACTCTTACCGCTAAGTAAGTCTAATATATTATTTACCATTTTACTTCAAAAAAGTAAGATGTAGTTTCTTTCTTTAAAAATAAGTGATCTTGAAGATGCTATCTTAATGCTTCAAGGAAAAGAAGATACAGTATTAAACTTAGAGCAGTTAAAATTAAGAGATGAAAATCGATAGGTTTGAAATGAGTTTGCCAAGTCCAGTAAAAAAACAATCTACAATTTTTATGACTGAGAGGCTACCTCAGCGTCGGACCTGTTAAAATTCGACTTGCTAACTCACAAGTCCTATCGATTTAGCTCATAGCCTACCCTTAGGGGGATCTAGGACCCGAGAAAGATACATTCCAATTCTAGAAATAAATAACTCCAACCGATCTAACTATCAGAGTTATCCACTCATTTCTTCATTGGAAACAACCAAGCAAATTGTTGGAATCTTAAATATGCCATCCCTGTTTAAAGATAAAAGTAAAGAAACTATGTGTCTTCTTTATATGGAACAGCAGTTAACTTTCCTTAAGTTCTATCAAAGCTATATGCAAGAAAAGAGTGCATAAAAATATTGATGGACATACTCATCCTTATATTGTTGAATTTCCCCCTCTGGAAACTCCCCTGATGCAGATAGGTCAGCTACCGGCATAGTTGGCGGATCGGTTTGCTGTGGTGGCCCCTTTTTCTTCCTGTAAATTAGACAAATATTAGCTACTTGGCATCACACACACGTATGTATATGTTTGTATAAGAAAAAGGAGAAATCAGAAATGAAGAGATATTTGAAAGGTTATAGCCTCACTTGCTTTTACTCTTTTTCTTTTTCTTCCTTGTTGCTGTTTCTGAGAAATTCAGATGTAGAAATTATAGATGTTGGAAAGAAACAGAGTCACTAGAAAGTTACTACTCGGAATAGTAGAAATCAAGACATTATAACTTTCGGATAACCTTACAAAGTCCGATAAAATATAAAAGTCACGGGCAAAAATACCAAACAATAAATCTACATCCACAAGAAAAAAACAGTTGAACAAGAAGAAGATCTTCACATTATGCCTCATCACCAAGAAAAACAAGTAAATTGGTTTAATTAAGAAAAATGACGAGAACTATATACTAGTTTGGATACAGTTGAATAATTGGATAGATTTTCTCTTTAGCACCAAATCAACAACGGAAAAACTTTGAATACACAACCAATTTTCATACACTGGAAATCCATTTGATTGTTCACTTCACTAAGTTCAAAGAGGAATGGTGATAAAAAATGGTCACTAGTTGAAGATAAACTCGGCATATCACACTGGAAGCTCGAATAACAAAATTTGAAGACAATAGCAGGTCCTGTGAACAAATCGAAACTAATGATACCTGTATATAAGGTAAGAAAATAATATGCCCTCGACTAGGCTTTTCTGGAGCCATACTAATCAGGTTTGAGAACAAACAAACATCAAAAACCTCATGCATGAACGAACTTAAAGGTTACAAAATGTAACCCAAACTTTGAACAGAAAAATCAATCAGATCTCCATACTACTTAAGATGACAAGCATGCTAGTCTCCATGAGAACTCCATTTTTAGCCTCATTGATTGTTTCTAAGATCGATCCTAACACCACTGCGCTTATCATAATCTCCTAGACTCAGTAATAAGTTCAAAAAATAAAAAAAAGAGCCAAACCAACCCTAAGTTTTACCTTGTGGCTCATCCAAATTCAAATTCAAACCAGAAACCTTCTCCTCAACAAAGAGCTGTTCGTCTTTTGCAATCTGGCTGATTGTTTGAATGCTTCCAATAGAGAGGTTCGGTATTCCCGCCTCCCGGCGGATTTCAGCTCCACTCTCTGCGGTCACCATTTCGATCAAAACTGTTCTACAAAAACAGAAAAAACAGCGCAATCAATATACTACATACGCTGTAAATTCTATCTTCAGTCAAAATGCACCATCAAAGCAGTAACATAACAACTGAGAAATTAGATTCCACTGATTCATATTCTGTCAGATACGAGCGGAAACAGCGATTGAGCTGCATTTACAGGAAAAACAGAAAACAGATCATTAGGTGTAACTTCTTAACCTCGTGAATCAGAACAGGTGAGGCGAGATTTCGATGTTCAGCAACTGAGTTGAACAGAATGTGGATTTTTGTGTGAGAAACTGAAAACTTCCTGTATTTCACATTTATACGTTCTGCAGGAGCAAAGTCAAAAAAAACTTCCTTGCGCACAAAGTAATAATAATAACAATAATGGTGATGACGACTATATATAATAATACTAATATATTCACTCAGCTAATGCCTTTTTTTATTTAACACATTTTTATTCCTTTGTTATTATTTATTTTTTATAAAATATCAAATAAAATATTAATTTTTTATTTTTACTTTTTAAAATTTTCAAATTAAAAAAAAATTTCAAAAAAATCATATCCAAACAAATCCTATACTTTTTGCTATTTATTTTTATACATTTAAATTTCAAAATTTTTATTCTTTCATTATGAGGTACATATGGATTTGAACCCACAATCACGGATCATAAGTCCAACCTTTACCCTTTGAATTAATATCTTGTGGTTTGGGTTGAGACTTATATTTATTATAGAGTTTGTTTATTTTTATTTTAAACTACAAATTTCTACTATTTAAACTTGTTATTTTTTTAAAAAAATTACAATTTTTTTTTATAAAATATTTTATCATATAATATTATTTTAATATCAAATTTTAACTCAATTTTTCTCGTACTTATAAAGAAAAAGCATACCCTAGATTAACTTGGTAAGTCATCTAGGCTCCATTAGGCAAGTTCGTTTCGGGCCTATGGAGTACTTGAAATAATAACCTAAAAGTGTGTTTGTTTGGGAATTTTTTCAAAAAATTTACTATTTATTTATTTATATTAATTAAAATTTAATTTTATATTTCAAATATTATATCAATATCTTTTTATATAGTATCGTACTATTATTTTTATTCAAAATTTTATTATTCAAATACGAAAAATTTCAAACAAACACATCCTAAATAAAATGCCCACGTTCAAAGGGGCAAGTTTGGAACTTCAGTGTAAACTTCTGATGCTGTCAGTCTGATTGCGTAGCAGATCAGCTCTTCAGTCCTATCAAAAAACCCATAAAGCTGCCGCCATTAATCCTTTCTTCACTTCCTCCCACGCGAAATTGATGCTACAGAGAAATGATCAGAAGCTTAATCGACAGCAACTCTTCGTCTCTTGAGTGCGTATTTCTACTTATTAAGAGCTGAAGGTCGTGTCAGGAGCTCTACACAAATTAAAAGACCACTCCTCAAAATGGTGATGACACGACGAGGTCGACAAGCCATGGCGGATAGATCTCCACGCGCGGTTCGTCGAGTCGGAAGGAACAGAGTTTTAGCGACGGTATCGGTGGATATTACAGATCCAGAAGTTGTGGATGATTCCAACGCGAATGAAGAAAATGTTGTAGCTGAAGATGGTGACGAGAATCCATCACATGCTTTGCGCGGTGCAGAACTCGTGACTTATCTGCGCTCGGAACTTCGACGCCTGCAGCGAAGACTGGCGGCGCATGAGAAAGGATTGGCTAAGGACATGAAAGCTCTCGGACGGATTTGTCGATTGCTCCCTGGGATTGTCGAGGAATCTGAATCTGCTAATGACAGTGAGGATTCCGTTTCCTCAATCACAGTCCTCTGATGTTTTGAAGGTTTGTTGTGTGTTTTGGTAAATGGGAATCATTGAAGATCAGTTTGAATGTTTTGCTTGTTTTGCTGGTAGGGTTAGGGTTGACATCTATCTAGTGTTGTGTTGATATTTTGAAGTTTGATGTCATTTTAGTGATGTTATCTAAGTAATGGTTGTTATGGATCTTGATGTTGTTAAAAATGAACTTGTTGCTAGGTTGTAGTATTGGTGGAGTTCTGTTTGGTATAATATCAACAACATATTTTAGTGAATTTTGCTATAACAAACTTAAGGTTTGTTTGTCTGGGGTTTGGATTTTGAGTTGAGATTTAAATAGTAAAAATTTTGAATTTGAATAATTGTATGACCGGATATAAATAGGTGTTACATGTAATGTTTTGAATGTAAAATTGATTTTTAGTATAATATAAAAAATAAAAAAAATGAGTTTAATTTGATATTGTTTGGGAAAAAAATTAAATGAACGGTGAAAATTCAATCCAATCCTTCTAACAAACACACCCAAAATTCTTTTTCTCTAAGGTGGACAGAGATAATCATATCAGAAATTCTTCATTTCAATCCTTCGTAAAAGTGAATATTTATAGCGATATATTTTTTTTCGTCCAGTTAGAAAGAATATATATTTTTATTTTGGAATGTCCAATTATAAAGTAATTATTTCATTAAATATTTTATTTTTTTCACAAATACCTCTGTTTTACAGCACATCATTATTTTTATACCAAAAAGTATGGGCAAAAATATTATTTTGCTACTTTTAACTACTTACTATAATTAAAATATTATTATTTTTTAATTTCTGTGCCAAAAATAATTGTACAAAAGTAATGATGTGATATAAAGTAAAAATATTTGTGAAAAAGAAAAAAGAGATTTAATGAAATGATTATTTTGTAATTGAATATTTCAAAATAGAAATACCTAATACTTTTTAGCCGGACGAATGGAGTATATTATTTTTAAATACTCCCTCTGTTAGTTTAATAATTTATTTATTTTTTTTAATTTTGATTCATCTCATAATAAAATATGTATTTTTTTAGTTTTTAGTGATTGTATTATCAATATAAAATTATAAATATTTTTTAATTATTACATAAATATTATTATTTTTATATTATATAATACTAATAAAATATTAATTTAGTTTTTTATTTTTATTTTTATTTTATTTTAATATAATATTAATATTTTTTAAATTTTATGAAAAAAATAAATTGATATTGTACAATATATGTGGTACGGAGAGAGAGAATATCTTTTAACAATTTTCAAGGGCGAAAAATAGGTGATGTTCATGTGAGCGAAGTGTTTCGAGCGAAGTGAATAGTGATATGAGCAGAAAGATTATGAGCTCCATAGACAGATATTCATGCGAATCTGCTTTGGGCTTTTTAAAAAAATGGCCTAAGTCAAATCGGATTTTAAAATTCTAGCCCTCAAACGAGTTTTGAAAACTACTATATTTATATTATGTAGTAGTTTTCAAAACTCCTAAATATATAATTTTAGAAGTTTTTGAAACTTCTAAATTATCAAATATAGTAGTTTTGAAAACTACTACAAATACTTTTATTAAAAAATAAGAATAAATATCATTTAAGCCCTAAACCTATTCTCCCTTCGTTCTCTTCTTCTGCGCGACGACACTGTGGGTTTTCTGCAATTTCTTTTGTCAATCTCTGCCATTGTCGTTGGTGTTGCTCTTATATGGTAATTGATTTTCAAAATTTTGTTCTCTTTCGTTCTATTTTGTTTTGATTGTTGGTTTGGAAAATATTGGTTGACGGATATTGTAATTTTTGTGTTTTGTTTGTTTTCATATAAATTTGTCTGAGTATCGCTTCTTTTTTTTTTTAAATCAGCACCTCCTATTGTATCTCTGATTTCCTATCGGATTGTTGAAAAAGTTTGAAAGTTGTTTCAATCCAGATTCATAAGGTATTATCTTATTATTTTTATTTATCTTTTACTTTTTACTATTTCTTATTGTATAATCATATAATTTTCAGAATTTTTATTTATCATATTTAAAATTTTTATGGTATATATATTTTTTCTAATTTTTGTAATATTGCATATTCTATTGCCATATTTATGTTTATAAATGAATTTTTTTCATGATTTATAATTAGTTTTTTGTAATTACTTTTTTATGATTTACAGATACTCAAGAGTGGTCATCTATTGGCATTTACTGGGCAGATATACAAAGGTTAGTGCATCAGTTGGTACAGGAATACTTAAGCCTTTGATTTCATTAGTTCTTGGTATGAATAGGATGTCTGTGAGAAACTTCTGTAGTTGATTGCTTATGAATGAGCATTATACAAGTGGGGGAAAACAGATTTCGAGTGTTATATTTGAATGTAGTTTGGAAGTGTTGTGTTTGAATATTACCATCCCAATATAGCAGAATATCAATATTGCTCTGGCCACTACTCGTCATCTGTTTCTGTAAAAAAATATATATTAAATAAATACTAATAAGATTAAAATTAATATATTATAAAAATAAGCCATCTATAAAAATATTAAAATAAGAAATAGACAAATACATTATGCATTTAAATAATATATCAATATAAACCTTACAAATAATACCAAAAAACACCTAAGATGTTATAAAATTACAAACAAAAACACAACAATCACTAAACAATAAATACCTGAAAATACAATGCAAAACAGAGAATATTGTCTACCAACAATATAAAACAAAATATAATATGAAAACTATAAAATAATTTAGTCAAACAAATAATACCTGAAAATGTCTCTCTTGAGCAAAAATTTTGCTTCTGGAATGAACAAGAACGAACTTAAGCTTTCTAAGAATGCAATGCAACAAAATTAAAAATATAGAAGTTTTCAAAACTCCTATAATATAAAATATAAGAGTTTTTATAACTACTTTTCATAATAAAAGTTTTTAAAACTCTTACATTATCAATTATAGTAGTTTTGAGAACTTCTATAATTTCCCTATACTAAGGCACCGTCACAAACAGGATGAGGTAGTTGAGAGAGAAAGTAGGAGTTCTTTGAAACTACTATTATTTATGTTTTAGATGTTTTGAAAAGATATATAATTTTAGATCCAAAGAGTTTTGAAAACTACTACATTATATAAATATAGTAGTTTTCAAAACTCGTTTGAGGGCTAGAATTTTAAAAACCAGTTTGACTTAGGCTATTTTTTTAAAAAGCTCATCTGCTTTTGTGTCGATTTGTTAGTACCGTTCTGATATGAGCAGAAACAACGATTGAGCTGCAATTACAAAACAGGAAACATATCATTTGCCTAAAATGAAAAGAAGAATTTTTTATAAGAAAAGAAAGAAAGGAATCGCGTGGGACAGAAGGGAGTAAATTGCAAAATTTGTAGTAAAGATTATTTAGAGCAACAGAGAAAGGCTTGCCAACTTTCAAGAGTTTGGATAAGATGTTGATACATGTTTCAATTTTGAGTTGAAATTTGAATAGTAAAAATTTTGAATTTAAATAGTTGAATGATGTAATATAAATAAGAATTGACTTGAATGTAAAATTTATTTTTAATATAATATAAAAAATAAAAAATAAATATTTAATTTAATATTTTTGAAAGAAAAATTTGTGAAAATAGTAAAAATTTCAAAAAATCCCTCAAACAAACACACCCCAAGTAAATTCCAATTATTAACTGTAAATCTAATAATTTAAATTAAACAGGATAATTTAGTAAATTTATAGCAAATTGAATTAACTCAAACTGAATTTACTAAATCAGCGTACTGTCCAAGTGAGATTTTCAAACTTTAGTAATGCTATTTTTCACTTTTAAAAATATCATATTGAACTTTCATATTTTCATTGTTTATATTATAAAAAATCAATTATCAATTCAAAACATATCAATATTTATTTATGAGTTCAAACTAGGGGTGTCAAAAGTAAACCCGACCCGAAAAATCGAATCCGTTCGATTTGAAATTTTTCAGGTTCGGATTTGGGTATTTCGGGTTTGAAAAAAATCAGGTCGACCTGAACTCGAAACGAAAAAAAATTCGTGTCGTGTTCGAGTCATGTTTCGGATCGACCTGATAACCTGAAATATCAGAATCAGGTTAGGTTATGGGTTCCGTATTTCGAGGTGACCTGAAATTTTTATTATTATTATTTTAATTTATAATAATTATATTATTTTAAATATAAAATAATATAAAAATTAAAATAAAAATGATATCTTCTAAGTCAATTTATTTATTTTTTAAATTTTCGGATCTATTTCGTATTGGGTTCGTATCGGATTTGTTCGGATTTTGGGTGACCTGAAACTAATTCAGATCAACCTAAACCCGACCTGAAAGAATTCGTGTCGTGCTCAAGTCTAGAGTTTCACGTCAGATTTCAGGTTCGGGTTGACAATTTTTTTTGTTATCCCCATGACTCAACCCGACACGAACACGACCCAAAAAATACAAATTGACACTCCTAGTCAAACCGCGCCTTTAAATTTGACCTGCCATACAATATAACTTGCCTTATATCCAAAATACATCGGAAAAATAACTGCTAACAAATTTTTACATTATATATATATACATACATATATAAAAGTTGCTAAAAAGAGAATCGTTTGAGACTCAGATTGAAGTTGCAAATTTTCAAGACATGTTGGTTCAGCTCAAGACAATTCTTTTTAACACAAAAACATATCTGTAAAGACTTCTTAAATTAAATTAAATTGGGTTTGCAGCACGCGGAGTAAATAGATATTTAGAACATAAACAAACTAACACACAAACAAGCTCCATACTCAACTCAACTTAACTCGAAAAGCCGAGTTCGCCTGCCCGAACAAACGAAAGAAAGATTCAAATGTCACAAAGTTTGCTTCTTTTCATTGTTGTTTCTGCTCAGAAACAACAGTCGGGGCGCAGATACACAACACCGGGCACATACCTTGTGTTTCACAAAGCTTTCTTACTCTTCAGCCGCGCTGGCAGCACTCAAGTCGACATTAAGATCAAGAACCTAAAAAGAAACAATAGTAGTTAAAGTGAGAGAAATAGACACTTTTGGAAGTTTTGATAATAACAGTAATATATAGATACATTTCTTTAAATATCATATCAAAATATCTATTCTCAAAGTCAAATGTTAATTTTTTATTATTCTCAAGGTTTTCAAAACTCCAAAAGTCTCGGTGTAAACATTGCCATATTTTATGAAAAGTGATGAATTCGGAAAGCTAATAGGGAAAAAGTAAATAAATAAAAATGAACAAGTGAGTTTTAATCCTCTCACCTTTCCAGTGATTTGTGTGTACATATTCAGCACATCCACAACAGTGGACTCGAAATGGGTTGTGGCGTCGTAGCTCTGTTGATAGAGAGTCAAATAAGTATATAGACAAGTAAAATTTATGATGATTTGAGTACTAGTGTCGAATAAATATTGATTTTTCTACAGCTTACTGTTGATATAAAGCAGTTGTCCAGAGAAGGCTCGTTGACCGGTTCGTATCTGTCATAAGTCTCGAAGAAAATCTCATCCACAGGTCCAAGTAGATCGATACCTGGTTTCAGTTCTGTCTCAGGGTTATCAGTTTCTGCGTCAGTTGAGACGAATGCAATATATTTCCCTTTCGGAGCAACATTGTGGGAATATGAGCAACAAAATAAATACCTGAAAGAACAATAAACGAAATCAGATATATAAGATAAATTGTAGCTTGCTTCCACTCTAGTCTGTCTACATCTAAGTTTCTGTGTTTCTCTCGTCAAAATAATAATCGTGAGCTCAAGAAGTGTTCAATTGATAAGCTCAAAGTTTCAAATGATGTGTGAGGCTATGTTTCAAGGAAGCCTATCTAGAATTCTCAGAGATAAATATTAAGCGAATTCGCACACAATTATTACAACCTTCCGAATCGGATATAGTATATAGACTTTTCTGAACACACTTTCCAAATTTTCCTGACTTCCTAGGAACCCTCTTAGGGTGTGTTCGTTTGGGAGAAATCTCCAAAATTTTACTATTCATCAATTTTTTGTTTTCAAAAAGTATCAAATCATGCACCTATTTTTTATTTTTCATATTATACTAAAAATTAATTTTACATTCAAAACACCACATCAACACCTATTTATATCACATCATACAACTATTACAATTGAAAATCCAAACTCCCAAATAAACACACCCTTAGCAGATCCTCTCAAGGCACCAACGCAAGACAAAGCTACGTATACTAATTATCCAAACTCCCAAATAAACACACCCTTAGCAGATCATCTCAAGGCACCAACGCAAGACAAAGCTACGTATACTAATTATCAACAGCAATAATAACAGAAACCTAAATTTCTAACAAAATACACAAAACCTTTAATTGGCAATACGGTGCATAATCTAATGTGAAACTTTTCAATTTTGACCAAATTTTTATTTTCGTTACAAGAAATATAAGATACTAACATGTCTGACTTGCGGCCCAACTGCTTCTGAGGCAGAATAACTTGTGCTGAATGAGAATCATTGGTATTAGGAATCGGGTGGCTCATAATTGCAATAGCACGAGCGACTTTACCAACCTTCCGAACCTGTAGCATATATTGTGTTTATTGGTCATCAGAATATAGAAAATGGGCATTTCCATAGAGGCATCCTATGATTGAAATTACATCCCTGATTTGCTTTTAAATGTCGAGGGTATGAGAATCACAGAATCTAATAGGAAGCCATAACATTCTAAAGAGAACATAATCAGGCAGAAAGATTACCTTATTGGGAAGGTAGGAAGGATCGCAAACAACTTTTTTGCACTTAGCTGTTTCCCCTTCTGATGTGACACCACACACCTTGCCTTCCTCATTAAACTCTACCTGACATTTGATTCATTCGTGTCAGGTATATTTTTCACATTTGCTTCAACTACCAATCACTATAATAAAGAAGGGGAAAAGATGACGCTAAGGAAGAAAATACACAAGTGAAATGGAAATATGAAGGAACAGATAACAATTAATGATTGGAGCCACGTTGCCAAGAGTGGTCACTTAGGGAAAATAAAATTAAATAATCATAGAAGGAACTTTCAATAGAGGAAAAGGTGAAAGTGTTGATTACCTTGCACTCAGGCTTATTCAACATGTAAGTTCCCCCGTAAACAGCACTTAGACGAGCAAACGCCTGGTGAGACCGGTAAAGTACAGCTTTAATAAGAGATTGAATCCGAAAACTTAGAGCATACCAGATGTATGACAGACTAACATAAATCGAAAATCGAGCATTGGAAGGTAAACAATCGAAGAAACAATTATTAAGCTGGATGCTAGACACTGAAGAAAGTGCCAGACCTGGGGAAGCTCTCCGAGGCCATACAAAGGATAAATGTATGGTGATCCTCCAGCAAAGCGTAACAAAGACTCTGCATAAAGCTACCATCGAGAAAGAACAGAAAGGAACATAAAAATAATCAAACATAGTTATTTCTTCAGATATTCACAAGAAGCGCTTGAGGAGCAAAAACAAATTACCTTCATCCTTTTCACAGTATCCAATGCTGGCTCATCTAGGTAACGATCATCACTGTGGAGAGCCAACGCATGACCGATAAAATCCACAGTATTTTCATCAAGTCCATACTTCCTGCCAGAATCCCAAGATAATGAAATCAGAACACGGTAATTGGTTACTAGAAACTAAGACCAATTGCAAATTTAATTTTTATTTTTCTAAAGGTAAGGTATGCATTCTACTTAGAAAGATTGTATATTTTTAAAAAGTAAATTTCAAATTAAAAAAAATGATGTGGTAATGCACTAGGATATGACAACCATTCAAATGCAAACACAAAAGTTTGATCGAAGAGCCAAATAACATTGTTCTAATACAATGTTCTCATAACGAAAGTAGCCTCTAGCAATCACATTTAATTATCATGTGGCAATTGGCATTCCTCTTAATTCCACATAATACAAGCTTCATTGATACTAAAATTGTACATTTGAAATATATGTCTTGCGAAACAAGTCAAACTGCTTGACAGCTAGAATACAGCCTTCCAAATGTATACATGTGTTAGAAAAACAGATAAAGCATCTGAAATATATTAAGCAAGAAAACAGAATTTCACAAGAATATTTACAGTGTGAAGGAAAAATGAAGTGAGAAGTAAAGAGTGCGTACGCAATGAGTTCCCTTGTAGTAACTCTAGTCAAATCCATTCCTTCGTGTGTTTTAGGTTCATTTTCATTGTAGTCTTGGACATAAATGAAAAATTTGCGGGCACGTCTCTTTTCAAAGATTCCCATGAGAGGTGATTTTAGAGCCTCCATGTCAGTTGCAGGTACTTTGTGAATCTATATGATTGAGTTTACCATCAAAAGTAGACCAAATCAATGATTCGTGTGAACAAAATCATCAACAGCCATATAAAAAAATGGCACAAAGAACTAGGCCAAATGCCAAAAACAATGAAATACCTTCCCTTTGTTGAAGACAAAGCTTCCATCAACAGCTTTAAAATATAAGTATTTGGTAACATCTGTATGAATGAGGACTCGAACAAGGGTGCCATTTGCCATAATAAACTGAAATCGATAAACGATGCATTTTGAATGCATATAGTTACAAGAAAATATATCATTTAAAGGGTAAACATGAGAACACGTATAATACACACCTTAGGGATCATGTCGACATTGTAATCTCTACTGGAACCCAAATGTGCCGGAGGTTTATCACTCCCTCTGAATCTCTTCCACAGCTGAGGGTATAACAGATATCCATAAAAAAGAATAAATGAGATGCGGAAGACTGCAGTCATAAGTTCTTTAACAGCAATATTTTCGGGCGTTCAAGAGCCAAAGGCTATTTCAATCTAATTCAACCAAACACGTACCTGAATAAGATTGAGTGAAGTCGATTCACCACCATAATAGTCATTGCGATCCATGTGCAGAACCTATTTTCAAAGACAGGACAACAGGAAGCCCAGTTAAGAATTAATAAAGCTCATAAATGTATAAACGAAAAATCAACAAAACTCAACATGTAAATATATATGAGGCAACAAATATTCGTAGAGGGTGCGTTTGTTTGTGTTTCAATCTTGCTTTAACATTAAGCAATATTCATCACATCCAACAACCATTTTCCTTTCAAAACATCACAATCAACAAATTTTCCACTAAAGTATTCGAAAACATATTTCCATCCAAAAAATTCTAATTCAAATCAAAACCACAAACACACCCACTTTAAGCAGACAGCTGAGACCTACAGATACAACAGACAAAGTACAGCATAAAATGGCAACAAACACAGCAACAAAATTCATCATTCAGATTCCTCAGAAAATCCAAATCTAACCACTAAACAAGCTAAGATTTAAATATTCTACTAAATACAGAAACAATTCACTACTTATCAACTACAGCTGAAATGAAGCAGCGTCTTCATCTAGAATCACACGCAAATGTTTCAAAAAATCGGTCTCTGTTTCAATATGTTCAATCCAGAAAACAGTTGCCACCGAAAACTTCTTCAAAAAAACAACTAATCACTGCAGTTACCAACACCATACGCGATCTCAGAAAAACATGACTTATCACTTCAACTTCAAATAACTCAGATCATTCCAAAACAATAAGAACAGAGCCTGCAAGAAATCCCAACTAATCCACCATCTCCTAGATCAAGCGATCCCAACAATTGTTAACACTAATTTAATCCAAACAACGGAGCACGATCCATTCATCTCACCAGTAACCATATTCATATTCCAACCCAAAGCAACTAAACAAAAAGCAACATAACACTGTTAATCATCAACCGAAATTTTTCAAAAGCGTGGAAAACCTTGAGGCCGTCGACAGATAGAACACCGCTAAGAATGCACTCCTTGAGGCCTGTCCCCAGCACAATCACATCGTACTCTTCATCCATCTTAATCGACCGGAATTCAAGAATCTAAACAAAAACCAAATCCAGAGGAGCAACTCAAATTGCGGAGACAATGAAAACGACTAGGGTTTTCAGCAAATGAAGCTCAACAGTACCCACCGAAGTAAGGAAATGGAAGGATCGGATTTGGGGGAAAAGATATCCGCCGTTACGACGTTTGTAAAAGTAGTAGTAGAAATTTACTGTACTGTAATTTTTAAATAGGAGTGAAATTCGGGTATAATTTGTAAATGTTTAGTTTGTTTATTTACCACAAGAAATTTCAGCACATTTCTAAAAAAACATAAAATAAATATATTCGCTAGCTTTTTCCACAACATTTAACATATATTTCTTCCTTTTGCTAAAATTGTATCAATATTATTTTTATTCATTTATAAATTGATTACTCTTATTTTAATAAATAATTTATCTCATTACTATTATTTTTTCGGTTCATTCATAAATTATTATTCTTATTTTAAAAAATAATTTAGTACTATTTTTTATTTACTTATTTCATTAATTTCTTAATAAATTTTCACTTTTATTTTTCATTTATTTCACTTTAATATTAAAATATTATATAAATAAATTTTTTGAACCGAAAAAATAATATGTTTTACCCATAAAAATAATTCAACTGAATAAAAAAAACAAAATTATATTTTGATTTATGATTTATTTTCAAAATAATTATTGAATGATAATAGTGTAAAAACGTTAAATTGTAAGAATAATACTGATACAAATGGATAAAACAATATGAATATATTCATAACCGGCGACAAATAAGATAAAACAGTACTCTCTTCGTTCCAAAAGATTTGTCTTTGTTTTTCCATTTTCGTCCGTCCCAAAACAATTGTTTTGTTTCATTATTTAGTAGTCGTGGTCCCCACTTTATATCAAAATTATTTATACTTTTCCATACTACCCTTAATTATTACTCTAACGTACTCTTTAAAATCCTTTAAAAAGTAAGGGCATTTTAGTCATTTGCATTCTACTTTATATCCACTTTCAATTAAATACTATTATTCCTTAATTCCCGTAAACACTTTTTTTGGGACGGAGGAGTAATATTTTTCTCTTGTTGAGAGAATAGTGAATTTACTAGTAGACAAACAATAGTAAGAAAAATAGAATTTAGTAAAAATGAAAATTATTAGTATTATTTATTTGATAAAACATAAAATTCAACTGATAAATATAATATAGTTTGTATAAATCGATCTATTGAGATGATATATTGGAAAGTGAAACTAGAGAATGCGACTACATAACGAATTAATTAAGAATAAAAAATTTTAATTGAGTAGAAATTTTGGAGAAATATTCATAAAATAATATCCTTTAGATATTTTTTAAAGTTTTACATCAACAAATCTCCGTATGTTTAGAGATAAAAAAATAAAAATTAATTTACCAATGATCAAACATGTCACGTATGAATGTGTCTAAAAACGAGAATTACCGAAATCAAGTAAATCTCAGCTAAACTTTTTACTTGTGCTAACCGAGCATCATTCATACTATCTTTTGGTTGAATTTCAACTTCACTTACACCACTACCCAGAGCCATAATGTTACAAATTGAAAATTACAATTTTGATTTTGGTTTTATTATTTCAAAATTACAATTTCTCCAAAAATATCAAATTAAAATTTTATTTTTTATTTATTAGATTATATTAAAATTTAATTTTACATTCAACACGTAATATCAATACAAATTTATATCATATCAAATAATTATTTCAATTCAAAATTTTACTATTTAAAACTAAAATTCAAAGTCAAAACTCCACGATCAAGGGTGGATGTATTGAGGGGCAATGGTAGGCTTGTCCCACCCCACCCCCCTTTAATTTATTTACTTATTTTTATATATTTTAATATATATAAGCATAGAAAAAATTGATTGGAATAAATAATAATACTAATAATAATTTTAATTATAGATTTTTTAATAAAAATGTATTACTATTTTTTATTTCATAAAAATCTAAAAATGAATTTTTACAGTATATAGTAAATAATACTATTGTAATTGTTATTTTATAATATTTTTAAAATATAACCATTAGAAAGATGAAATTAGTTGGACAATGAATAGACATATAAAATATATTTTTTTCATCTTAAAATAATACTCCCGTCGTCCCATTGGAAGGATGATATTTTATTTTTGCACGTAGATTTTTTTACATTAGTATTATATTGGATTGTAGTAAAAAGACAAAAATACTCATATTAGTATGATGTAATATAAAAGTAATGATATTTGTGTAATATAATTTAAGTTGAAAGGGTATTTATTATATTAGGTAGGTAGTACAATTACTAAATTAGGAAATAGTAACCTTGTTTTGGGACAGACGAAAATAGAAAATGGTAATATTTCAATTGGACAGAAGGAGTAATTTATTTTTTTTATTTTTTTGTCTCAAAATAATAATTTTATTTTTATAAATAACCATGTCATCGTAAAATTATTTATATTATTTTATTATTTTTATATAAATGTCATTACTTATACACAAATACACTGTTAATGATATTTTAGTTTTTTTACTATCTATTTTATATTCATTTTAAACATAATATTATTAATGTCCTTATTGTTTCGAAACAGATGAAGTATTTTGTTAGTTTAACAAAATAGTTCATTCCCTCTAACTTGATCCTAGTTCCGCCACTGCCCACGAGTAAACACGATCAATTACCACATGTCAGCACCACCATTCCTGCAATACGATAAATATTTCACCGGCATTTCTCAACCAAGCCACCAACTCCGGATACCCCATTATCCCTCTTTTTGCCGAACCATCAACCAATTCGTATCTTTCCTTAAAAATCAGGGACGGAACTAGCTTTCGAAGTTAGGAGGGCAGAGTTATCTAGTAGGTTTTGAGTTTTTATAGTTTGATTTTAATTTTAACATATTTTAAATCGTGAATCGTCGTTTTTTTTTTTGTTCAAATAGACGGTTCAATTTTTTAATAAAAGTTTTAAAAATTTATAAAAATATGTCGATAAGGTTTTCTTATATACACCACTTCAACCTTTTTTTTATTTTATTTTATTTTTTTATTTTTGTTGATGCCATGAGATGATGAAAATAACCAAATTAGAAGATAATGCAATGAGACACTTGTAATTTGTATTTATCATAAAAAATTATATTTTTATATAAATAAAATTAGTAGGCACCGAAAAACCTTGATGAATTGGAGGCCATGCTTTCTAACTCAATGCATATTTTTTATAATTTTCGTCCGCCTCATTAAAAAATATTAATTTTCAATTATAGTAAAAATAATTATATTTAAATATCAAAATATACCAAAATTTTAAAACTACTTATTTTTTTTTTTGTAATTTCAAGAGCAAATATGTCAAAATAATTTTGTATATTTTTACTAATAAATAAAATATTATTATTTTTAAAGTTATTATAAAAAATAATAAAATGATACATTAAATTGAAACGGATAAAATATATATATTCATAAACATCACATCTAATATTTTTTTAACGTCTTAAAAATTAAAAATAACAAGATCATATGCATCTCCTTGCTATCACAATTGTCAATTGAATTAAATAATCTCCGAATTCCTAAGTAGTTGTAATTATTTTATTCAACATAGTAAGAAATGGGAATAAGTCAATTCCTCATGTTTCCATTAACGTGGCGTCTCGTACAGATAATAGAATTGCAGTAAAATGAGAGTAGAGAATGGAATTGGAGAGAAATAGAATTGAATGGAGAATGAGAATTAATTTTCTTTGTTTAGTAAAATAGAAAATTAAATTGAGAAATATATAAAAAATACAGTTATATGAATGGATCAAACAAGAATAAATAATTAATTGGATAAAAAAAAGACTTTTAAAGAATGAAAATTCATGAAAAATATTTTTGGTGACTTTTTTTTTTTAAAAAAATTATAAATTATATACGATGTTTTATATTTCAGTATAATTTCTTAAAAAATCGTAAAATTTAAATACTTTAACAATAAATTAAATTTGATTTTTGTAAAATTAAAATAATATATTAAATATATATATATATATATTAGATAGTACAAAAAAGATTTAAAAAAATATATATCCATATATCATTTCTTTCCGTTTCTCTCCATTTCTCTGCATATAAGAGAGAAATCTAAATAGAAAAATAGAAAAAATTTATTTCTCAAGCTCATTTTTTAAATCAGACAAACAAAAGAAATGAGACTATTTTCATTTATCTGGCTGTACCAAACATCGTACAGGTTAGGGAAATGAGATAAGAAAATGAAAATATATCTTCAAGATAGAAAAATAAATTGTTTTTTTATTTTATTTGTTGGAGAAATATATATTTTTTGAATTTATGGGAGTTAAGAATTTTTTATTTTTATTTTTATTTTTTCTTTCCACAAATTTTTATTTTGCACCTAAAATCCAATTCGATTGTTTATTTTTCAATTTTTATTTTTTTTTTCTCCACCATTACACCTTTATTTCATTTGGAGTTTTAAAGACAAAAATATCAAAATAATTTTATACACTCTCATTAATCAATAAAATATTATTATATTTTAATCTATTAAAAAAATACAAATGAGTATATTGGATCAAGATATGATGGCGTTGAATTTAAAATTTGGCATTGGTGCTGAATAGCACCCGATGTAATAATAAACAACACACCGTATTACTTTTGACAGCACATTCTTTAAATTAATAATACAAATACAACACAAATAACAATTAATTTTATCACATGATTTACTTTTATACAACATGTATATTAATAATTGATTAAGAAGAATTAATACTCATTCACTTGATTAATTTTCTCTCACTATAATTTTAGTTTTTTTTCTATAATTTATTTTAGTGTATTTTTTTAATATATATTTATTATTTTTATATTAATAATACTCCCTCCGTCCCGCTGCAAGGTTGCCATTGGCTTTTTGCATGTTGATCTTTGATATTAATTATTATATCAAAACGTAGTTCAAATAAAAAAAAAAAGACAAAATATGTTTATTAGTCCTTTATAATACAAGTACAATGATATTTGTAGAGTAAATTATTCAAATATAAAGATATTTTTAATATCAAGTACAATGGCGCAAAAATCAAATGACAACCTTGCAGCGGGACAGAGAGAGTATAATTTCCTAACTCAAAAGTATCTTTTTAAACTATTTCACAGAATAAACACACTTAAGGATGTGTTAGTTTGGGAGTTTGGATTTTGAGTTGGGATTTGAATAGTAAAAATTTAGAATTTGAATAGTTGTATGATGTGATATAAATAGGTGTTGATATGATATTTTGAATCTAAAATTGATTTTTAGTATAATATAAAAAATAAAAAATAAGTGTTTAATTTGATATTTTTAGGAAAAAAAATAGAATAAATAATGTATTTGGAGAAAAATTCCCCAAACAAACACACCGTAATTTCATTTTTGGGTACCAAAAATCCCCTAACAACTTGTACACAAACTACGATTTATTTCTCTAGTCAACGTTGACTTAAATACTCAGTCATTGATTAATGAGGAAGAAAACAAATAACTAATAATTCGAGGCACGTCTGCTGCAGTTCTTTTCTTCCAACATTTTTTAATAATTAGATAATAAATATATATGTATAGTGATGGAAAATATATTGCTACTTGTGTATGTTCATACCTAATTTTTTATTAATCACAATATTGCCAAGTGCAGTGTCCATACTCATGATTTATCTCTTAAATATTGTTTAAAATGAGTTCACTTAGGGAGTGTTTGTCAGGGCTTTCAATTTTGAGTTGAGATTTGAATAGTAAAAATTTTGAATTTGAATAGTTGTATGATGTAATATAAATAGGTGTTGATGTGATCTTTTGAATGTAAAATTGATTTTTAGTATAATATAAAAAAATAAAAAATAGGTGTTTGATTTGATGTTTTTGGGGGAAAAAAATTGGAATGAATAGTGGAAATCTAATCCAATCCCTGATGTGTTTGTTTGGAAGTCTTTCCCAAACTTCCACTATTCATCAAAATTTTCTCTCCAAAAAATATCAAATTAAACACCTATTTTTTATTTTTTTTATATTATATTAAAAAATCAATTTTACGTTCAAAACATCACATAAATACCTATTTATATCACATCATACAACTATTTAAATTCAAATACTCCATCCATCCACTGCTAATCTATCCATTTTGCTATTTTAGTCTGTCTATCGCAAATGTATCTATTTCTTTTTTTTTAGTAAATGTACATTCCACTAAAATATAAAATTACCCCACTATTTATATAATATTACACAAATGCCACTAAATAATACCATTTAATACCATAAATGTTAAGGGGTATAATAGTCTTTATGTATATCAATTGTACCACGGTGGTGGACGGAGGGAGTATTTCACTGTTCAAATCCCAACTCAAAATCCAAACCCCCAAACAACACATCCTAAGGATTTTTCGTATTCAAATTATAATTAAACATGGTTCAAATTTAAATTCCGTAGTCAAAGTAATATTAAATTAAGATTGTTTGATTAAGGAATAATTTAATTAACAATATATACTTTTAGGTGTGAAAAAAATCAATCTTAAAACTCTTTTTAAGTTTAATATGATTGAAGATTATTTCTTGTTAGGTTTTACTTTTTTAAAAACATTAAGAATTTATTGATTATTTAAAATATCTCCTAAAAGTAACTAATCAGCATTCACATAACATATAGTGGCTTGAAAATTTCGGTGTAATACTTATATCACACTAAAATTATTAGTGAATTCAACATTTTTTTATGATGTGAAAATTCGCAGCCGCTGCACGAAAGTGCGCACTGGATAAATCTCCGGTCGAATAAATTCAGCATATTTAACATTATAAATGGGTACATTAGTATTATTTATTAAATTTTAATGTCAAAATCCATGTAAACCCTAAACCCTAAACTCCGTCACATTTTTATTATCCCATTTTATTATTTTTGTTACCATAAATGGTAAATGTCTTCCCAAGCCGCTATAAAACTATTTCATTTCTCCCTTATTATTATACAAATATTTTTAATTTATACACATAAATTAAAACAAAATTTCATTAAAAAAGCAAGTGCAAAAAGAATATTTACATATTTTTACTTTTATTATCAATAAAAATATCAATATTTTTTAAATATTTCGCCGAAAATATATATTTTCAATAAATTTAAAAGAGAATAGTAAGATAGCATATAATATGAATTTAAGATATTTTTCGATATTTTTAGTATACCGTGTCGTCCTAGGGAAGTATGTACACGGTGAAAAACTAGAAGTAGTCTTCCTTCCAACTTGTACCTAATTCCTCACCTTCTCCATAACCATAACCACATTTCTTACTTATTTCTTCAGTGCTATTTAGCCAATGCTTTTCTTCAATCTCTAACTATATATATATATACCTACATACATATATATCTATCTCTATACATACTAAAGCACAATATAATTAAATTGATTCCGATGGCCGGCGGCGGAGAAGGAGTTTCTCTCGAATACACCCCTACTTGGGTCGTCGCCGTCGTTTGCACCGTCATCGTCGCCATCTCCTTCATCGCCGAAAGAATCCTCCATCTCTCCGGCAAGGTCGGATCTCCTCCGATTAATATAATAATTTTATATTTTAAAGAGAAAATTGCAAAAAAAAATATCCCACATATATTTATCATCTATTTATCTCGCTGATAAAATATATCATTTGCAAAAAGTCGTTATTTGTGTCATTTAGCCACCCTTGATGAGATATTTTTTGCAATTTTCCAAACGCCGAAATAATTTGCAGTATCTGCTGAAGAAGAACCAGGGTTCACTCTTCCAAGCCCTCCAGAAGATCAAAGAAGGTCCGCGTTCCGTACGCATATACATACATGCATCTGTATCTATAATCTGTATCTAGGATTCATCCTGGCCGTTGATTTGCTACACAGAGCTGATGCTTCTCGGATTCATATCACTTCTGCTCACTGTGCTCCAAAACGCCATTGCCAAAATCTGCATTCCCAAACATTTTTACGACCATTGGCTCCCCTGTAATAAACACACCGCTAAGACCGCCGTTTCCCACTTCTCTTTTCCGGTCGGCCGCCGCCTCCTCGCCGCCGCGTCCGACTCCGCCGGCTATTGCGACGCCAAGGTAGGTAGTTCTTTTAATTAGAAGGGTCGATTTCAAACTGGCATGATTTTTTGGGTCGGGCTGCCCGGCCCGGCCGATTTAATTATGTCAGATAGTCCCAACTGACTTCAAATTGGGTAAATTTCTATTATTTGGATTATTCCCCCTAAAAATATTTTTTTTTACGAAATATAATTATACATTATTTTAATATAAATTTAATTAAATTTTTTCAAACCTTATCAAAATAAATTATATATTAACTAAATAGATGCAATTATGATAAGATACTCAGTTTTTCCGTTCAAGTGAATTAATTTTTGGTGAGTGGTACAAGAAAATACATAAAAAATATTACTTTTTTGTTGATGCAAAATATGATTATTATTGTTTTGCATCGCACAATTAAGAAAAAAACCAGAACTATTTATCTCGTCCATTGAAAATCAATAAATTACGGTTTATTTGAAAAAAAAATTATTATATATTGAATAATTATCAATATAGTTTAAAAAATTTACATTTGGGATATTTTTAGAACTTAATAATTCGGGCTGGGCCTATAGATGGTTCGAATTTGACTAGCACAGCCCGGATTTAAAAAATTTTGGGACTTACTTTTTAAGTCTAAATGCAATATTTATTTTTTTCTTGATCAACTTTTCTGACTGTGTCTATTTTTTTCTGTTCTATTTTTAGTATTATAGTTTCGAATTTTTTGTCGTAAAACTTGCCGGCTATCTATAATAAGTATTGTTTTTCTGACGGTGTCTATTTTTTATGTTTTATTTTTAGTATTATAGTTTTGATTTTTTGTCGTAAATCTTACAGTCTACTTATAATAAGTATCGTTTTTCTGACGGTGTCTTATTTTTTTTTCTGTTTTAGTTTTAGTATTATAGTTTCAATTTTTTATCGTAAACTTTACAGCCTACTTATAATAAGTATCGTTTTTCTGACGGTGTCTATTTTTTTTTTTTTCTGTTTTATTTTTAGTATTATAGTTTTGATTTTTTGTCGTAAACCTTACGGTCTACTTATAATAAGTATCGTGCATGTTCGTGCGTCCGGTTTTGTTAGGGGAAAGCGCCGTTACTGTCTCTCAAAGCATTGCATGATCTCCACATCTTCATCTTCGTGCTCGCCGTCTCACATGTCGTCTTCTCCGCCTTAACGATCCTTTTCGGGGGACTTAAGGTACATAGACAATTCTTTTGTTTCGAGGCTTATCCATTGCACGAGCTGAATGTTTCAATCGTGGTTGTTGGTTGACTATGTAATAATTAATGATATTTATCCATTTAAACTTAATATTGATAATTTAATATAGTATCAGAGCTGGAAGATGCTGTGTAGTTATTCGACTGTTTAAAATGGCGATGTTTTTTCTTGTGCCGTAGATTCAACAATGGAAGAAATGGGAAGACTCGATCGAAAAGAAACCATTGGAGGATCGCAACGAAGGTACTTAAGCTTCTTATGTTAGTACAACCTCGGATTCTTTCCAAGAACATATGTAGATTATATTCGAGCTGACGGATCTTGATTTCGTCGAAATCTTTAAAGCCCTGCAGCATAACATTACTCATGTCCAAGACCACGCCTTTGTTAGGTCCCGATTTTCGGGCATCCGGAGATTCACTCTGTTTAGTTGGCTGGTAAGTCGTGTCGAAAACTTAATTTTGTCCAAAAACTTATACCCGTGCTTACAACCTTAGCTCCATCTTTCGGACAGAGATCGTTCTTCAAGCAGTTCTACGGATCGGTGAACAAATCGGACTACAAAACCCTTAGACTCGGATTCATCATGGTAAAGTATCATTTCGATCAATCAATCGATTGCTCTATTTGTTCGTCGTTTTTGACAATAATCGCGAAACGTATTTTGTAGAAACACTGCAGAGGCAATCCTAACTTTAACTTCTACAAATACATGATCCGAGCCTTCGAGAAGGACTTCAAGAAAGTCGTCGGGATAAGGTGAGCTCCCGAAAGAGATATTTTGTTCGTTGTTTATCAAAAAATCTATAGTATCCAATCTTTAATTGTATTCGCGACGAATGCAGTTGGTATCTTTGGATATTCGTCGTGATCTTCTTGTTGCTCAACGTCTACGGTAAGATACGCACATACATACATAGCATTTGTTAAGACAAAATTTCTTATAACTCGCATGTAGTTTAAAAATTTAGTGCTCCATTCGTCATATAAAATTTTGCCCATTTGATCGGCCACAGTTTTAAGAAAAATAGGTAAAAATAATTTTTTTTCCCCTTTTTTGGTATAGAAAAAGTAAAATAATAACATTTTTTTACTAAAAAAAAAAATGATAAAAAAAGTGGAAATAAATTTGAATGACAGAGATAGTATAATTTAACCTATAATTTTCCCCCATAATTTAGAAATTGTATAAAGCTCCATCGTAAAGCAATATAATACAGATTTAAAAAAATCGCATATGAGTTATAAGTAATTTTGCCTATATCATTGTTTTGATTCTTTCCGATCGCCGTCTTGTCTCAGGCTGGCATGCGTACTTCTGGATATCGTTTGTGCCGCTAACCGTAAGTGCATAACACCGATCGTTCCCTTACATGTTCGATAAAATTTAGTTACTACAATGAATATTCGTAAAATTTAGTTACTACAATGAATATTCGTCGTCTAATCGAGTCGAATGGTGTCGATGTAGCTTTTGCTGGCTGTGGGGACGAAGCTCGAGCACGTGATAACGCAGCTGGCGCGGGAAGTCGCCGAGAAGCACACGGTGGTGCCCGGTGAATTGGTGGTTAGGCCGTCCGACAATCACTTTTGGTTTAATAGCCCTCGTCTCGTCCTCGTCCTCATCCACATTATTTTGTTCCAAAACGCCTTCGAGATTGCCGTCTTCTTCTGGATGCTGGTATGGATTGCCGCCGCCGCTCATCCGTTAATTGTACCCGAGTATCGTCGTCGTACATCTCTTTTTTCCATTGTCTTTACATTAATTGTGCTCGATTTTCGCAGGTCATGTTTGGATTTGACTCTTGCATCATGGGCGAAGTTGGGTTCATCATTCCGAGACTCGTCATAGGGTGAGACCGAAGTCTTCGAACTAGAGATATTAAACAAGTCGAGCTGCTTGAAACCTCAACTTGTTATAAATCTTCTATATAAATTGAATAAAATAATAATTTTTATATTTTTAAAAAAATAAAAAGCTTTTTTACAAGTCGATCTCGAGTTTGAACTTGATTAAAAGAAATAATAAAAAATCAAATGTGAATCGAATAATAGTTAATCGATTTTGTTTTTTTTTTTGTGTAGAGTGTTCGTCCAGATCCTCTGTAGCTATAGTACACTACCGTTGTACGCCATTGTCGCACAGGTACGTAACTTCTTGTCCGTAGTTTCAATTCGAGTTTATCATTAATCGATGGGTCGAGATTTATGATCGGGTCGGTCGGGTCAGATGGGAAGTATGTTTAGCAGAGAGATATTTGATGATCATATACAATCCGGATTGGTGGGGTGGGCGGAGAAAGCAAGGAATAAGGGGCTAAAGAAGAAGGCCGCCACGGCAGCGGTGGCATCGAGCGGCGGCAGCAATTCCAGTCATCAGGGCAGCCCTGCTCCGGCGGCGGCGACCACGGTGGAGATGATGGAGATGGAACAAGGCAAAATCCATCCTTATGCATGAAAAATACAAACTTGAAAGATAAAGTTTGTTTGTTTAGTGTTTTTTGGTCAGATGTATATTTATTTTTTTTAATGTGAAGTATATGAAATTGTGTAAATAATATAAAAAATAATATTTTATGTTAGAACGTTAATTTTTTGTGAGATAAAATATAATATATTATATATATTGAAAACATGTTGAAAAAAAAAAATGGTGGAACAGCGCACCCATAAATTGTTAGGTTATGTGGAATTTGAAGGGATAGTTTATTTTTATTTATTTATTTATTGATCGGAAGGGATAGTTTATTTTTTATTTTTTGATCGAAACTGTTGAGTAAACTCTGACCGAATCTAATACTTTGAAAATTAAGTTATATTAAGCGAACTATGTGTGGTAGGTGATCTTGAGGTAGGGATGACAAACGAATCAGGTCAGGTTCGGGTCAGCTATAAACGGATTAGAAAACCTTTAACCTGAACTTGACCCATTTAATTAAACAGGTTGATATTTGCAACATTGACCTGACATTTTATTAATAGATCAACCATAATTTGATATATATAACTTGTTTAAGTTTTAAAATTTTTAATTTGATATATAATCCTAAGGGTGTGTTTGTTTGGAGGTTTGAATTTTGAATTGAGAGTTTGAATAGTAAAATTTTTTGAATTTGAATAATTGTATGATGTGATATAAATAGGTGTTGATGCGATGTTTTGAATATAAAATTAATTTTTTAGTATAATTTTTAAAATGAAAAATAGGTGTTTGATTTGATGTTTTGGGAGAAAAAAATGAGATGAATAATGTATTTAAAATCCAATTCCGCGAACAAACAATAATCACACAACATATAATTTTTTCTTATAGAAAACATTGATGCGTAATTTCTCTTACTGCCATGTACTACCGCTGTCCGCTCTAAAGTCCCATTTACTTTTTGCGTGTTGATATTAATTACTGTATCAAATCGTAGTACAAACTAAGAAAAAATTGCAAAAATACTTTGAATTAGTATCTTATAATACTAATTTATACAAATATAAATAAATAAATAAATAAATTTATATAAATATAAAAATATTTTTAATATTAAATATAATGACGCAAAAGGTAAATGAAACTTTAAGGCGGCCCGAGGGAATATAATATAGAAGAATGAACACAGACAATGCATTACCTTGGCATCTTTTATCATACATGAAAACTCAGATCCCATATTTCTTTTGACCGACTATTCATTATGTGGATTTCCAGCGTCCAGACGAGGCTGCAACGAGTAAAGCCGTATGTAAGAATAAAGCATCCCAATTTATAAAATAAAACATCGATGCTGTGTAAAAGAACATCCAAAGGATAACGAAAGCAAATCTAACCTCGCTATCAGCATTTAGGCATCGCCTATAAGCACACTTTTATAGTTTCTATATTGAGCGACCGTCGAGCAGCATTGTTGTTAATTGTACCTTGTAAAGACGAGCATTTCGGTCCTAAAAAGATTATCCAACTATGCTACTAATCCCGGCTCTCTTCCATATCCCTTTCTTCTCCATTAATCTCCTCGCCCTTTGGGAATCCGACCACCGATCCATAGAAGCAAGAATGTTCGATAAAAGGACATGAACTCCCGATTCATCCGGATTCAACTCGTCAGCCATTTGTAAAACCCCTTCTGCCAATTTAATATCACCCCTTTCGTTGTACCCGGCGAGCAGAGCTGCCCATACTGCAGTATCTGGTTCGTCATGCATCTCCTTAATCAGCATTTCGGCTTCTTCCAAACGATCATTTCTGCAGAGTAGGTCGATCATAGAGCAAAAGTGCTCGAGCTTTGGCCTCGTCGACGTATCCATTTTCATAGCTTCAAATATTTCTTGCCCTTCCTTCACTAAACCTCCATGACTGCAAGAGAAGAGCGCAGCCAAATAAGTGTGTTCATTTGGAGTCAAATCACTTCTTTTCTGCATCAGCCGGAACATCTTGATCGCTTCCACTGCCCTTCCGTGAAGGCCTAAACATTTGATCATTACATTGTACGAGAAAACATCTTTGTTTCCGATCTTGATAAATATGGTAAAACTTGTGTCGATATCTCCACAGCTTGCGTACATTTCTACCAAAGCCGTGCCCATAATTACACCCATCTTAGCCCAATCTTCGATAAGGCTATGCACCCATTTCCCCGATCGGAGATTGTTCAAGCTTGAACACGCCGTCAGTGCTGCAACAAATGTGAAAGAATCCGGCTGCACGCCCCCTTTCTGCATCTCGACAAAAAGATCCATCGTTTCCCAAAACTTCCCTATCCGATTATAACTCTGACATCATGCAATTCCAAGAAACCACATTTTTATCATGCATTTTGTCAAACACTTTCCTCGCTGTTACAATGTCTCCTGTACCGGCATACGCCTGGATCATTGTAGTCCAAGAAACCACGTTCTTCTCCGACATACACCCAAACATATACCGAGCATTTTCTGTATCCCCGGCTTTAGCATAGCCGGAGATCATAGTATTCCAAGATACCGTATCTGTTTGAGGCATTTCATCGAACACCTTCCTCCCATTCCTCAAATCCCCTATACTCATGTATTTCCAAACCATTTTATTCCACAGTTCAACTGTTCTATCTTCAATGGCATCAAAAATCCTTCTCAAATCATCCAAGCTTTTATGTTTCCCCAATCCAAACACCAAAGACTCAGCCATTTTCTCATACAAATCGAACAGAGCGTTTCCGACAGAAAATACATTCTCAAAACCTGAGGTTATAACGCGGCAATGCACTTTCTCTCCAGCTCTAAAATCTCCTAATTTCGTGCAGGAGTTCAACACATAAGGGTATGTGAAGTTGTTTGGTGTTAAACCTTTCATGGTCATTTCATCGAACATAAATAAAACTGAGGGTGTGTTTGTTTGGGGCGTGTATTTTGAGTTGGAATTTGAATAGTAAAAATTTTGAATTTGAATAGTTGTATGATGTGATATAAATAGGCGTTGATGTGATGTTTTGAATGTAAAATTGATTTTCAGTATAATATATAAAATGAAAAATAGGTGTTTGATTTGATGTTTTTGGGAGAAAAAAATGGGATGAATAATAGAAATCTAATCCAATCCAATCCCCAAACAAACACACCCTTACATAAGTTAATAAAATATAGTTAAGTTTTTTTTAAAAAAAATTTGAAGTATTAGTTATTAGCTATTACTGTAATATAGGAGTGTCAATTCGTGTTTTTGGGTCGTGTTCGTGTCGGGTTGAGCCATGAGGATAACAAAAAAACTGTCAACCTGACCCCGAACCGAACCCGAAATCTGACCTGAAATCCTAGACCCGAACACGACACGAATTCTTTCAGGTCGGGTTCAGGTTGACCTGAATTAGTTTCAGGTCACCCGAAATCCGAACAAACCCAATACGAACCCGACACAAAACAGACCTGAAAATTTAAAAAAATTAAATTGACCTAAAAAATATCATTTTTATTTTAATTTTTATATTATTTTATATTTAAAATAATATAAATATTATAAATTAAAATAATAATAATAAAAATTTCAGGTCAACCCGAAACACAAAACCCAAAACCTAATCTGATTTTGATTTTTCAGGTTATCAGGTCAACCCGAAACACGACCCGAACACGACACTAATTTTTTTCGTTTCAGGTTCTGGTTAACCTGATTTTTTTCAAACCCGAAATACCAAAACCTGAACCTGAAAAATTTCAGGTCGAACGAGTTCGATTTTTCGGGTCGGGTTTACTTTTGACACCCCTACTATAATAGGAAAGTTGACTAATTTCGTGGAACTACTAAAAAATGAAAAGTGGATTAATTTGGTGAGACGGGAGAATATTTTTTAAAATTGATAAAGAATACTGTCCTTTAAGGGATGATCCCGTGGTGTGGAAATTAGACTTATCAAGTCACCTGCTATACATGATTAGTTTATGATTAGTTTGCTAGTAGCCGCTGTAACGACTGCGAGATCCCATGTTATAAAAAATGATAAATAATACTCATTTCATTTGCCTACCAAAATTATGTTATTATATTTTTTATTAGCTAAACTAAATCGTATTTTTATTTATAGTAAAATATTTTATTCAATTTTATTACTTCTATAACAAAAGTGAATTTTATTCTCTGTTTGCCTCACTAAAAATCTATTTATTTTATATTATAATAAAAGTTATAAGACGTTAATGTTAAAATACTATTAATATTTATTTAAATTATAAAAATATTTTTATATATATAATTAATTTATACATATAATATAAATAATAAAATATTAATATTATTTTATATATTTTTATTCGTCAATAAAATATTTTTATTTTTTAATTTATTATAAAAATAAAAAATAATTCATTAAAATGGATAAAATGGATAGAGGAAGTAACAATTTTATTATTAATTTTTCTACTTACCAATAATTTTTCTACCAATTCATTAATAAATTTTCTATCAATTCATTAATAAATTTTCTATTATAGTCTTAGTTATTATATAATTTTGTTACCTATTCTATTTTTAACATTATAATATTATTATGTACTACCTAAATAAAATTTCTTGATTTTTCAATATCAAATTATGAATATATATAAATATAGCAAAATAATATATAAAATATTTTCTTTTGTTCATATTATTATAGATACATACCTTTAGATAAAATATAATTAATAAATAATAAAAAAATATATTAATAAAAATAATTATTACTCTCTTCGTCCTTCTTGAAAATGATTACTTAAAGTTTTATAGTAAACTAAAAAATAATATTCTTTATTGGTGGGTGAAAATTTAGTGTGTTTACTCGTGAAATTTTAGTTTTGGGTTTTGATTTTGAATAGTAAAATTTTGAATTGAAATAGTTATTTGATGTGATATAAATATGTATTGATGTGATGTTTTGAATGTAAAATTAAATTTTAGTGTGATAAAATAAATAAAAATTGGGTATTTGATTTGATGGTTTTGAAGAAAAAAAAAATTAGAATAATAAAATCAGGCTTAACATCTGACAAGTAAACAAGAAAATTTGATATTTTTGTCCTTTGACTCTTTGTATAAACTAACTCTAATATTATATTTTTAATTTAAATAAAAATTAAATATATTTTAATATTAATGTAGAAATACTTCCTCTAAAATAAAAAATGATATTTACAAATAGGATAGACGAAAATGATACTTTTGAATTGAGATAATAAAATAATTTAATTAAAATTATAAAAATTATAAATTATAAATTAAAAATATAATAAAAATTGTATAATTATATTAACAATATTATATAAATTAGATGAAAATTAAAAAAGATAGATATTTTATATAGGAGAAGAATAAAATAAAATAAAGGAATAATATGGGGGAAAGAAATGAGAAAGTTGCGAAGGCAAAAATGGCAAATTTTGATGGACAGAAAACAGAAGAAAACAAAAGAGCTGAGGAGTGAGAGAGAGGAAAGAAGAAAGAAAAGAAACAATAAAGAAAGAAGAGAGAGAACTTCTGGCACACTCACATTCACATTCACATTCACTCTGCAACGAAGACACCCAACCCAACAACCAACATGGCTTCCCTCTCTCCACTCATCAACACTTCATTAGGTAATATCATATTCATATTCATATGCCCTCTCTCTCTTTCTCTTATTATTGTTGTTTTTGTTTCTGGGTTTCTCTGATTTTACTTTTATTTATTCATTTTTTTCGATACAATATATGTGTGTGTATATTTATTCTTGTTTCTGCAATACTTTTTTTGATTCTGCGGCTGTTTCGTTCTCCAACGATTCCGCTTTGATTCTCGGTAATTATTGATTTCATTTTTCTCGCATCACTATTGTATTATTGCCGATTTGTTCTCCCCCTTTTTCGATTTTAATTTTGGATATGAATATGATGTAATGTTTTTAGGGATTTGAGCGGTGGATCGATTTCTTCTGCGATATTCCGAAGTTTGGAAGCGAGGGTTTTCGAGTTTTCTGGACGACGGAGATTCCGATCGATTAACGCCTGCTAGGGTGAAGTTTTTGGATATTTTCCGATTGGATTTTCCATTTATCGGTAGAATCTGCGCTTTCCTGCGTTTCGATTGTCTGGAATTTGGTCGTTCTTCAAGTAATTGATCTCCGAATCGATAATCTAGTTCTGATTTTTATCCTCCTACTTTGCGATTTCGATTTCGATTTTTTGGTTCGTCACGAGGCCTGTATTTTAGGGTTTTTCGGCAATATCTCCTTCAGCAAAAATAATTCATAGTTTTGGAGACTGTTGCTGTGCTGAGGTTTTGTTCGATTCGAAACTTTGAGCTAAATTTTGAGATAGTTCGATTTCTCTGGCTTGTTTGTATAGCTGCGTAAGCTGTTTTTGGTGCCATGGAAGCTAAAAAGGTTTCGAAATTAGGTAGAAATAGTGAGCCTGGTAATGAAACCGGAAACCGGATTCTTTCAGAAGGGTCTCGATGTTCTGAAGTTGAAATGGTTGAAAGTACGGCGTCAAATGAACCATCACAAGCAAATGATGGGGATAAACATGGCGCCGAGATAGTTGTTTTCAGCTCGGAGAAAGATGAGGGTGGAGGAAGCCATGGCAATGTAGTTTTATCGAGAGAATCGGCGCCGATTGTTGGAAAGGATGATTTGAGTGTGAGTGCTTGTGTCTGTGGTGTCGAGAAGCTGAAATCGCGATTGGCAGCTTCGGTTTCTGAGTCCGGGAAGAATGGGAGGAAGCTGAGTCGACAGGATCGGATTGAGTTGGGTAGGTTGTTTCAGGGCGCCGTGAGTTCCCACGATTGGGAGCTTGCCGAGAGCTTGATCTTGTTGGCTGATCCTCAGACACTAAACGACGCCCTCTGCATTTCGCTGGATTCGATTTGGTTCTTGAGCTCGCAACCTGAGTTGTATGGGATTACAGGGTTGATCAAGAAGATCATCGCCAATGGGGCGTACGATTTCACTAGAGCTGCGCTTAGGACATCATTTCTTGCGTCGTGTGTATCAGCCTGTCAGAGCCGGACAATGAGCCTCGCCGACACTGTCAGTGTGATGGCGCAAAGGTATCATCATAAATGATCGATGACGAATTAACTAAAATTCCTTTCATTTTCGTTACATATATGTTAATTCAGACATACTGATTGTGACAGGTTAAACGAAAGGCTTCAGGAATGCAATGGCGACGAAGTCTTGAAGGCAGAAGCCGGCGCTAAGGTTCAAAAGTTCACCGAGTGGGCTCTTAAATGCATTAGTTTCCATTCGCGTTGTCAAGGGAATAAAGACAGAGTGGGCCACAATTCGCCTGTAGAGATTCAACTACAATTGAACGCATTTAAGACATTCCTCGATCTCGCGGGCAACCACCTCACCGGGAAGGATTTTACCGAGGCGTTTGATGCGGCTTGCTTCCCGCTTACACTTTTCTCCAGTTCATTCGATCCCGGTTGGGCTTTGGGCATGTCGGCTACTGCCATCCATGGATTGTTGAGCATGCTCGTCGAGGGCGGCGCTGACAATGTTAACCAATGTTTCTTGGAGGCGTCGCGATTCGGGAGCACCGAACTTGTGCGCATTTTGTTACAGGTAATTCAATCTGTTGTGATCTCGTTTCTGATTAACCGTATTTTCAACTATATGATTCTTTCTTTCTTTCAATTGTTGAACATTTTTGCAAAATTATATTGCTTTTCAATTGTTTATTATATCGTTTGTTATAGTCAATTCTTGCATTGAAACACTGAAAGATATTGCAATCGATGAGTTGGTTTTTAGCTTATTTTATTGAATTGTTTCCGGTCTTTCGGCTCGTAGATTGCACAGAGGAACAGTTTGGACGTCGACGTCGACCTGGCATTGGGATTTGCGTCGCACTATGGTAAAATTGGGACGATGGAGTGTCTGGTGGAAGAGGGCAATGCCGTAGCTTTCTTGGGTCCTTTAATGAGAGCTTCCGAGCGGGGTTGCATGCCGGTAGTCGAGTGGTTCGTCCAAAGAGGTTGCCGGGACATGGAACTCTGCCTCGCCCTCACCGCCGCAACGTCGAGCAGCCAAGTCGAAATCGCGGCGTATCTCCTCCCACACGTCCCGCACCACGTCCTCGCCGCCCTCAGCGTCGAAATTCTCAAGGCTGCCGGGGAACGCAGTGGCGGGTCCCTAAACGGGGTCGCATTCCTCCTCCGTTCCAACTTTTTAGCAGACCCTGCAGCGACTTACGCCGTCGCCGACAGCATTGCAAGATCCGATGATGACGCAGTTGCTCCCGAGCTCCGGGTGTTTCTCCGGGAGCATTGGTCTGAGGAAGCTTACCTCGCCGGACTGCGACAGGGCGAAGTGCATTTCTCCAACATGGTCGAAATTATCAGTCGGGGAAACTCCCCGATTTGTCTCTGGGACCTTCCGGCCCCTCTGAGGGTCGCCATTGCTTATCTGCCTCTGTATCGGGAGTGCGTCGACGCGGGAGGCAGTTTGCTGTCGCAGAGGCACCGGGGACAGCTCGTCGACGCCGGGAGAAGGCTCGGGGGAGTGGTGCTCGACGGGCCTGAACAGAAGCCGGAGCTTTTGGCCATCTTGGAACAGCATCTTCCTTTGTTTCTCCACAGCGACGCCGGTGTGGTTTAGTACCTGTGGAATATTTTTTATATGCGGATTGGATTGGATTGGATCGGATTGGCTGGTTCGCGCTACATTTCCGTGCGTCGTTTTGGTCTGATGTCTGAGAAAATAACGGAAGGTAAAGATCATGTTGTTGAGGATGCTATAGCTTGTTTTCTCTCAAGTTGCTTTGTTGCCGATGCGAACACAAAGTTTTATCGCTCAATGAGACCGGGATGTTGGTGCGAAGTGTTGTATAAGTGTTGAATGAATGATAATGCGATGGACGAATGTGTTTATTTGATGATCGAATAATTATTTTATCTAATTTAATCAGACGGCGGACAACACATAGATCACACATTCATACGGGTGTGTTTGCTTGGAAAATTGGATTTTGGATTGAGATTTAAATAGTAAAAATTTTGAATTTGAATAAGTGTATGATTTGATATAAATAGACGTTAAATTTGATTTTTTTTTAATGGAGAAAAAATTGGTAAATCGTAAATTTTTTCTAAAATTTTGTAAAAATCGGGTGCTTAATTTTAAAATTTAGCACACCCATGCCATTCCGCACATGTGCTGAAATTATGATTTCAGCGTGTGATCTATACTATTTATCTGTTTTATATGTGCCGAATTGCAACGTCCGCACTATATTGATTTTTTTTTTTCGTTGGCACGGGTACCCAGCATATGTTGTTAAATAAAAATATCTATTGTTCATCTAGTCTGGCTAGTGACTTGTTTTGTTGGAAACAATTTGTAGGGTATTAGGTTTGGCCAGAGGTTTATTTAGTGCGTATTTTCTGCGGATTTCCGTATTATATATAAAAAAATATACCTATTGTTTGTCTATTTTATATGTATTATATCTATTATATGTAGTGATTTTCACACCATAATTATCCTCGTGAGTTTCTATATAAATTTGTGTTATATGTGCTAACCGGAGCAAATCAACATCATATTAAAACCATGTTCTGCTTACCTGTTTTATATGTGACGACAAAAACAAATTAATACTACATTAACTTTCTGTTAGCACCATGTTTCTATATAAAATTTTGAAAATTGATAGCTTAGGTTATGCTTCATTTCTTTTTTATTTTTGCTTTTATAAACATTTCACTTTTATCTAATAAAAATATATCTAGCAAAATCACAATCCAATAAATACTATTCCTAAAAGAGAACAATAAAAATCACACATCCAAAACATAACAAAAACATTGCATAACAAAGTTAGGTGAATTTTATTGCAATAAGAAATAAAAGAAATGTGTTAAGGCTCTTCATAAGAATTCTCCCATTGCAGGGAGACATACAAAACTTGTCACCATTGATACTTATATATATATATATATATATTTCTCTATAATCTTGTCCACACCATTCTACACATAGGCGGCGGCAGTGGCGGCGGCGGCGATGCCGCCGCCATCGGAAGGCATGAAAGCGAGGACCATGAGAAGCGCGAGAATTGCAATGGGCAGCAACAGAAGGAGGAAAGGTGGCGGCGGCAGGGGAGGCAAAACGAGAGGCAATATAAGCAACGACGCCGTGAGGCAGACAAGAAGACACATCGCCTCCAACGTGAAGTACCTCGACATTCCTTTCACTTTTCCTTTTCCGGCGTGATGCCCTTGCGACAACGACCGGTATATTTTCCCTTTTCCGACTTCCACGCCGCCGGCTCCCTTCCCCTGAACTCCGGCGACGTTCTTGCCGCCTCTTTGGACCTCCATTATGGTGAATCCTCTCGATATCGCCATGTTGGACCGAGCCTCGTCGCCGCTCATTGACTTTGATTTTGATTTTTATATTGTTGGTTTTTGGTTGCCAAGTAATTAAGAGTTTTAAGAGATTTATAAAATGCTAAAATAAGGCATGGGATCGTCTTCTTTGGATATCAAACTGCCATTCAAACAAAAATAAAAATATAAATGTTGGAATCAATTAGTAAGAAGATCTCACAATAGAGGCAAAATTGCAATTTTTTACCAAAAAATTACACTAATAATAATGGAATAAGTAACAAATGAATGACTTTTATTTTTTTAGAAACTTTTTGAAAAATAAGAGGAATAAACATATCTGATGTATAAATTCATCAACATAATGACAAAAAGAATTACACATTGAACAAATAAACATATCCCATGTACAAATTCTTGATTAAAGAACCAAATAATCAAGAAAAGCCCAGATGAAAAAATCAAATTCTAACCAAAACCCATTGAACAAAAAGCTGAATTAAATGTAAGAATTGTATAAAAGCACACAAACCTGTAATGCTTGTGAAGATTCAGCAGATTTTGGATGCCAAGAAACTGATGATGAGTGCACCAAAAGACACAGAGATACTCACTAATATTTCTTGCCTCAAACACCCTTAGCATCTCATCCAAAAATCAAACCTCTAATCACCTTTTCCCTAACCAAGATTGGATCTTTTCAATTTAAATTTCAATAATTACTTCCAATGCCCTTTTCTTGAAATCAAATCAAAGTTAAGACAAGATGATAATCATCAAAGTGGAAATAGTGGAGAACTACCCAATGCAACAAAGGCCACAGATTGTGGGGTTTCTTCAATAGGGCTTTTAATTTGATAGGAAACAAACCAAAACCTAATTTAAATGTTTGGCTGTACAAAAAAGATAAGAAAAACAAAATGTTTTTTAAAAAATTGATAAAAGATGGATGGAATGGGCAATGGAATGAAAGCTCAAGCAAAGCTATTCTTCTGCAGCTGTTTGGACACTTTTCTATTCTTTGGATTAATGACACAAACCCTCCAATGAATTCACAAATAAAATATATCCAAGAAAAGCAACAAACTTGTATCTATATATATATATATGTATGTATATATGTATATAAAAACTGCTGTTGGTGTTGCCCATAGATTTCAAGAACCAGCACTGAAGGGATGGGGGTGGGGGTGGGGGTGGGGTGGGGTGGGGTGGGGAAGATGGGGGTTAGATTCAGTGAATGAATGGAGGACAAGTGGGGGCTGCTGAGAAAGAGGAAAAAAATAAATTTGAGGATGGGTGTTTTTATATTTATTTTTATTTTTTATATATATATTTGAAAATTGAGGGGGGGTTCTTCACCCCTGGACCAAAAGGTGGGGCGGGGGTGGGGTAGGGTAGGGTGGATTTGGCATGAATTTTCATGGATGGAAAGCTTGAAAACATCTGATTTCATTCTCATTATTGTGCCTTTATTAGGGAAAAAGATAAAAATTCAATCTTGGCTATTAATTGTATGTATCAAATATTTTTGGGGCTGTGGTTTTATTTATTTTGCTTTTGTTTACCTAATTTACTCTGACTCCCTATTCACCATTTTTGTTACACTTACACAATTAGGGTTTTGTGTTATATATATATATTTTCTCCGTCCTCAAGTAAATTATTCATTTATCATTTTAATATGTTCAAATTAAATTTTTTATTTTTTATTTTAAAAAATAATTTGCAATTAAATACCAAAAGATTAATACTTTTATTTTCCACATTACTTTTTAAGAGTCAAGTGCATATTATATTATTTTATTACACTATATATATAAATACTAATTTACTATACAGCAAATAGAAAATTTAGTAGTGGATGGAGAAAATATAAAAAAAGAAATATATTTTTTGGAAGTTTGAATTGAGAAGATTTAATTTGTGTTTTTCATTTAAATAATTTTCAATGTAATATTTTATAAAAATTATTTATATTTTTTAAATATAAAATTTAAATAGTAAAAATTTATAAGGAAAAATAATGAAAATATGTAGTCACATGCAACATTATACTCCCTCCGTCCGAGATACCATGTCCATGTTGTTGTTTCTGTCCGTCCCATATACCATGTCACTTTTCTTTTTGGGAAAATGATTACACACTTTAATCTCATTTTAAATTTTTAAATTTTATTTTTTTAATTTTAATTAAACTAATTAGTTATCCCAATCTTAATTTATAATTATTTATATTATAGGATAATTATTTTCACTGATACATTCTTAATTATCTACTAATTACACCCTTACTAAAATACCGTGTCTACAGTGTAGTGTAGCAGACACGGTATCTGAGACGGAGGGAGTAGTATTTTATATCTCTCTCTTTTTTTTTTTTTCCACATCAATTCAGAATCAAATTGTAGTCTTCAGATACGGATGTCTCACCATTTGATTTACAAGAATTTGATAATCAAGTATCAGTGTTACTAATTGATGGGTGAGATTATTTCAATAAATTGTCGCATCAAATATGATAAATTAATTTGAGTTAATTAAAAAATTTAGCATTTTTATAACTGTTAACAACAAGTTTATTTCAAATTCAACTTATAAGTATAAAAATCGGATTAATATTAAAATTCTTCAATGTTATGTTGGTATGAAACTAAAATCTTTGAAATAAAATATAGCTGATAAATTAAATAACCATCATATAACTTTCACAAAGGGATATTTTTTTTTTTTTTTTTTTTTTTTTTTTTTTTTTTTTATGACGTGGAACCAGCAGTCACTGCTGAAGTGTACACAGGATAAAATCTAATACCCTGCAAACTGAGTTTGACAAGACAAGTCATACTAGGCGAACTATATACGTCAGGGTCATAAGTTCACTCTTCACACCACCAGGTCATCCCTTACGAGACTCCCAAAGGGATATTTTGTATTTATGAAACATGTGATAATAAAACTTGCAAAATATATATATATATATTTTTAAAAAAATAAAGGTAAAGTTACAAAGTAAAAACATTACATAAGATGAAATATATACTTACACACACAAAAATAAATTATTTTTGAGTATGAAATACTGTTTAGATGTAATATTTTTGTTAAGTTTTTTCCGAGAATACAATGTCTACATGATAAAAAATGATTAAAAATAAATGATATATATACACACATTTATAGTAAAATGAAATCACATTTATCATGACTAAATATTACTGTTGGGAATTACAATTACTTCATCCGTTTCAGAAAGTGTTCGGACTACCGTAGACATAAAATTTTAGGTAAAATATAATTAGTAAATAATTAAAAAATGTATTAATAAAAATAATTATAGATTAAAATTAAGATAATTAAATAGTTTAATTAAAATTAAAAAAGATAAATTGTAAAATTTAAAATGTGATTAAAGTGTATAATTATTATTATTTTTTTAAAAAATGACAAATTATGTAGGATGAATGAAAATATAAAAAATGAACATTTTATGTGGGATGAAAAAATTATTTATCTGAAAACTAAATTATCATTCAATAGTGAAATAAAAATAATTTTCAATAAATTAAATCAAATCAAACCAAACCTTAATTAAGTGGTAATTATCATATATCATCATAATGCTGGGTCATTTTATGGCAAAAAATAAAAAATAAAAAATTGCTTGAATCAATTGCTCTATATTGTGTTATGTTTAGGAGGTTTGGTTTGTTTTTTTTATGTCGATTTGTTTTTAAAATTTTTATTTATTTATTTATTTGAATATTAGTTTGGATGTGATACATTGTAAGAAGAAATAATAGTATATTTTTAAAGAAAATTACAATAATTAAATAATAAAAAATTGAAATCAAACTTTTAAAAGAAAAGAATCCTTATTTTGATTAGGGAAATAATTCATTAATATTTTATTGATGCATATTTTCAATGTGATTATCCTTACAAAAAAGTGGTTGTTTAGTTCCATTAGAATTTCTCAAACTACCAAATTGGAATCTCAAATCTTATATGGGCAACTTTTGTTTGGATAAATTTTCCACACATACACTCATATGCTTATCTTTTTAGTTTGAATTTCTTAAAAAAATACCTTCTCCGTTCCGGAACTATAGTCTTGGTTGTGCTGAATACGGAATTTAAGAAATCTTAATATTATATTGATAGTGAGTAAAAAGTATATATAAAAAGACATTTTTGCCCTTATAAGTGTATTAGTGTAAAAAATAGTGACAATTATGTAATAATAATGAAAGAATAAAGACAGTTATACAGTGATATTGTTATTTATGGAAATAAGACTATTGTTTTGAGACGGACGAAAATAGTAAATAAGACAATTGTATTGAGACGGATGAAGTATACATTAATTATTATTTTTTGAAAATTAATACTAGTATTACAATTAATCTACCTATCATTTTTTTAAAAAAAGAAAAATATCGGTTTGTTTCGTTTGTGTTTGAGTTTGAGGTTCTTTTTTTTTTAATTTGATTTTAATAGTATATTGATATGATATTTTGTGAGAGAAAATTTTATACTCTCCCTTCTTCCAAATTCAGATAGGCCATTTGAAATTTGGTAGTATATTGAAAAATAATACTAATATTTTATTAGTTAGTGAAAGTGTATAAATAGTTTTGACATTTTTATCTTTTGTAATTTATGTATAAATTAGTTATATATGTAGTGATATATTTGTAATTTATGTAAAAATTAAATAAAATTTTGGTATTAGTGTATGTTTATTTTTACTATGATTGAAAATAGATACTTTTGAACGAGACAGACGAAAATAATAAAAATAATATTTTTAGTCGATACAAAAGAAAATATTTTTATTGATAATAGTACCGATTGGATAGTAAAGAGATTTGGTTTGAAAATTAATATTTCAATTAAATCTAACTATGATCAACTTATATACAAGAGCGTATTTATTATTATTTTATAATATTAAATATACAATTAAATATAATTTTAAGTATTTTTGTTATGAGATACGAAGAATTATGAAAGAAATATTTGCATATTTTTGTTGAATTTAATTATTATATGTATATATTCATTATATTTTTTTAATACTATTTTTTAATTGCAATTCTTCAAATTCAAATAACCATTACAAAAAGTCAAAAAGTAAAATTCAACTTAAAATAATATATGTATTTTTAACACAATTTTTCATATCATAAATAAAAAGCTAGTTCAGCTAAAAACATTGGATGGACGGAACCATTTTCTATTATATATGGTATTTCTTTAATAATAATTTTGAAGAATCGTATAAAAATAAAATATTAAGCAAACATACGGGAAAATTGCAAAAAAATCCCACACGCATACCTCATTATCACTTTTGTCCTGTATTTATCTCTCTGGCAAAATATATCCCACATGTTTTCAAAAGTCGCTATTTCTATCATTTGACCGTGCATGATTGCGCGTAAGGGCGCGTGGTGTGAATTTCACGCGCGAGAAAATGACATAAATAACGACTTTTGTAAACATGTGGGATATATTTTGCTAGGAAGATAAATACAAAACAAAAATGATAATAGGGTATAACTGTGAGATATTTTTTGCAATCTACTCGCCAATATACTCAGCTTTTGGTTCTATTATTTATTTATTTATTTATTTCATTTTCCTAGAAAAATATGGGATTTATATAATAAACAAAGTATTTTACATATTTATTTTAAATAAAAGTTGATACGTGTAATTTACTTTTAAATTTTAGTTGTGTGGGCCCTTTTGGGGCCATATTGTTCAAACAATTCCATGCAAGTACATGCATTAAGTGTATTCAATTTAAAATATTACATATTTTAATATTACGTTTCACATTCAATGTATAATTGTAATTTTTTATTTTTTATTTGTTAAATATCGATTGAAGTCTACCTTAAAATAAATATAGATAATAGTAACCTTGGAAAATTAATTAATTGACAGATAAATATTGTAAGGGAAGAAATCAAAAGTATAAACAAATGCTATATTTTGGTAGGGGTGAACATTCGGATTTTCGGTTCGCATTTTGCTAAATTCGAACCGATTCGAAAATCCAAAATTTTTGAAAAAACCAATC